TTGCGACGCTCTGTTGCTACTCTCCGACCCTCTCTTTTTAGGTCTATTCGTTAGTGACGACATTCTGCAGCAGTTAAACGGACCTTCGTGGGAGATATCAGTCCACGTGTATAGGCACGTGTAAGGACTGCATACTTACAAGCCTGACAATTGTGTTTTACCTTCCCAAAACTACCAGGTTCCGGGGACGGAGAACATTGTCATGAGGTCTACTGAATGGATACCAGATCTCGTGTGCGGAGGTAGTTAGGCTCGCGAGTAAGAAAGAGACGTGGCAGTGAGCGTAATACGTGCCATGGACACGGAACGGCTCCTGCGCGTACGAGTGAACGTGGATGGGCCTAGTTGCATGATGTTTCCCCTCGGCATGTTACCATTGTAAGTGATGATTGAATGGAAAGATGCCGTCCCACATACTTAGTGGAGCCGGGGAGTATAAAACTAGAAGAGACGACATTGGACGTCGAGTAAAGAATAAAGTGCCGCACGCCTTTTAGACAGGTTTTGAATTTAAGGGGTTCACACCCACCTGCCTGTCCATGGCGCCTAATCTACCGTAGCAGATATTCGACGCCACCACGGGCTGATCCTCCAACTCTCCAACTCTCCGACTCGTGCTTTTAAGGGACGTCGGGTATAGACGCTTGCAGCACGGGGAAGCGAGCATCGTACAGATCGGGGAAGACCAGGAAGATCAGGAATACAGCTTAATATAATAGTCAGCTTAGACACCAGGTTGATCAATAGAGCAACTCCTTTAAAACTGGTAAAAAGCCCAAAACTGACGTGTAGCTTGCTTAGGTCCCTAAATTACCTATAGTCAACCTCCTTCTTCAAGTGACAATTCAGGGGTGCAGTTTACTTGCTTGTTGCTTATTGCTTATTGCTTATTGCTTCGCATTATTTATTCTCTACATACGTATGTAGTTGTACATATGTATGTAAACGGACTGCCTACATAGGTATATTTTACCTGAGGCACATCGTTTGATATATTTGATACGCGACAATTCTGCGGCATTCCATAGCAATAATCTATGTGAAGTCGACATTTTATGCTTTATGCTGCCTAAAGTAGTAGATGCACCAAAGCTTGGCACGACTCGTTACGTTCGACTATACATATGTGGCCATATGTGGCTAGCAGGCAACTGCCGTTTGTTACGCGCAGTAGCTCCCGCCTCGAATCATTATTGGAAGTACCTACCTCCTTTGACTAGGTATTACCTGGTAGAGTATGTAGTTACCTTCCCTATCTATCAACCGATCCCTATAACGTAGGAAGCCACTAGACACTTAGTTACCTAAGCATGTCGGCTGCCCGTGTGGCGAACCGGTATAGCAACCGGTGAGAAGGTCGGCTAGGCTGTTCATTGGATGATACTGATGACAGCATTAAAAAGTAAAGAGCAGGAAGAAGTCACCCTAGCACTTACATTGGTAAGAGCTACAGAATATGCAACTCTCGGCGGTGAGTATCACAGGTACCTATACATGCACTTGCCTTTTGAAAACGTGGAGAAGTTTGAATTTGTCTAGCCTGAGATATTTTCAACTTTAGCGGATAGCGGATGACTTTTACTTACACCTACACAAATTTCACGTTTCACGAGTCTCAACAACATTGTAAGCCCTTTATTCTACACATCTATACACAATTTCTAAGGACTAACTTGGTTATTATTACCCTACATGTATCCTCTTAATATTAGCATATCACGTGTATATTATATACATAAAAATATATATAGAAACAATAAGTCGACTACCAGTTACTATTTAGCATTCTAGCCATCTACCTAGTAAATATTCAATAACATCAAACCAGCTACTTTTACCCCCAATGCTAACCAACAACGGACGCCCCGGCTTCGTACTTATTTCTATTCGGGTATAGATACTGCAGCTAGACGCTGCTGAGCTAGCTCTTTGCCACCCCCCTAACGGCCGTGACGTCTCTACTTCCACATTGAGCCTGTTGCAGATGCGGCCCGCCCTACTAAGTCTATCTCTCGATTTCCCGGCAACCTGGTAGCCCCCTATGCGGCCCTGGCTGGTCATGTTGCCTTTCTTGCACCTCCGTGTGGCTGGCCTCCTACAGCCCCCCTACAGCCCCTAGCTCAAATCCCCTGCAACCCGGGACCAGCCGGCGCCGCATCCATACCGACACTTGCATATTGCAACCCTCCAGATCTTGGATAGGACCCTGGGCCATGCGTTTTGCATCTGGCCCAGTCCACTCAGGAACTCAGAAGACGACAACCTGACGCGGGGGCATCTGCCAGGCTAAGATCGGATAATATAATCGTGGGGGGCACCACTGCTGCTAGATCGGTCTTGTCAGCGTTCCAGTACTTAGGACCAAATGCTACCTTTTTAAGGAGCTGCCACGATACCCCCTATCCGACAATGCTTACCACTAGAACCTGGAGATGCCACCTCCGCATATAACTGGTTGTACGCCTGCAGCACCCAATCGTGCCTTCGCTGTCAGATTCGAGGGCGGCTGCGCGTGACAGATCGGATCCGCCCCTGTCCTACGGCTTGTACAAGCCGTGTTACTTGGGATAACAATCTCCTACCTAAGCCCGGCATCTTATGATATGACTATTCGGCACCATCTGACCATGCGTTCCGCGTTTGCCTATCAAACAGCAGCCAGTCGAGGCAAGAGGGCGACTCGAGGTGATCCTTCACACATCTGAACTACTTCAGCAAGTCATATCCCAACTCAAGTCTACGCAGTTACCCGAGCCGCGTTTGCGTTTAGCGAGAATCACAAGAGCAAAATACGAGAATGTCGAAGGCCACAGGCGCATGTGTATCAACTATACAAGATTATAATCCCGATGGATGACAGCGATACGTACCGAGTTGGTACTTGAAAGATACTTCGGGGTCAGTTCGCAATTGTCCACCACGCTAGACAGACCTACGACAAGACCCCGGAATAAAGGTGGACCAGAGTTGAGGTCGCTGCTAGGCGCCGTAAGCCGGTGCTCTAATCCGCGGGTAGCCTTTTAAAACAGACGTCATCTAGTGACATTCGAACACTTGGCTCTCTTCCAGTGCGCCGGGGAGAGTTCCCAAAAAGAAGAGAGTCATGCAGGACGAAAGGCGAAGCGAAACGGACTATGAACCTCTCATCGTCGCGAGTAAGCGACCCCAGTTTGATGAGACGGTAATAATAAGGTACGTCGAGTTCCTCAGGCCTATGCGTGTCTTAGATAGGAAGGCCATTATACTTAGAAACGCTTGTCGCAACAACAGCAGAATGGATACACTAATGGATTAGCGCAGATCACAGCAAGTGATGGGGCTGCGAGGAGCCTATCTGGACGACCAATCGCCTTCGAGATATCCCGGAAGGCCATATACAACTGTAACCGCAATCGCCGAGAGTGTCTTCTAGACCGACTTTTCTAGCACATATTGATGTCGACCATCTACCGGCGCGTCGTTGATGGCGCGCATCACAAAACCGTCATGTTGACTAGGATGGACAGATACGTTAGATCAGTTATCATTTTTTACGGGGATAGAGCCCAACGCGGCAGAGAATCGGTCATTTGAGCTTCCCCACGCATCCCTTAGGGTGGCCACGGCAAGAAACCTATCGCAAGCAAGATTAGCGAATAACATCGAACTCGCGGCTGATCCGGTTCGCTCTGATTCGCTGCCCGCACACCGAGTTAATGCAAGGATCCTTACACTGCATCGTATATACTAATAGACAACACAGGTAATAGTCGGTGTAGATATTATCTATCAACTCAAAATCGAGGCCACGCCCCGAAGGCATTCGTTGATTCCATGCCAACAAAGTCAAACTGGCCATGAGTAACTCATGAGTAATTGCGACATGTTTATTTCAAGTTGCTGACTTCGGCCTGAACGGTGACCCAACCAACCTAACGCCTCGGGATGTGAGGTTGAAGTAGATGGTGGATATGAGTTGTTCCCGTGGGATTTGCTCATCGTGATGCATCACCTATACCACTTGTATCGACTGGTATGTCAAAATACGGGCGAATCTGCACCCCGAGTGCATTCTATAACGTCGCAACACGGTTGGGCGCTACGGCGCTAAAGGTAAAGTCGGCCTCGCATGCAGTTGAGACTGAGAGATTTCCAAGATATTCTCTGAATACATTGTCGGTACTTGGGATCGAAGTCAATCAAAGTCACTGAAAGTGTCAAGGATAAGAAATGACTTTGGATCAAGCGCCGCCTGCGCTCACCTTGCCTATTTCGTCATTTCCGAATACGTACGTATTCTTGATTCGGAAATCGCGCGTAGATAGAAATAGACAAATCGTTTGATCGATCACATATCGTGTCGGCCTAATGAAGAAGAGAACAGGCTCATTCGGGCTAAATTGAACTCTCGTACGACAGTCTCAACTCCCACTTCAACACAGACAAGCAATGTATCAATTGGGCTTCACAATGGCAGATATTACCTAAAACCAACTAAAATTTCCTTCCACCGCCGTCGCTACGGTGCTTAGGGACAAAGGCTAAAAGATGGAAATAAAATTTCGTATGTATCATGATTGGGGCGAAATATATACTGAATAGTTATATGAGTATTGAAGTTGAAGCTAGAATCTAGATGTTATAGGTAGTATAGCGTCAATTTAGTATAACTATTAATAGTTACTTATAGGTGGTTAAGTAGATAAAAACTATATACCTGCTTAGGTAACTATATGTGATTATTTCCAACTTAGAAGATTTGTGTCTAAACCTTAACAAAGCCTGGAAACCGCGAACAGGAACAATACATAGATGTACTATATATAGGTACGAGTTGTGTTTGGAGTCAATATTAAGGTTCCGATCAAATACCGGATTCGAATATGTATAATCGAGGAGGCTCTAAGATGGTTCTAGCCCAAGATAGTAACGCACCAGCCACATCTCTTTGAACAGACTGACCAATCAGCGCCGAGTCTTACCCCGGCTTACAACGGGATCCCTGACAAACCAGTATAGCGCCCCACACAACTCAAGTCTTTTAACCTTTCAAGCTATCCACTTATTACGAAGCTATTTCGTTCAGCCTTGCCCTGGCAAACTTTCCGGATAATTGTCAGCCTCGCCCATTCGACCCTTCTAATTCCTCCAGGAACCGCTTCCTCGCGACGAATTCCTACAATTACCGTACCTCGTCGGCCCGCACCAGTTGCTTCTAAAGACGTAGTAACTAGGGGCTTTATACGCTATACAGAACTACTCACGTACGCCGCAGCGCCTCGACCCCGTCCGCCCGTCCCTCCAAAAAACCGCCACAAGCTTCGGGAACCGTCGTTTTAGGTATCGCATGTCCGAGCGGCCCCAACGTTTGTATTAAACTTAGTTTGGTTTTTTATTTCAACTATTTAATTGTTACCTTACCTGGCCCTCTTTTCTCTTTCGGAACTCCTGCTTGCTGGTTACCTTAAAAGGGAAATTATCTACAAAAGGCCCACCTGGTAGATAGACAGACAGACGGACAGACAGACGGATAGACAGACGTTTACACATACGTTATACGCAAACCATGTCGCAGACGCCCGTAAAGGTTCCCGCCTCGGCGGCCGCATACACGCCCGCTACGCAGGACCAAGACCTGCGGTCGCAAATCAACGCGCTTCTCATACGGGAAGGCCACATAAACAAGTACGCACGCCCACCTGCTTGCCCCCTCCCATCCCCTCCCTTTCCCTTCCCCTTCCTTTCCCTTCCCCTTCCTTTCCCTTCCCCTTCCCCCGCCACAAAGAAGAAGAAGACGTTAACAGACGCACGGCGCCCCCGCAGAATCCAAGAGCACTTCCTGCACTCCCTCAACGCGCACCCCTCCAACTGGCCCTCGGCCGTACAGTCGCACGCGCTGGCCCTCCTGCGCAGCGGCGACGTGACGACGTTCCCCGCGCTAGTCCGGCGTGTTCTCGAGGACGTGCGGCACGACACCGTCGCGGCTAGCGACGGCACCAATAACAACAACAACAACACTTCCACCACCACTACTACCACCAACGGGAGCAAGACCAACGGCGCAAGCACCAATACCAATACCGCTACCGCTACCACCACCGACGGCAGTCTAGCCGTGCCCCAAGCCGTCGTCGACGCCGTCCTCAAAGTTGCGCGCGAGTGCCTCGATACCGTATGCGAAGTCGACGACGGTTCGACGGCCGGCTAGGAGGCGTGGCTGCGGTCGAGGACGAGTGAAGTAGCGATGGCGATGGAGGCCGCCCCGAGAGGAGAAAAAAGAAAGAAAGAAAGAAAGAACACCAAACAAGCAAACAAGTAAAGAAAGAGAGGAATGAATAACGACGCCCCGATCGACACCTTGATTGATGCCTGATACCTCGTTGGGTAGTCAAGCGGCCTCGTATCGTATCGTATCGTTGTACTACCCGCCTAGTACGAAGGAGCTGTAATTTACACATACAAACATACATACATACATGCACGCTCCTCCATCCGAGACCGTGTCCATATGCATGTCCGAATAGAAAGACCCCAGAGGCAGGAGTAGGAGTAGGAGTAGGGGGACAGGGGAGGGTGTGGTGTTTTTCTTCTTGCTACACGACTTACTACTACTTTTGCAAATTTATTTATCAGAACAAGGCATGGAGGGGCCGGAAAGGGAGCATTGGCGTTAACAACTCGGGTTTGATTTATACTTAAGTGTACGAAGGAGGCGAGCAAGGGGAATATCTGGGGCACTTTTGATGCCCTGGTCCGCAGCAATGGTAGTTACTACTCAACCATTTTCAACTAAATCTCTTCGTGTACTTGCCCGGCGCTTTGGTGATAACTACGTGTTGTGAATACCAGGCCATTAATGTGGCTGTTAGTCGTGTACGATCCAGGTTAAGAATTGGCTTATAACTATCGAATGGAAATTTTTTGAGTTATGGTTGCTGGTATGGACCTTGAGGTCTCATCATGTCACTTAAACACACATTCGCACTATTATTCAAGAGTATAGACACGGCCAAGGGGAAGTTGAGGGCAGTGCAAAATAAATTTGTGGATCTATCGTAAAACTAGTATGCTTACCGCAGCGCGGTATGCGTATAGCTATCATATTTCATCCTGGTCGGAATGAAGCATCTCTAGCAAGAGACAAAACAGCCATGCTTCTGATCGCGCAAAGGAAAGCAGCCGCATCCCGTTCCTAGCACTCTGACGGGATTAAATCTATCAGATATGCGAATTCCTTCAACGAACAATCGAGGGAATATCGGTTTAAGGCCGACATCCTTAGTGTTGCGTTATGTTGTCATTAATGTTGAGACGCATCGTAAGCAAAGGAATTAAAGTACAGGGTCGGTGTGAGGAGATGGTATCCAACCGCTGAATAGCTGACAACTTAGTCGTAAAGACCGTCATCGTCACCAGCCTGGCCGAAATTGTCTCCAGAGCCAGCGGCACCGGCATTTGCAGCAGGGAACTGGAAGAAGGCACCGGGTCCGGCATTCTTCATCTGTTGTGCAAAAGCCTCGTATCGGCGGATCTCAACGTCGTTGACGGATCTTCGGGCCATTTGCATAGCCTCCTCGAAATGGCGTTTTGTCAACTCAGGAACGGGGTCCTCAACATCTTCATCGACGTCCATGTCACCTGCTCCTTCCGCCTCGCGAGCACGTTGTCGCTCAATGTCGATAGTGATAGATTCCTTGATGGCAATCTTGACTGCGCGCTGGGTAATAAATCCGAGATCAGCACCAGAGAACCCGTGAGTCTTGGATGCGATATAGTTGAGGTCGACATCAGCAGCCACCGGGGTCTTGCGGAGCTGAGCCTTGAGAATGCTGAGACGACCAGCCTCGTCGGGCAGTGGTACGTAAATTAGCGAGTCGAGACGACCCGGACGGCACAGGGCCGGATCTAATTGCTCAGGTCTGTTCGTAGCTCCAATAACGAAGACGTTCTTCTTCGAGGTCATACCATCCATTTCTATTTGGTGACGTTAGCATTACAAATTTTAAAGGAACCTTTTAGGGAGGCTTACCTGTTAGAAGCTGGTTGACAACACGGTCCGAGGCGCCACCAGCGTCCCCAACGGATCCGCCACGAGCCTTGGCAATCGAATCCAACTCGTCGAGGAAGACGACACAAGGAGCAGCCGCACGAGCCTTGTCGAAAATATCTCGGATGTTGCTCTCGGACTCACCAAACCACATGCTCAGCAACTCGGGGCCCTTCACTGAAATGAAATTGGCCGCACATTCATTGGCAACGGCCTTGGCCAACATGGTTTTACCCGTACCGGGCGGGCCGTAGAATAGGACTCCACGGGACGGAGAAAGACCAAACTTGAGGAACTTCTCGGGGTGGTCGACGGGATATTGGACGCTCTCCTTGAGATCTTGCTTGACCTCCTCCAGACCTCCAATGTCTTCCCAACGGACATTGGGAACCTCGACAACTGCGACCTCGCGGAGGGCAGACGGGTTCGACACACCCAAGGCGAATCTGAAGTTCTCCATGGTCACGCCTAGAGAATCCAGTACTTCGGCATCGATGGTGTCTTCGTCAAGATCGATGAGATCCATCTTCTCTCGGATTTGCTGCATAGCAGCCTCTGAGCAAAGGGCAGCAATATCAGAACCAACATAACCGTGAGTTTCCGCCGCAATCTGCTCAAGATCGACGTCGTCGCCGAGCTTCATGTTCTTGGTGTGAATCTGGAGAATCTCAAGACGACCAGTGGGATCAGGAATGCCGATGTCGACTTCACGATCGAAACGACCGAAACGTCTCAAGGCAGGGTCGATAGAGTTAGGTCTGTTGGTGGCTGCCATGACGACAACGTTGGATCGGGCCTTCATGCCGTCCATGAGGGTAAGGAGCTGAGAAACTACACGTCGCTCAACCTCACCGTTTGTCTTCTCTCGCTTGGGAGCGATGGAGTCGATCTCGTCGATGAAAATAATAGCTGGGGAATTCTTCTCCGCCTCTTCGAATGCCTTTCGTAGATTCGACTCCGATTCACCGGCCATCTTGGACATAATCTCGGGACCATTGATCAGGAAGAAAAAGGCACCGGTCTCGTTGGCGACGGCACGAGCCATAAGGGTTTTACCAGTACCTGGGGGACCGTAAAGCAGGACACCACGAGGCGGCTTAATACCGATAGACTTGAAGAGCTGAGGATGACGCAACGGCAGTTCAACCATCTCTCGGATCTGGGCCATCTGCTTGCGGCAGCCACCAATGTCATCGTAGCCAACTTCGTTAAGGTTGTTCTCTTCCTCTTCGCGCTGAATAGGCTCACCCTCGCAGTGAATCACGGTATCCTGCGCAACAATACCATACTCGGGAGGATCAACCTCAACTACCTTGAACTCCACCTGTCTCATACCACCTCGGACGATGAACAGGTCGCCTTGGCGAACGGGTCGGTAGGCTTCTCGGAAGTATGGGGCAAGGAAGACGTCGAAGAGCGAACCAGTCAGACCTTCAACTGTGTCGGCGATGGGAAGCACCGCAATTCTCTTGGCCTATCACTCGGTCAGTAATCGGTTATCTAATAGGGATTTCGTTGGGCAAAAGCTACGCACATATTTGATATCAGGACACGCGTGGATGGTGACGATATCGCCGTGCTTCACCCGCAAGTTGTGACGGACAACTCGGTTGAGTCGGGCACTGCCATCATCAAGGTCATCGTCTGCAAGGACGATCAAGACGGTGTCCTTTCTCTTCTTGCCTCGAACGAGGACTGTATCTCCACGGAACAGCTGGAGTTGTTCCATAGTGTTGTTCGAAAGTGCGATGATAGAGTTGTCATCGTTGACGGCATCAGTAACCCTAGGCAAATTAGTTAAAAAATACTAGCTAGACTATTTAGTTAGGGGATACATACATTAGCTGGTTGGGCTTCTTCTTCTTCTTGAGGATGGCCGTTGAGGTGTCATTCTCCTCTTTAGGCTCGGCGCCGGAGACGTCGCTGGTAGTAAAGTTAGTTGCGATCCCAGTCTGCAGTGGTTTTTTCTTCTTCATTATTAGAAAACTTACGCCAAGTTGACCTTCTTCTTGTGTTCAGGCTCGGGTGCCATGGTGTTTGATGAATAAATGAAGGTATTTGGTAAAGGTCGGAATTGGGGTGGGTTGGAGGGAGTTGTGGGAAGAACCACACGAAAAGAAAGATAGTGGGGGGCTTTATGCAGAGAAATTCGCAAAGGAAACTCGATCCTTAGCGAGAATTACTAGAGATGGGTGGTTATCTCCAAGTTAGAAAAGTGTTCCGAGATGACCTGAGATGGTGAAAATGGAAGAAGGTGATCAAGTTCGGAGTGTTTGTATGTTCTTACGGGTCGTAGTTGTTTGAGCTGGTGATGACGAGAGGTGGAAGGAGCTCGGACCAAGTGGGGCCCAGCCTAGGGCCGCCACATCTTCCAATCACTTCCACAGCCTGACTTGTTGAACAAGCCAGATTGCTTGCCTGGGGCTTACTAACTGATAACTTATCGACAGGCAGACAACTCGCTACGCAATCAAGCAATTAGGCACTGTACCTGCATACGTGAGCAACCTTTGGTGTCTTTTTAACTTACCTAATTCACTTCCATAGGTATATCACAGCTTTCTTATGTAAGTCCGGAGTTCTTCTAACGGTAGAATATTCCAGTATGGAGTTCTGATTCGTATATGGGTATACTTACATAATTGTACAAGACAACCTAATTGTACACTTAAATACCTATACAAAGAATGTGCATGCATTCTCTCCATTCAAGCCATGCTAGGTAACAGGTTAGCAACGTATTAGGTATTCTCAAAAACGCGAAGCATTTTGCAAGGCTTGTAACTCTTTCCCTTCCATACCTGTATGTAGAGCCTCACAAGTCCTGTCCTTTTGCCTCGTCTCACCTTCGTATATAGTATGTACGTACTTTGCCCCTCAGATACGAATTCCCAGCAGAGAACATGGCTTCGTCAGCTTACGTATAAGTTGGAACACAGCAGAATGCGGCGTTGTCTACGAGGGGCATCGTCCACCACAGGTTAATTCCAGCCAGTCAGTGTTCCGCCGTCCATATATGGTTGAGTCATCTTGGAGTCGTGTAGACCATTCGTTAAACTAACTACTAAAAAACTTTTCATATAACGGGTTCATTATCAGTCTCTCAGACGACTCAACCGTCCATTTACCAAAATACTGCACATACATAGATATCAAAGAGCCTTATGAAACACAATGAAGCACGTTCACTCCGTTGCACGCTAATCTTCGTCAATAGAAACGGGGACAATTGATCGATATTTGAAAGGTATATACACTATGTTGGTATATGATACTTTAATTTAGTTGCGTTGCAAACGCTCCCTTGCGTTAGTTAATAAGCCCTCAGATCAACGCTAGTCTTTAGTAACACCGAAAACATAAAATTTGACGAAAAGCAATTCTATCACAACTCCTGAAGCCGTACTTGAACGTCGCACTTACACCAGACGATCCGACCTCTTGTTTGTAAGCAGTACATAGGTACCTAGGTAGGTAGTATGCAATTCTCTAACAGACCAATCACACTGTAACCCGCTATAGGCGGCACAAACCTTAAAAGGCTTTGCGGCGCATGACTTTGCTTGCAGCCATGCCAATATCTGATCCAACCTCTTTACCCCATACAGTACGAAATGACGTCACGTAACCGCGCGATCTTATCTCCCTCGAAAAAAGATAAAGCACCCAACGGGAAGATCTTCCCCGGGAGAGTACCTGAGTTACATACGTTGCGTTGCGTGCAGTGCCGCGCGAAATTTCCAGCATTTGCTGTTTGTTTCCAGTAATGCTCCCATAAATTAGCCCGACGAGAAGCGATAGATTCCGATGTTTCGCTGTGCAAAGTTAGCGGGTATCACCAGGACGTAGGAATTTTTTTTTTTTCCTCGCAAGGACAATACCTAAGATTAGGTAGATGTTCGTGTGTAATTTGTGTGACATTATCAGCCTTGTTCTCATGTCAAAAATCAAAAAGGGATTGTACCACTCCCCACATTGAATCCATTGTCCAATAATGTGGCGTGATGGAAACATCGATGATGGATTGGCAGTGATGGACTTCCCCTACTTCCCCTACTTCCCCGAGGCCTACCTACCTTACGTAGGTAGATATGAGTTACAAATGGTATGTAGTTCGAACTCTTGTCTAACATGAGCAGGTGCAAAAGAGCAGGTGCAAAGGCTAAATCACGGGACTGTTCTCCGCGCCGGCAAGTATTTCCTAAGTATAATAAATAACTTCAACACCATGACAATCCATCATTTCTGCACACTGGCTCCACCGTTATCAAAGCAAGGTAGCTGCATAGTCCGGGGTATATATGTATGCGCGTGGTTGCGTCTAATTTTTCGATATTTCTAAAAGTATCTCTGGCCAAGTCTTTTCCTCTATCTCCCTTCGATTGAAGCTGGGTACCTAAGTCTTCAATCTTCACTTCCTGCGTTCACTTCTTGAGGGCGAAGAGCTAACATAGCTTTCCACATATTTAGTCGCTGAGTTGCCGCTAATAATCTCTCCATCATATATTTAAATTACTGACCCTCTTCTACACATTTTCGTCTCGTAATATTTCGAATACTCTTCTCTCATATTCTGTGAACTTAACATATAGACATGGCTGCGAGGCAACCTACAACCTGGGATGAATACAATCCCGGGGCTTCACCCAACCGAAGCGATAGCCCGTTGTCTATCAGCAATCTAAGTGTTCGCTCTGAGGACCAGGCATTATTAAGTGACCAGTACGGTCATGGGCAAGATGAGGAACACCCGCGACGAGCAGAACGAAGGTTGGCGTACCTGCCATCGATTCGCCTTCGCGCCTAGACTAATTGTATCTATTCCTACAGGTCGTCTATAACGAATCGTCTTGCTGCGGTGGCCGATATTGGTGGCGTCAATAGTATCAGGTCGTTTGGGAGGAGTTGGCAACGAGCCGCTGCCTTCCCAGAAATCTTACCGCAACATCCCACTTTTGTGTTTGCGCCGGATCAAGAGCCTGTTCAGTCAGTCGACTTCGAAGCGGGTCCCAGAGCTTCTCCCTTAAGAGAAGATGTCGAAGCTCCTTCGCCCCACAGTATCGACCACGAGGAGCCCGGGCCAGCTGGAGCGCCTTCATCACGAATAGATGAGCCGGAAGGCGAGCGGAAACGCTTGGGTAGCGAAATATACCGAGTAGTATCACCATCCGGTTCCCCTCTCAACAATTCGATATTCTCCGTGCCGCCACACCTTTCTGTTTCTCCACTGGTTGGTAGTTACGGATCCATTCGAAGCTATGGTACTATCCAGTCGGCTACCCAGTCTTCCATGATCCATGCCCCAGAGCTATGGCGTCAGCAGCAAGAACCAGGAGCAAATGTGCCTGATGGTGAACGGCCGCCTATCCTTGTAAAAGAGGTTGAGCAAGAAGGGAGACTCGTGCTAGCTGTAGCCGGTCAATCAACTCTACCGCAAACTGTTGTGAACTCTACTAAGTGAGTGAGCCTCTCTTCCCCCTTGGAGGCCCATAGCTAAATCTGTATATAGCGTCCTGATCGGTGTCGGTTTACTGAGTCTACCCATGGGTTTGAAATATGCTGGTTGGGTCTGTGGGCTTATTGCGCTGTTTCTATGTGCCGCACTAACCAGCTGGACGGCGAGACTATTATCAAGATGCATGGATCGCGACCCTAGTACAATCACCTTTTCTGACATAGCGTATACCTGCTTTGGCATGAAAGCGCGCATCATGACAGCAGCGCTCTTCACTCTGGAATTGCTTGCTGCTTGTGTGGCTCTTATAGTACTATTTGCCGACTCGCTAGCACTCCTATTCCCAGGTACACTGAGTGTGACCGAGTGGAAGATCGTCTGTACTCTGATCCTCATACCTCTGCAATTCGTCCCTCTATCCTTCCTCTCCGTTACTAGCTTTGTTGGCGTGGTATCATGTCTGGGCAGTAAGTCCCCTGCAAACTCGCCGTCTGTGTTAAAATACTCACAAAATGGTCCAGTCGTTATCATCGTCATCCTTGATGGGTTGATTAAACCGCACTCCCCTGGTTCTCTTATAGAGCCTGCGATGACGTATATGTTCCCTGAAAATTGGCTTACTTTGCCTCTGTCCTTTGGATTACTCATGTCTCCATGGGGTGGACACAGTGTTTTCCCAAACGTAAGTCCATCTTGACCGAGGATAAGAGATCAATCATCTAACTCGACGTTAGATCTATCGTGACATGCGACACCCCCACCGCTTTAAGGAGGTAAGTAAATATAATGAATTTAGCGATAGTGGGTTTGACTAATATTTGAAATAGGCGGTTGGATACACGTTTAGCTTCACTGTAAGTCTTAAGGGCCCTACCCAATGAGCTCGATAAGCACACAAACTAACAACTTGTAGTTGGCAATAGATTTTGCTGTAGCTGTTGTAGGACTACTAATGTTTGGCGATGGAGTCCGCGACGAGATCACGGGGAATATCCTCGAAACCAAGGGATATCCCAACGTTCTCAACGTCCTCCTTGTGATCTTCATCGCAATCATTCCTTTGACTAAGATCCCTCTGAATTCTCAACCGATCGTCACAATTCTGGAAGTATTATTCGGCCTTCGACAACAAGTCGTCACGGAAGAAACACCCCTCGTCGGTCTCTCTAGCAGCTCAAGGGGTGTACTAAAAGCCCTCCTCAGAGTGTTGACGCTCTTAGTCTTCTTGGCAATTGCTATTCTCTTCCCGGCGTTTGACACCATCATGGCGTTCATGGGAAGTGCTCTCTGCTTCACTATATGTGTTACGTAAGTGTTGATATTCTTCTACCTATACTACCTAGGCTCTTGGGGAATATGGCGGTTAACAAATTCGCAGACTTCCTCTGGCATTTTACTTGAAGCTATTCGGGCATGAGATCTCGGCGCGAGAACGCATCTTTACTTGGATTGTCATGCTCATATCTTTGACTCTCTCTGTTATCGGGACTGTGTGGGCTTTCTTGCCTAAGAAGCTTATTGGAGCGGCGTCCTAGATAAGTGGGAAACAATTTGTTTAACGATTAATAGCTGAGTATTACATGTAAGATAAAGCACCATATACCTAGGTAATCAATACATAATAATAATAAGCAAGCCACAGTTGCAGTTAACTTGATGCAGACCATATGCAGATGGCAAGGTGTAGCAATAAGAAAGACCAGTATAAATATATCTACGAGGTCATCGACAGTTTCATCGCTGGAAACCTCCAAAGCAGTTAGTACATTTTAACAATGTTATTGGTTGATGCTTCCAATTGCTGACGTTACTTAAGGTGTTCCCCAAAATGTTCATCGAGCTATCATTAGTAAATCCCTTTATCATATTCCGCACCCTAGAAATGAACTTTATGGCGGCCGAGACCGAATTCTAGACAAAATCGAAGAACACTTTTTCGTCAAGGAACGGCGGAAATTAGCAGTTCTTGGCCTAGGGGGTGTCGGGAAAACCCAAGTGGCCCTAGAGTTTGCGTACCGGGTGCAAGACCGCAAGGATGAGTATTCCGTCTTCTGGGTGCTAGCACAGAGCCAAGCAACTTTCGAGCAATCATATGCGGGTTTGGCCAGGCTGCTTCAGATCTCCGGTGAAGGGGACCAGAAAATGCTGGTAAAGCAACATCTCAGCTCCGAGAATGCCGGTAAATGGCTTCTGATCGTTGATAATGTGGACGATTACGAAGCAACATTTCGATTGGACAATCCAACTGGTATGATTAAATACTTACCTCAAAACGACAACGGTTTAATACTCTTCACCACACGGTCAAGAGAAGTAGCCATGGACGTAGCGATGAACGATGTGGTCGACCTCGGAGAAATGAACCCCGAAGAGGCATATTGCGGCCATCCGAGAGACGTTACCGGAAGACGACCCCGACCGATTAATAGCAACACGTCAGCTAGCAGCAGCATTCCTTGCCAATGGCCAAATAAAGGATGCGATTGAGATGCTCAAGCATATTATACCCATCGTGAGAGAAGTTGTAGGGAAGGAGCACATCGACTCACTAAAAATAGAACATGTGCTGGCAGTGGCATATTATAAAGACGACCAGTTTGGGGAAACGGTCAGCATACTTGAGCGCATTATACCTATTGTAAGGGGAAAATTGGCGGAAGACGATCCTTTTAGCCTCACATTACAACAATGGCGTGCCGACGCATACCGTGTGACTGACCGGGTTAAGGAAGCGATCGAGTTATATGAGCATGTCAGAAGACCACACGGCATCTCAGAGACTAGTGATAGAATCATGATTTTCTAATCCATGTCTTCGTTTGAAAAGAATACAGTTACTAGTACGTAGCCCCTTAAGCAAACCATCAGCACCGTATAAGCGCGTACCATAAGTCTACCAAGCCCAAGGAGCGAGCAGCCAGCCTCAGCTACTCACTCATAACACCCCTTTCTCCCCTCTTCCCCTCCTCTCTCTTTCTCCCTCTCCCACAACAACCCCTCCCTCTTCCCCCCCCCCTACCAAGGAAACACAATCTTCAACAAAACAGTGCTAACAGCAAGCGGCTCCCACCACCTCCAGCCGCGGCTCGCGTCCACGTAAAACCACACCATGAACAGGCACGCGACGAGCTGGCCGGCGACGACGGAGCGCCCGCGCGCCCACTGCCGCGGCAGCACGAAGATCTGCCACCACTGCAGCGCCAGCATGCCCGCGAACCGGAACTGCGCCTAGTCGTGCCGGTACAGCGCCGCGTTGAGAAGCGCCAGGCCGCCCAGCGACGGCACCGCTTCGCCCAGCGCGAAGAGGAGCATGAGGGGGCGGGCGTGGGTGTAGCGGCAGTAGGGGCTGGGGCAGTGCGGGGGTTGGGGAGGGGGAGGGGGAGGGGGGTTGTAGTTGTAGTTGTAGTTGTTTTCTGAGGAGGAGGAGGAGGAGGAGGAGGAGGAGCAGTAGGGGGGTGGTGTTGTTGCTGGCGATGCTGAAGGTTCCCGCGGCTGCGTAGTAGGCAGGGGTAGGGAGTCTGATGCCGGCCTTTCGTTGTTGCAGTTGCAGTTGCTGTTGCTGCTGTTGCTGTTGCTGTCGGTCTTATTATGGCGGCTCTGGCCGCGCTTGATGACGCCGAGACACACGGCGCAGCAGTCGAAGTAGCTTAGTAGAAGCGTGTTCCGGCAGACGAAGCAGGACTTGGCAGAAGCTGTATACCGAGGCCCCTGGTTTCTTTGGTCGGAGGCCGGCGTGACGATGTCCTCGGTAGATTGGTCGTACTCCTCCTCTGGCTTCCCGAGCTCGATGGTGATTACGTGGTCGCGATCCATAGCGGCAGGGCAGTCTTATGATGATAATACCGGGTGAGTTGTATTTCTAGCTTTGATTATTAGCTACCTATTTGCGCGGTAAGAGTAGTAGTAGTGGTAAGATTGGTATATTTGAGGATGTCACTTGTTTAGCTTTGTTCCTAGCCGGCAAGAGAATGTAGATAGTTAAGTTTGAACCAGTTGGTTCGAAGAGGACGCATAGCTAGATGACTTAATTATGAACTTGAAGGGTGAAATAATTGGGTGTGATACATAACAGGTCATTCCAAGTGAGCGAGATGGGGTACCGTAGCTGCTTATTTAGAGGAGCGAGGAGGCGCGATGTTGAGATCTAAATAGCTATCGCTTAGACTAAAGCTTCCCAGCGTCATGGTTATGACTTGTTTAGACCTTCTAGAGTCCTACAAAGCAGGGGCAGTACATGTTAGGTATTACATCCAGGGCAGCCGTCCGTTTATTCTCTCCTTCCAAGGTCTATAGGAGACTAAAGTCAATGTATAGATGAGAGTCTAAGTACCTAATCTAAGGTATTAAAAGGGAACACGACAATAATCCAAGAAGTTCTTCATCAGGGCAACCTTAAAGCTGCAATACTTGAAAAGAAGATATACTGTTTGATATTCCCAAGTATAATATACGTGTTGATAGCGTCTCCATACATAAACTCATGATTCAATCTAACTACCGAATGAAGACTTATATATTTTCATATAGTCAGTCGTTACAGTATCGCTAGGTACAATATATTTTCATGAACACTACGGAAGTCCCCATCAAAAGTTTTGTCCATAGGTCCCGGACAGCTGCATCAAAAGCTGTCAGGTGGCACCTACGGACAAAACTTTTGATGGGGACTTCCGTACTTACTATAAACTATAATAATCCTCTTCAAGACATGTTTTTTTCCCTCTCCTTTTCTCTCTCTTGGATCTATGCGAATTCAATCCGCAAACTAATACCACAGGCTATGAAGCTCAAGTCCTTCCCAATTTAGTCAATAAGACATTGAAACCAACTAAGCTCCAGCAACAGCAACAATAACAACAACAAGCATTGGAACCTCACACAAAAACTTAACAACCAACCAATTAGCGACACTGTTAAATATCACGTACAAAACAACCCCATTCCCAACCCTCGTATTCCCAAACCCAAACCCACGCCAAATCCCTTCCATCCAAGACGTTTCAGGTCGCTGATACCATCCCATCCCATCTCATCTCCATATATAATACAAACCCAACACAACTAAGTACCTAACTAGCACACTCCATTCCTACATAACTCACCAGCTTCCAGAACAAGCTATTCATTCCCTCGGCGTTCCGCAGTCTCGGATACCCGCGCCGCAGGAATGGATCTGGACGCTAATTCGTCATCGCCAAGCCATCGCGATATACCCTATCTAGGTACCTATATATAGCCGTCGTAAACAGAAGACCCGCAGAAGGAATCCTGCCATCCATCCACGCGGCAAGGGGTACCTAACCCAAGGGAAGTTCGGCCGGGATTATCTCAGTTAATCAATACCTACACTACATACGCTAACCTACGTCTACCTAATGTTTCTAGAACATGAAAGCCTTAACTAATACCTACCTTATCTAATGTTTCCGCGAAACGCTGAGATGACTAAACCGTATTACTTCGCCGATATACGGCGCCGATGACTGTATCTACTTAAGACATTAATATCGAATACCAACTAACGTACCTTATCTGCATCTCTAGTTCCGTGAACCAGTCAGTCTAATAAGTAACAACACCACACTACTTTAACAGCTAAGAACAATTATCAAACCCTTTTCCTGAATATATCGGGAATGATTTTTCGCTTTAATAAACACTTAATCGAGATATGGACGTAACGATAAACAGTAAAGGCCTAAACATAATGTAATAATAAACACATTTAAACAAGATCTACAACACAACTATCCAAGTCACATGAAAAGTCAACAGTGGTGAAGCTAAATACGTATGACATATACGTATGATCTATTACTATATTACAATGATATATACTAGTTAATACTAACACTAATCGTACAAACCTTCCAACGTCCCCAGGTACCCAAGGACGAAGTATCACACCTAGTCATCAAGACAAATCACCAAGACCGAGCGGGCCAAATAATTGAGTGGGTAACTTCTGGTATTCTTCAATAATCTGGAGATATCTAATACCTAGAGAGCGAGTTGATGCTAGATCAATCCACCGGGAAGCTCTGCTGCGTGAATAGGGAGGGGAGTGCGTGTGTTTAAGTCGTTGCTTGCTTGCTGCTGCCGAACATGAATTTTTGGTTTGCCAAACTGCGAGAAAATAATAATGATTGATTCCATCATCCCAACCAAGGACCAAAAGAAGAATAAAGCCAACATTTTTTTTTCCCGTCCTTTTCCCCCGTACCTTGTCTGTTGGGAAAAGGGGAAAAAGATAAAGCCGTCATCCTTTTCAACCTCCTCGTCCCCTTTGCTTGGAGGCGACCACCAAACTTGATTATTAAGAACAAAACCTGGCGGGCAGAGAATACAAGGAAAGAAAGCAGCAAGCAGGGCGACCATCCCGAGTCAGACAAGAAAACATCCCGTGTGGTGGTAGAAAGATGAGCACAACTACAAGTGGCGACACCGGCGAGGAGTTTAAAAAGAAGAAAAATGCTCTAATGAGCCTCCTGCCAGTGGCCAACCCACTCGACGTCACCGAAATCGTGGCGTCTCTCCTTACGCCAGTTCCAGTCTCGACCCTTGTTCCATGGGCATTCGCGTGATGCCGAGTGATGATCCCGGTTCCATTTGTGGTTTTGCTGATTGGCTTGGTCCCAAATTCCTATTCCTCCTGGTAAAGTATTAAATCCAATACCGAACTGACGTCGGGATTTCGTTGAAAAATCCGGCGACTTGGGCCCCGGTGCTCCTGCGTATGCCCGGCGGCGTTCCCCTAAAACCGCCCACTTGTCGACGCCGCTTCGCTTCGACGGAGGCGAGTACCGAGTAGGGAAGTGCTCAGGCTGTACAACAGCAACAGGCTCGTGAAAGAAAAATCCATCCGCAACTAGGTCTCCATCAATGTCATTTGAAATGGTATCGTTCACATGCGAAGCCTCTGGCTTCTCATCATCAGACGCTGGCGCCTGGTGCAAGGATACCTGATCCTGCCGCGGAGTCCTAGTAGCCTCCTTGCTCTCCTGACTCCAGGTCCTAGAGTTAAGCTCTTTGAGCGCTTGTAGTTGACGGGCGCGCTCCTCTTCGTCTTCCTCCACATCCTCGTCCCACATGTCGCTCCAGCTCTTCGACACGGTATCCTTCTGGCGGCCAAACACCATCGACATAGCACTAAGAGTAGGCTTGGGCCTCGACATGGTGATAGGCAACGAGCCGGTCATCGGAGACGCTCTGGCAACAGCACGGCCAGGCATATCCATAGGGCGCGACTCGTTGAGCGAGCTCGTGTATGCCGCGAGGTTGGAAGTCAGGACAGACGAGATCGATGGCGTCAGAGCAGAACCAGACATCCAGTCCGTAGTATCCGCGGACTTGGAAAACAGATCCTCCGTGTAACTTTCGTCGTCGGGGATGGCGCTGAGTTGACGGAGAGCCTGGGGTATGGCTGCGTGCAGGGCCTTGGCCCACGGGAAGACGCCTGAGTCCAGCTGGGGGCTCTGGATCGAAGGAGTCCGGAGCGGCTCGCGGTTGGCGGTGGCGACAGTCGAACGCTCAGTCGTGCAGAAGTCATCCAGAGCCTCCTCGAGGGTGGTGAAGCTGACAACGCGGCGGAGGGCGTTCTTAGCACCGACCAGGGATCGCTTCTTAGGATCTAGATTCATGCACTGGACGATGACTTCGTACGTATCCTGGGACATGGTAGGGAAGACATCGAAAAGAGATTGCTTGTCACGAGAGAAGTCCAGAAACAAGGGATCAGCCTCGGTCGGGGTAGTGAAGGGGTTTCGAGAAAAGAGAATGTTTAGAAGGCAGATACCGATCGCCCAGATGTCAGCCTGGGCCGGCGAGTATCCGGCTCCGGCCGAATCGTATTGCTCAGGTGACATGTATCTGTCGCTCCCGACCGTATTCTCGTAGCTCCATCGGTCCGTGGTAGCCAACCCAAAATCGCCAAGCTTCATCGAACCCGACTCGGTGAGAAAGATGTTCTCGGGCTTGATGTCTCGGTGGTAAATGCCTTTCGAGTGCATATACGAAACAGCATCGACTAGTTCGATCATGAACTGGCGGACGTGTTCCGTCTCCAGGGGGCCAAGTCCAGTGCGAATGGCCTCGTACAGATCACCACGCGAGCAGTATTCGAGGACAAGGTACACATGGGAGTCGGTCTCGAACGAGTGGATTAAGTTAACGATGTTGGGATGAGCACCTAGTAGCCGGTGGGAAAGTAGCTCCTCGGAGTTCTCGTCGACCGCAAATTCGATGCCGGCTCCGTCGGCAGCTGCCTTCTTAGTTAAGCACTTGATGGCAACGAGCTCTTTGGTTTGCAAGTCCCTTGCCATGAACACCATTCCAAAAGATCCATGATTAAGAGGGGAGAGGGTTTGAAATCTCCCGTCTAGTAAAACGCCGTCTTGAAACTTGTTTCTTAAGCATTCCATGACCGTTGTCTCGACGTGAGACAAATAATCGAGGTGAGACGAAGTAAATCAGATGTAACCACGGATGATCGTACAAGCTGTATAGTTCTTTCCCCCCCTTACCTGATGTCTATTTGGAAAGGGAGAAAAGGGGTATCGGAATGCTTCTTGAAGAAATTGATGAAATACTTTTTTGAGTGCTTGTACAGAGAGCTAGAGCTGCCAGGAGCGAAGAAGGTAGTAGTAGTTGATAAAGTAAATGTTGCCAATCCAAGAAGAGTTGGGTGAGTCGAGATAGTAGGAAGCGATATACAAGATGCCGGTTATGGGAAAGAGAAAGCAAAGAACTCCAGGTCGTCAACAGGTCAGAGGCTCATCCAGGGGTATGTGAAAATTTGTCGGACAAATGAAAGCAATCGAAATAATCGTGAATAGTAGTTGGACCTTTGGTCCTGAAAGAGTGAAAAGGAAAAGTTCGTTATAAGGACATCGATACGATGGTCTCAATTTGAAAGAGTGTGGTTTGAGTTTATTATCACAAGCCTCGGGTTGGCTGAGCTTGAGAAGGGTTTATTTATCTTGCGTTGCTGTTCGTTATTGCCGATGCTCTTGTTGTCGTTGTTGTAGATGATAGGGCAATGAGTCAACAATCGATCGATGCAACTTGTGTCCGAAGGCGGCGTGCGTCCTAGGGATTTATCGAGCAGGTGAACTACTCCTCGGCTCTAAATAGCATCTAAGCTGGATGGCAATTCGAGATGAGACTTGTCTGAAGGATACGGCGGGATGATAGATATTTACGAAAGTGGCTCTTGATGACCAAGCCTTTCGATGACTGGTCGGCCACGAGATCGGAGCTGGCAGAACGGGATGTTGGTGGTTATGTAGGGCGTACCAAAATATGAACTTCACGGCAGTCAACTCCCACTAACTCGGCTTGATAGTATGCTAATTAGGGAGCGAAGTTATGACTCCTCGTGACCTTGTTTGACAAGTGTGGATTAGCAATGGTCGTTGTTCCAAGGTGGATCTGGTTCGGTGCGGATCCAGGCAATCAAATTACGAGTCAAGGTGGGTGTGACGTGGTGAAGGCGCTCTGAGAAGTCTAGTATCCAGACTTGATGGTTGGGAAAGTAGTTGAGAAGAGTACGGCGCCGGTTTATTGTTATTGTTCGTGGGTTTCTTTTGTCAGTGGTTTTTTATTAACTGGCTCGACTGGACAAAGACCGCTGGCCGGGTTTGAATGGATCAGATCAGGTATGCGGAGGGAGAGATGTCGTGACCGATTCAGGGGGGTTCGAGTGGAAAGGAGGAGCAAGAGTTGTTAAAAAAAGACCAATGGTCACTCTCAAAGGAAAGAGAGCTTTCTATCAATTAGGATAACGGGGATAGGAAGCTAAGATCCAGATCCCTTTCTCTCGTTATGTTGGTTTGGCACTTTTTTTTGGGAAAACGGAAGCAGGGAATCAACAGCTGAGTGGATAAGAGAGAAGGGGACAGAGAGTGACGGTACGAAGATTAAGATAGATGAGTAAGATATTGAGGACGATCGGTAAAAGAAGAAGCGGTAGGAAATGGATGGATGGATGAATTGGGAGAGAATAGTGAGAAAGAGAATAGTAGGTAGGTAATAGCAAAGCCTAGTATAACCCGAAGGGGGCGATTAAACAACGAACTTGGCTGTCTAGCTGTATGTGGAGGTGGATTTGGCTCGACCTCACTGGGTCCACCAGAACCAATTATGGCTGCTCTGCTACTGGGCTGGACAATTTGGGTGGTGGGACGACCATGGAGCGATGCAGGTAGGCAGTTACCTATGGATGGCGTGAATGGATACATAATGGAAAGAGAGAACTGGCAGACTGGGTGCTGCACACAAGTGGAGCTTCATGTACGTAAATACGTAGTTCGTGACCGGGGGTAAGGAAGGAACAAGGAAAGGACAAGGGGCTAAAAGGGAACACAAGGACAGAAACAGCAACAAGGAACGACAACTGCTGCTGGGTCTTTGTTCTAACTAGGTAGTACCGTTGTGTAGTTAGCTTCCATTGGACCTCTACCTCTTAAGTACATAGGTACCTAGGTAGCTTAGGTAGCTTAGGTAGGTAGCTTGAATCACAGTGTCCATACGGTGAATAGAGTAAGCAATAGAAGGCAATGACGATAGAAGGACTGGATTAATTTTAACAGCATGCCACGCCATCAGATAGCAAGGTACTTTATTGAATGGGACCTGAACGGTGGAACTCCCTTGTAAATGTTTGGGGTGCATAAGGTACTGAGATATCTGTTTCGTCAGACCCAATTGTGAAATTCGGCTCGGCCGTAACCTTATTCACAGTATATACAGTATAATATAAACACGGAGTAAGAACAGAAGAGATTCAATCGGGATTGTCCATCATGTAATCTCCCAATGCTCCCAATCAATCTCCCAAGCTCTGTAGCGGCAGACCAACTATGTAGCGTAGAAGTTTATCGAATTATACCTTATGTACGAATCACGCGGACAGGCCCGGACTTCCAGTAGGAATGTTGCTAGCGGATGCACCGTATACAATAGTTCTGATGAAACTACTACCTTCAAGCACAAGCTAGTCTAGGATCGCCACACCGCCATCTACCTAATAAGAAAGTACCTCGATAACAGATTCTCACTGCGGAAAAGCTTACAACAGGGGGTAGAGAAACCAGAGATCCATGTATTCCTCCTTCCTAGTTGGAGGGATCTACATGTACACTCTATATCCTCGACAAGGTACCTACATACTACATTAACAAGCCATTGAACAGCGTTAAAAGTCTGCTGGAGATTAAGGTTCCAGGCACAAAAGTAATGTATATACATAGGTACATATGTAGACTTGAACACGTTGCTACAAGACCCCACGATGATCTCTTTTGATGACAGCCAATGATTCGCGCATCGACTCTTCCAGCATATTCGGTTTCACATAAAAGATAAACTGCTTACTTATTGGTTTAAAGGTTATGCACTCCTTTTTACCTGCATCAGTACATTTTATCAATACATCTTTATATAGTATTTTGACTTCCAAGTTTTGCCTAGTTTGACTTGTAGCTTAACTTGTAACTGGATGCTTCTTTTTATTTATTTTTTATTTTTATATACTTCAAGTTGACCGCCTTTGTTTATAATTTCAATTGCTGCATGACACCGAACGCCGTCTTCGTGGTCGGGTCAGCGCATTCAAGGAAAGCCGACAAGTTTAAACATCATGTACCCAATCTGTATTTGCTGCCAACTTCCAAGTCAGCTGTAAAGTCACACATAGGAGATTATTAAAATAAGTCGAGTCATATTAAAAGGGTGAATCATAACCAATTTCAGGTTTGACGAGCGCGAAAACTCGAGCACCTGTAAACAATAGAACAATAGAACAAGATTGAACGATAGAGAATTGCGAATTGAAAGTTACCCACCCGACATTGGATGGCACCCTACGGCGGCAGAAAGCGTATCGCGACCCCTGAATTGTTGGGTCCTCTAGTGTAGGTCCTCTTGGTATTCGCCGGCTGAGTCTGGGGCAATCCTAGTCGGACTTTAATTGATACATCTGATGCAAGTTGGCATCATCTTTTCCTTAAAAGGCGACAATGAATTTATGTAGTGTAAATTCAATCCTACACGAAGCAGATCTCACGATGGGGATAGAGATGGGGAAGATTACCAAGTTACGTACACCAGAAGCTTCAATTGAGCATGATGCAATAACGAGGACAAGATGACTGATCGTCTCGCCCCCTTTTTTCGGCAAACATGGAAGAAGACATTCCACAGTGGTGTGTGCTCCGTAGAACCGTAGAACCATAGAACAGTAGAACAGTAGAACAAATGAACACAGTCGTGTCCCAAGACTTGGGACGGATCTCTGTCGTGTGACCTAAAAACGGCAGTGTCTTGGAGGTATTCCCCCACCGCATTCCAGTAGGAGCAATACTTTTGTTCGTATACCTAGGTACATACCTACGTTCGTACACTTTAGCGTCAATACTATACATATGTAAATCCGATAACTCATAATACACAGACCGAAAACAGTACCTAGCGTCTTCCTACCCTTTCCGACACGGCCGAGATGCTGTCGTCATGCATGACTGACAACGCAAAGAAACGCGTTCGACGGTTTCAAGCCCAAAATATTTTGGTTCTCGTCCGAAAAAGCAATCCCCCCTCTCCCCCCCAGCAACACGCGAGCCGAGCCAGACTCTTCTTGCCGCAAACGGATTCAAAGGCAATGCGTTACGGAACCCACTTATTGAATCGAACACTTTGGAGATCGATGGATTGAATTGCGTGAGGGGGACCGACCCCACGCGGGCTTCGGGCAACGTCGAAATAACTAACGACACGCTGCCCGAAACACATTTGATATGTCACAGCAAGCGAAACGTGGTTCATTAACAGAACACTGATATAGAGCCGATCCGGCGGTGAAGACGGAGATGGAGAGACGATGGGCAGATTTGCAGCACTACATATATCGCTAGTGTAGGCTGAAGACTTATCAAGTTTCTCGTCGTTTATGATTGCGCTAAGTTGACGGAACGGAACTTGGCGTTGAATGACACGATATTCATCATATTAGATATCATATCGGATACCATATTAGACTAAACCGATAGAGTTGTCGTCCATATGTGTAGGTTAGTGTAGTGTAGTTAGTCCGCGATTATAGGCGGACCATGTCTACAAACGCCGTGGCTGATAGCTGAGGATGGCTGAGATGCATCGTGCAGTTAGCCTCTCGGCGTTGTCTAGAAGTAAGTGCCCTTCATGCATGAGGTTTGCTGCAGGCATGAATACATAACATAATAAGGTGCCAATCCTACATGTAGTAGTAAGTCAGCATATTAGGTACTGGCCGGATAATACCAAATTGGCGATGGACTTTCCTAGGTAGCTAGACGATAATCATCCCGTTAACCAAGACACATGATAGCTAAAAAGAGTCGACGCGACTTACTTACGGTTACTGTCTTAGACTTGTTTATTGATATTACTACACTACGACACCATACATTGCCGTGGAACCAACCGTACGAGTTATCCAGTTGGATGGACACACGTCGTACCACAGCCTTCCCATAAAATACCAATCAAGTGATTTGTTTACTTGGTTTATTTGGAGGTTAGCAAGTTGGAAAAGGTGGGTTGGCAGGTTGGCTGGGACTCCAATGCTTTCCGGCTAAGTAGCCGATATGCAGAAACGATGCAAAGAGGATGCGAGAAGACGCAACCACGCAAAACCACGATGTACAAAGATGCACAAGATGCAGTAGTCTCTAGCCTTATCGATTTTAGTATACTGATCCGCTAAGATGTCGTTAAAGACCCGCTTAGTACGTATCTGTACCCGCTTAGCACGTTGTCCTTAAGGTTCCGGTTTCTTAAGATTAGGTCGTTATCAAAGCTTATCGTTATCTACCCTATCAGCCTACCCCCCTTCCCCCTCCATTTTGACATTTCCCATGTCTCTACTTTTCCCATCTTGGAGTTCGTCAATCATCTATCCTCCGCTTGGAACACTTGGGGGCTACTACTATACTAACTTTGCTGCATCAAGCTCTACCGAGACCTTGTTGGTGCAGTAGCGCGATACGGAGTGCGTTCCTGGGGGACAAGGCTAGGGATCCATTTGACTTTACTATTACTACCTTACCATTCGAGCATTTTCTTATTTCTTGACCGCCTTCTCGACGACACGCATTAAGACGCGGTGTGCCGTACGGCTGTTTTTCCTTCCCTTAAACATTACTATCCTATTCGGTGTTATTATCCTCGGTCGGAGCTGAACCGCAGAAGCAAGAAGGAAGAGAGAAAAAATTTCCTCCTGCACGTCAAATTATTATTTCATGCTCTTATCACCACGTTTTTTTTCACCTTCGTCTTCACCGCTCTACGCCGACGGGTAGACTAGTGTTGGTTTCCGCCCCCAGCCCGAGCCCGAGAGAATTTTTTTCGCTGAGATCTTAAGATCTTGAAGACGCGATATTCCAAGAGAACGGGAGACCCACGGTCCCAGTTGCCGTCATGACTCCATCCAGCCCTGTGAAAGTGGTGCTTTTAGACATTGGTAAGGACAGCTTCCGAGCCTGACCTTGCTTGCCCTTACTTCATATCATCGTCTAGTAGTTTAGACATCTAGGCGCATTAGCCTGGGCGTGTTGGCTAATATATCTCCTTCTAGAGGGCACAGTTTGTCCAATCTCCTTTGTCAAAGATGTACTGGTAAGACATTCCGTTGGAAACCTCGTGTCTCCAACTCTCAAATCCCCCAACCCTACCACCCTTGTAGTATAACCCTGTATACCAGTATGGCGATCGACCGCCCAGATAGTGGATGTAATGCGCCGTCCGTCTACAGCAGTTTCGGACCACTAGACTATTATGTAACCTAGGGTTAAGTTGTCCTAGGATAGTTCTATTCCGGCTATGACGAATTACGTCGCTTAGTATCTCAGCATCTAGCAACGTTGCTATGCTGGAATGCTTTCGTTGGCTTACCGGAACGTCGATTAAGGAGTCCACGTTGACTAATACGTGGTTCTAGTTCCCCTACGCACTAAGTGTTCTCCCGGAGACATTGAAAACCCAATGGGATAGTCCAGACTTTGCAAAGTATAGAGACGCGTTTCCATCGGAATATTCCTCGTCTAAGGATGCGCTAGAAGCACATGTCAGGGACCTTATGGAAAAAGATGTAAAAATCTCCTATCTCAAAAGCCTCCAGGGCTACCTATGGGCGGAGGGCTACGCCTCAGGTGACTTGAAAGCCCCTCTATTCCCGGATGTTGCCGCGAAGCTATCGGAATGGCAACGCAAGGGCCTCAAGATAATGATCTATTCGTCTGGGTCTGTGGCGGCACAGAAGCTGTTCTTCGGGCATACAGATGCCTCCCCGTCCGATCTGACACCGCAGATCTCAGACTGGTTTGACACCGTCAACGCCGGGCTCAAGACGGAGACGGATAGCTACAAGAAAATCGCCAATGAGCATCCCGAGTTTCCGCCTGGAGAGTGGCTATTCCTAAGTGATAACGTTAAGGAAGTGGAGGCTGCTATTCGAGCTGACATGCAGAGCGTGGTCGTTCAGCGTCCTGGAAATGCACCTTTATCGTCTGAGGTACCACAGCGGTTACGAGTCATAGATACCTTTGATTCCCTCGACGATGATCTAAACGTGCGCATGAAGTAACTGGCCGCACGAGAAGAGCCAGCAAGGCTAGCCAACGAGCAGAATACCGCCCCCGTATCGGGGGCGCTTACAATAAGTCGAGAGGAGACAAGCAAATCGGACTAAAAGGAAATGGTTGAGTGTAACTTGGCTAGCCCGGCGGGCCAATCCGAGCTGACCGCTCCGGTTGATGGTGTCTAAAAGGACTCTCAAATCGGCCGGCATTCAACTCGACGTGGGGGGGCTCACGGTTTGTAGGCTAGTTAGCGGACCGATCGTTTCCCAGAGGATCCAAGTGTTCCCTATATTCTAAGCGCGACGATTAAAGGCCAGCCACCCGTAGCTTCGTGCGGAGCGGGCCTAGATAGTCAAGCGACTATTGCTCTAGTAAGCTGAGAAATTATACCCTTTTAGAATCATCCATTATTCCAGTATGAGAGCCGAAACACGGGAATTGGTGTCTCTTTGAATCGATCGGAGACAGGTACACTTGCGTAGCATTTACCTGTTTCACCGGTTGTTGATGTCTCGGAATCGTAAACGGGTTTCTCCAACGACAGATATCGCTGGTGACCCCTTACATACAGCTGGCATTATCATCACCCTCCAAGCAATTTTCCGCATCACTAGTAACGCTCGACGTAAACTAGCATCTAGCCCATCAAAAAGTCCCGGCAATAACGCACGATTACACTGCACGCATTGATTCCGCGAAGCTGAGGTAGCTAGCCTGTCTCTACATAGAGTCTAACGGGCCCATCCTGTCTCCGACCCCGCAGCGCCCCCCCAGCGATCTCCAACGCGGGCGCACGCGTGATGATAAACTAGTGGATAGGTAGTTTCACGACGGCCCCCGGCTAGGTCTAATAATTAAAAAGGAGGCCGGCGATCGTGGCTGGGACATCGTCTCGGTGCTACAGGGTGGAATCCGGGGTAAACAAACTACGTATGGACATAAGTGTACACTACATGACTCGTCATTCCTCCTAACCAAGGAGTATCCCGCCAAGCGTGTTGTCTATACATACATGTACATTACGTTAGGTAACGAACTGCGTAGCTGATTTGATTGCTTGATCGTCCGTCCGTCATCTGACCAAAGCGGGGTTCTGGTCTTCGTCAACTGGAGCCAAGCCCCCTATGTATGTACGTCTTGTATATGCGTAGGCAGGTAAAGAAAGGCACCCTGTTTCGCCGTTGCCGCTGGCAACTCCAGTCTTGAATCGTGGCTAGATTCCCGGTTGGAGTGACGCCGCCTCAACGTACGCAGGGTCTACTCCCTTCCACGAGAGCTTGTCGTCGACCTACGGGTCTAGAACGCAATCCAGGAACGCCATCTTGACAAATAAGAGGCACTACTAGCCAATTGGGCGTCTAGGATATGTCGATATCATGTAGCTAAGGAAGTAGGTAATGACATTCAGACGCCCTCGAACGCATAACCGTTTCGAGTCGCATTAATCTATTGCTGGTTAACAACTCGCATCTGGTTGGCGCTGGCCTGACTAAGGCGAGTCGGGAGATAGGCTTAGCTATGCCCAAGGAACGGGCACGCGGTCGCCTAGCCTAACATCATCGTCGCTATGATGTTCCCATAATCAATAGTCGCAGTAACGAAGCGTGGCCGCAACGAAGAGCCCGGGTAAAGTTGCCAAGTTGCCGCGTAGAACGCTAGCGACTAGGGGAGAAACGTTGGTATACGTTCTGACGTTTCAAGCAGGATCGCCAATATATTCCCCAATATCACACTAGCTCAGGTAATCACATACGACCGAAGGAATTGCTGCATATTGTGAACTTTAGCAATTGATCCTTGCGGTGGTGAGATATGCGTCTCCACCACCAATCGTCAGACAAATATATCGTCAGATATTTCGATTATTCCCTTTAGACGGGAACCCGGAGTGCCCCAGAAGCCGTTCAATCGGTTTTCCTACAAATGGCTCGGACGTCTCCTGACCTGGTGACTTCGATCCAAGCCTATCGGGTAGATAGACGATTGACTGCGGGGTAGACCTAGCACCACATACGAGTCCACTGACTGACGATCTCGATAGATAGATAGAAAGGTGCCCCCCTTACTAACCCAGCCGTCAGGAGCGCATCCAGGTGGATACACGTCGGGCAGATTCAGAGACAATAAAGTAAGGGGTAGGGCGGAAAGACCACTGACACTAAGCTGAGGTGGTAGCGCACGCAGACTGCAACCCTCCGCCAAGAATGAGCGACGAGAGTGTTATCAGATTAACGCGGCGACGGTACCCCACCATCGCAAGTTTTGTCGACATGTTCGAATCGATTAGGTGGCTATGCGTCTCATTTGCGAGCCTTGTGGGTGTGAACGGCACTTAGAGTTAATTGAAAACCCGGCTGTCACCCTGATGAGCCGCGAATCACGATGGCGAAGTTGTTTCTCGAGTGGCCAGATCGAAGTTCTAATTTCTTGAACGTCGTAAGAGGCGATTGGAGCGGCGAATTCCTGACCCAAAGGTAGTAGACGAGTTTCTGAGTGGTTTTGCTCTGGGCTCTTACGTATCCCAGTGCTCTCATGATAGACTCCATATGAGACTCGTTCATGTATCTTGAGTTGGTGATGCACTATAATGTTCATTGGTTAGCAATATATTTAGTAGTAGCAAGTAAACGTATAGGAAATTACTAGCATATATCACATGCAGATACTAATGACTATATGTGCCTGGACGACGGCGAGACCCGAAAAAAGAGGAGACAGCTTGGATAATCGAGATGAGACTTACTGGTGCTGGCAAAACCAAGAACAGACTTGGAAAGATATCACGTAGCTGAGATGAGCTGTCTGTCTCAGGCCCCTTTAGAAATTCCAAAGTTCTGAGAAGCATCTCACCTCGTCCCATAGCATCAGGGACGAAATTCAGAACCAACGAAAGACTAATTATGTCGAACCGTTCAGAATCATCTTTAGGTAGCGGCCTTTTCATAAAATCCTGTTGTAAAATGCCGTCGCTTTGACTGTTTAAGTCTATCCTTTCCATATCGAAGACACCACTCTTCGAACATACATTCGTAGTACTCAACGCACCCACTTCAAGCATCCTCAACCGAGCTCCCTCAAGAGAAGTGAAGTTCGGGTCCATCGACTTGAGCCATTCCATAAGTACACGGGAGCTGTCTCCCCCGCGGTCGAGGCGTTGGCCCTGAAGGCTGGCTTGTTGGTACTTCTCAAGGCCGCCCAGGGCAGCAATCTCGGCTTCGACTGCAGCCTGCGTAGCTATATCACCTTTAGCGACAGCTTGGGCTTTCTTCTTCTCTAGGACATGGTGAGAATTAATTAATGTCCTGGTAGCTTTTCTTGATATCGACTTCGGTTTCAAGACGGTTGGAGGCCGCCCTGCAGTCAAGTTCTTCACCCGGCCTCTCTTATTTACCCCCATCACGCCGCCTACTCCTAAGTTAGATGATATGGTGGCCTAGTCGCCGTTGTGCCGTATAAATCGTAGTATGTTTAAAGGTTGTGGTAAGGAAGGCTCTGGTTGCCTGGTATTAGAAAAGTATAAGGACAGTGTTGGACATGTTTAAAGCACTGTAATGCAAAGTATAAATCAATAGGAAAACACAGTGTATAAAACCCCGGGAAGTCCATATATGTCACGTGCAAACGCATGAATTTTTGGCTGGCCGATGCACTCACTGGTTATGCATGTACCAACTAGCTCGAATCTCCCGAAGATTTACAGAAGTTTACCCAGGAACTTCTCAGTGGGTCCACAACGCAAAAATACCCTAAGCGAATTTTGCAAAATCTACCTCGAGCTAATTTTCGACCACTCGAACTTCGCTCGATCTTTTCAACCTCCTCGAGACGACAATCGCGAAGTCATACTAACAGCCCAACATCCGCCAGCACAATCACAATGGGTCCCAAGGTTCCTGCGAAGAAAGGTACATCATCATCATCACCACCACTACCACCATAAATAAATATCTCCAGTCGTCTTTCGACAAGATTTCCCACACGATGATTATTCGTCGGAATTGGCGCTGCTTCCGCGCGCGTCTTCCTGGCCGATGCATCGAGCAGAGCAGATTTTGCGAGTTCTGATTCAAGAGCGATTGCTGATGCGTTTTTTTCTCTATACAGGCGGTGCCTCCAAGGCGCCGAAGGGTGTGAAGCAAGCCAATGCTGCTGCTAAGGCTGCCCTCAAAGGCGTAAGTTAACAATAAAATAAACAACGTCGATATCGATATGACGATCGATCGACTTCCGTGAAAATTTCTAGCTCCCGGAATGCTAATGGTCGGCGCAGGACAACTCGCACAAGAAGCGCAAGGTTCGCACCTCGACGACCTTCCACCGCCCCAAGACCCTCCAGCTCTCGCGCTCGCCCAAGTACCACCGCAAGTCGGTCCCCCATGAGCCCCGTCTGGATGAGCACAAGATCATCATCCACCCGCTCAACACCGAGAGCGCCATGAAGAAGATCGAGGAGAACAACACTCTCGTCTTCATCGTCAATATCAAGTCCAACAAGGCCCAGATCAAGAAGTCCCTCAAGAAGCTCTACGACATCGACACCGTCAAGATCAACACTCTCATCCGGTAGGTTTCCAACCACTGTCAAGTTGTGGTCTTGGTGGTATTTTGGTTTGGTGCGGTTTTACTGACTACGTGATATAGACCTAATGGCTCCAAGAAGGCTTACTGCCGTCTGACCGCTGACGTGGACGCCCTCGACATTGCGGCTACCAAGCTCGCCCTTGTTTAGATTAGCGGCTTCGAGAGGAGGATACCCGATTCGCGCGGTGGTTCGGTAATGATTTGGCAAGTGATGACATGGCAGATTGTGCTGATTAGATGCACATTCTCGAGTCCGGGTTGGACTATATGCATAAAGGCCGGCGTTGCGTTGCCTATGGATGGCTAGGCTTATGAGATCAACGGAAAAGAATTGATTTCTCAGACACGGATTATTGAACTTGTTTAAAGTGATTTGATTGTTTATGTGGTTTTTTTTTTCTGCTTTCCAAGTGATGCATTAGTGGTGGTGATTTCATGGCCATACATTTTATACGTCCATCTGGCGCCTTTAACCCGGTCTCCGGATACCGCATTGAAGATAGTTCGTTCCACGCAATGCGCTTCTAACCCCCCATCTCTCGATCCTCGTAGCTATTCGTACAATCCCTCATCATACCTAACCTAACGTATTCTCCCATGGCCGGCGCATAGTCGATCGTAAAATTCCATACCGTAGATTTTTCCGTCTCTCTACCTAGGGTAATATCCTAACCCTGGCGCAAGTTCTGCAGGTGCTTGACGGTCAACTGGCTCACGTCGATGAAGCGGTTCGCGCAGTTGACCATGCAGCCCTCCTCGCTCTTGTCCAGCTTGCCGCTGCGGATCGTGCTCGTCATGCACTTCCGGAAGCACATGTCTGTTAGGGAGTGGACGGCTGCGAGGGAGGGGGGAGATGTGTGTTAGTAGGTACGTTAACCGATACTTAGGAAATTCTGGGGTTGTGGCTTTTGCGCGGAGGCGGGGTGAGATGGTTGGTAGGTAGGTAGGTAGGTAGTAAACGTGTATAGGTATGTGGGTTAGGTAGGCAGGAGGGGAACTACGTACTGGTCTGGATACGGGCCTTCTGGCCCTCGTTCGCGAAGAACTGGCGCAGCTCGGCCTTGTCGTTTTCGTTCAGCTTGCTGAGGTCGAAGTCATTGAGGTTGATGTTGCCGTCGGCCATTTTTTTCTTTCTTTTTTTGCGGTGTAGATCTTGCAGATATGTGTTACTTTGGGAAGGTAAGGGCTGCTGGGTTTTATGTAAGGGCGAATCTGGCGCGGGGGTGGTCTTGTTTGTTACTGAGAAGTTGGTGAGGGCGATGACGATGTCTATTCGGGGACGAAGTAAATTTCCTGTCTTGTTAAATTCGATGTGTATTGCTTATCGATAAGATTTATACCCACTCATAGGTATACCATGCTATGTTCTGAATATAGAGATTTCACACGAGAATTCGAAGCTTTTTACATGGGATGTACTGAAGAAATATGCATATATACCGGTAAATTATTTTCATATATTTTATATGGCAGTATAAGTTTTTCATGCGGACCTAAGCGTTTTCTCTACGTAGTTAGAGAAAAAATTGGGTAGTTTACCTTATAGGTTGCTCGCGGGATATCTTTTTCATTTTCCAACCTCCTTTTAAGCCCATATTTACAATAACCTAGCCTTGGAATAACCTGAATTCATCTGTTGAAGAAGCTATACGTTTTACAAGGGTATAATTCATATCTATATGTACTTGTAAGGGTTCATAATACCATTCTAGAGATTCTATTAGCATAGTCCAAAGACCAACGAGTTGGAGCGAGGAGATACTGACCGGATCGTAGAGCTTCTTAATTTGCTTCATCAACCCTATCGTCGTATCGTTTCGGCTATACCCGATGTACTTCTTCTTGGCAATACCTAAGCCGTGCTCGGCACTGATACTGCCGTTCCTCTTGCTGATCCACTCGTAAACAAACGGCTCGAGAGCCTCCTCTACCTTCTTGTCGTATCTTCGCACTGCAACATTTAGGTGCAAGTTACAGTCTCCCATATGACCGTAACCGACGACGTCGACGACAGGGGACTCTTCGGTGCCATCCTTTAGCCCTGCGTCTTCTAGCCTCTTCCTGGTATCTTCCACAAGCTGGTACATTTCTTTTATGGGAATGGACACGTCGTATTTGTATACTCCACCCCAGTGCCCTAGGGTCTCCGTGATACCTTCTCTTTGGCTCCATAGCGACCTGAACTGGGTCTCATCTTGTGCCATAACGCCGTCGCTAACGATCTCCTTGGTCATGAGATCTTCGAGGAAGCTTTCCAGCTTCTCGCTATCGTGTTCCGAGTTTGAACCGCTTGTCTCTATTAGACAGTAGAAAGGGTATTCACCATCTAGCGGTCGCTTGTTCCCCTTGACCTTGTGGAAAATGTCTTGACTCTGGGAATCCATCAACTCGAAGGCAGATAAGATTTCACCAAGTTGCGTCTTAGCTTCCCTGAAAGCTTGCAGGAGCTTATCGTAAGATTCAACACCGAGGAACGCAACATTGACAGCTTTGGATCGTTGGGGGCAGTGTATCGATACTGCAGTAATCATTCCAATAGTTCCTTCTGCGCCGATGAAGAGCTGCTTTAAGTCGTAGCCGGTATTGTTCTTCCGTAGCCTGCTCAAATCATTCAAAATTGTCCCGTCGGGGAGAACAGCTTCGACGCCTAGGACAGTCCCGTGTAAACTTCCGTACCGCAACAACCGCAGTCCGCCAGCGTTGGTCGAGACATTGCCGCCGATGTGGCAGGAACCCTTAGCACCAAGATCTAAGGGGTAGATATAGCCCTTCTCGGCAAGGAATTGGTCGGCTACTTCTAGTACGACACCGGCATCCGCAACTAGGACACCGGTCACTTCATCAAAGAATCGGATCTGGTTCATTCGGCTAGTGCTGACGACGATCTCATCGAATACAGGTACGGAGCCGCCGACAAGACCGGTATTACCCCCTTGAGGGACGACAGCCAACAATTTTTCATTACAATACTTCAGGATCTTACTGACTTCCTCGGTAGATCCCGGTTTCAGTACCAATTTGCAGTGGCCCTTGTACTTCCGCATCCAGTCCATATTGAATGGCTCTATCTCATCTTCCCCAGCATTGCCGGTTACGCCATCGACGACAGCGGAATCCTTGCCGAGAAGGTTCTTGAAATAGTCCACGTGCTCATTTGTTATCTGAGCAAAACGGCTATCCCGTTTGATCTCGGGGTAGGAATCGGTTGTGAATCCGGCGCATCTTACAGTGGATTCTCGGAGCCGCCTCGGAGCGGTGCTTGACATACATCGCACAGTAGATCTGACCGGGTTGATAACCGCCACGGATCTTCTCAAACTCGGTATCGCTACCCGGTTCAAAGCGGGAGCGAGTCTTGACCTACAAGCCATGTCTAATATGATCAAGCCGCTATCACGGACGACGGTTATAAAGGTGAGAAAAACATTCAATTGAGTTTTAAGCTTAAACTACTGGGATGACGCAGCAAAAATAATTACCTAATTCCCAATGGAATTAGCCGATTCTACAATGGCGGCGAAACTCTATTCCCGGGCAAGCGCTTTTTGTATAATATTAGGTAGGTACATCCGATGTACGTAGGTACTTTATGTATTGTACCGTAGATCTTACGAGGGACCTCAGCCCACAGGCAGGTCCACTTCCAATTTAGGAGTCAGCCTTCAGGGAGTCAATCTCAAGCCAAGACCCTGTGTTTATCTTCTTATCGATAATTATTACATAGGACCCCGTAGCGGGGCTGGGAGAAATAAGGGGGATCCCCTTATCTCCTTATCCCCTTAGCAACCAATTATGGACGTTGAAAGAGGCAGGAAGAAGTAGACAAAAGGTAGACAATGACCAAAGTGACCAAAGCATTTCCCAACTTGGCAGCTCAATGCAACGTTAGCAACACCACGAGAAGAGAAGAGAAACACTGATTATGCAGAGTTAAGTTAAATCTGTATTTACTATTATTTCTCCAGCCTCTTAATTGTTGCACCACTTTTAAGCCACCAGTTATTCCAATTCGATCCTGCGTCGCGCCGCGCCTTGCCTTGTATATCCCGCTACAACATTTCTACAAAGCCGAGATCCCGCAATAAAGGAGACCTTTCGAATAAATAATTCTACCCAACCGATCGCAGCCCGAATTCAAGTGTTTGCGATCCACGCTCGCCGCATCCCAGTATCTCAGTATCTAGCCTTTGACTTCTTCGGAAAGCGATAAATAGTCAAAGGCGAAAAAGGGTTGCAAAAATACGATTTCGAATTGCATCGCGCCCGCTCGTTCTACTTAAGCTGCCCCTGAGCGGCCGCGGGGCCTCGCCTCATCCAAGATGGCTCACCAATGGATTAACGTCCAACAGAAGACGTTTACGAAATGGTTAGCCAGCAAATCTCGATGCTTCTTTTATTTATGATGAGAGAAACATTGCATCTCGATTACTAGCAGCAGGAACTGACAATGACTGGAATGATAGGATGAATACTAAGATTTTGCCGAGGGGTTTAGTGGTTAAGGATCTCGTTACCGACCTCAGCGATGCTGTAGGTATATATCCGCTGCCAGACCGATATATCTTTCAACTGACTATTTCGATTCGTAGGTACTTCTAATACACTTGCTCGAATGCTTGTCTAGTGAATCGTTGGGGCGATATGCGGCGAAACCGAAGTTGCGAGTACAAAAGTTCGAGAATGCCAACACGGCGCTCAACTTTATTAAGTCGAGGGGGATTCAGATGACCAATATCGGTGCAGAAGATGTAGTCGACGGAAATCGCAAAATTATTTTAGGTCTTATTTGGACTCTCATTCTGCGATTTACCATTAGCGATATTAACGAGGAGGGTATGACAGCCAAGGAGGGTCTTCTTCTGTGGTGTCAACGTAAAACAGCCTGTTATGACGAAGTCGACGTTCGGGATTTCAGTAGTAGCTGGAACGACGGACTCGCCTTCTGCGCGCTGTTAGACATCCATCGACCTGATCTTATCGACTACGACGCTTTAGACAAATCCGACCATCGAGGTAACATGCAACTGGCATTCGATATCGCTAGTAAGGAGATCGGTATCCCCGACTTGCTAGATGTCGAAGATGTTTGCGATGTTGCTAAGCCTGACGAGAGGAGTTTGATGACATATATCGCCTACTGGTTCCACGCGTTTTCGCAGATGGAGAAGGTCGAGAATGCTGGCCGACGAGTAGAGAAGTTCGTTAACAACATGCAAGGAGCGTGGGAGATGCAGAGTGCCTACGAGAAGCGGATGGCAGAGTTGTTAAGACAGATCAGGGAGCAAATAGAACAATGGAAGCAAGCAACTTTCGAAGGGACGTACGTCGACGCAAAGAGGCAAGCAACCGAGTTCGCATCTTATAAGAGGGGCAAGAAGAGGGAATGGGTTGCCGAGAAGAGTGACCTGGCTACGTTATTAGGAAACATTAAGACCAAGCTTGGTACCTACCGACTTAGAGCCTATGAGCCCCCTCCGGAGCTGTCGTTGGAGACTACGGATAGGGAATGGGCTAAATTAACCGAGGCTGAGATGATGCGCGCCCAACTGATTAACGAGACTATTCGAGAGTAAGTTCTCCAGGCATAAGTTGATTATCATTCCCTGACCATTACCGCAGTATCAAGAACGCTTTACGTAAATCGTTTGCCGACAAAGCCAACGACTTTGCGCTAGCTCTTAATACAATGCAGATTGCCATATCGGGCCTCGAAGGAGATGTGGAAGACCAACTTCTGCACGTGCGAAAACTAAGCGATAACCTGCCGCCGCTGGACGCTTACCTAGAAAAGATCGCAGCCGTCGACGCCAAGTGTCAGGAAGCTAACATTGAAGAAAACGACTTCACAACTTACACGTACGACGAGCTGCTATATGAACTAGGGCTCATCAAATCGTCGGTGCAGAAGAAGCTCGCCTTCCTAGAGAACCAGATGGTGGCGCGCAGCATGACGAACCTGACACCGATCCAGCTGGAGGAGTTCGAATCCGTGTTCCGATACTTCGACCGGGACGACACGAACTCGTTGGCGGAGTTGGAGTTCTCGGCGGCACTGGCATCCTTAGGTTTGGTATTCAGCGAGGATGAGATGCACGACTACTTCGTGGAGACGTCACGGGGTCGCGACAGAGTTACATTTGAGCAATTCATCCGATTCATGGTAGACGTGACGGAGGACCAGAATACCGCCGAGCAGGTGTTCCAGAGCTTCCGCGAGGTGGCCGATGGCAAGCCGTACGTCACAGAGATGGACCTACGCCACTCCCTCGTCCCCGACGACGTCATCGAGAAGCTCTGCGAGATCGTGCCTCAGCACAACGGCCCCGATATGGCCCAAGACCGCGGCGTCGCCCAGTACGATTATATCAGCTTCATGGAGAAGTTGATTTCCGGACCTGAGCGCCGCGGCAGCGATAGCGCTGGTGCTGCTCCTGCTGCGGGGGCGGGGGCGGGAGCGCCGCTCCAGGATATTACAAATGGCAGGGCTAGTCCGACGAAGAAGGCTAACGGGTATCACTAATCTCTTAGTCCAGTCGAGGCGAGTCGAGCGTAGCCTGACTTATAAGAGAATGCCAGGGCTGCTACTATTACAAACACACACATACAGACATACGTATTTAATAATAAGTAAAGCGAACGGAGGGAGCTCTGGGCTCGAAAAAAAACCAATCAGCTGCGTTAGACTGCATTTATACTTTTTTTTTCCCCGTGTTGCGGACTACCCCCTTTGTATGCGCTGGGAGGCCGGAGAAGGTGGAATTGCGGTCGGATTAAAAAGAGAACCTTCGCAGGGACGACAGTGACTGGCTAGGCTAGGCTATTTAGGCGAGGCTATATATGTCGCTACGGAAGTAAGTTAATACAGAAAAGGGGGAGATGAGATGGACGTGAGGTTACGGAGGGGAAATGTGAGTGAGTGAGGAGGAAAAAGAAAAAAGACCGACTCGCTAGCTGCGGCTATGAGATACCTGTGCTATGCTATGCTATGCTATGCTATGCTATGCTATGCTAGGAGGTCTGTCTGAGCTTAAAGAAAGAGAGATTAAGTTAGGCTACCTTTTTTAGGGAACCGCATTGATCGGGCTGCGATGTGTGTGATAGGTATATTCCATGTGCTGTGAGGCCAGCCAGCCAACTACATAGGTAGGTAGCCAGCCCGTTTCACTACTATACTACCTACTACTTACTACCTACCAACTGGTGTTTCCGTTTCTCGAAAGTCGGCGTTTTTGCTTTACTTTACGAGTTCGAGTTCGAGCCAAGTCAAGTCAAGTTGAACAAGTCAGGGTCCTGTTGATAAACTAGTTTATATCCCCACCCCCCTTGATTAATACAATACGAAGATAATAGTTGCACATCGATCATCGATCATTGTTATTTTGTTTTTTTAAGTGTATGTCTGTCTGTTTGTTATTTTATTTTATTTGATTTGATTTGATTTGATTTGATTTAATAATTTGTAGCGGAGACGTGAGTTGCTATCAGCGTCTCACTTAGATTCTCTCCGGCCAGCTCCCATTGCCTTCCTCTATATAAGACCAAAGCCCCCCTCCTCCATCTTAATTGCGACCTTCCGCCGAAAAGAAAAAAAAAAAACTCCGAAGCCATGCAAAATGCGCTATAGATAGGATCTCACGAACCACACACATGTGTATGTTTCTAGTCATCGTAGTAGAGTTAAGTTATATAAAGAACGAACCAGTCGCCTATTCTTTGAAAGCATCCATATCCTTAAGAGCACCGGCAAGCCGGCGGTAGTCTCGCAGTAGCTCCAAGACATCGCCGATCCTTAGGTCTGTAGGGTTCTGGAGTTCCATGAACTTCTTCTTGGGCGGGTCGATTTTTGGGATATCTTTCGGCGGTAATGCCGTGGCGATATCTGGAAATGCCTAGGCGAATATGTCAGTATATATTATACTCCCTTCAGATATTCGTAAGATTCTCACTGTAGCCAAGTCTCCTCCGTCTGTCGTCTTAGCGGTACCATCCTTCGTAGGTGTCACGGGAATCGTCGCCGCGCGCCCAAACCCGCGCATCATGCTCATTCCCGAGAAGCGGTTCATAGGGTTCAGAGAATTGCCCAGATTTCGCATCGATTCGACCAAGGCCGGGTTGGAGGATGCGGGCGACGATGTTGCGGTTGGGGTAGGAGTCCTCTCCCTATTATCCTCCGCGAATAGTACCTTTTTAGAGCTGCTTGCACTCTGAGCACTCCTTGTACTGTCTGTGCTTCGATCCCTTGTCGGCTTTTTACCACCAACAAGGGATAGCAATTTATCATCCTTTCCAGGCGTCGGCCGCTCGGGATCCTCGGGTCCCTGTGCAGAGCTCCCATCAACGGAAGTATCATCTTCTGGAGGCGGGGTGCCTATGAGCTTCCGTGCTTCGTCTAGGGTTCGCGGGACAACTAGTTCCCGTCCGCTAGCGGAACTGTCTCGAAGTTTACCAAGTAAGAACTTGTAGCTATCGCCTAAGCTGGTCCCGATGTTCTTGAAACCTTGGTCGGCTGTGCTGAACAGCGAGTCGCTTGCATTCCCAAAAGCCTGGGCTGGACTTTGGATGAGGTCGCTCAACCTGCGGCGTTGGATAGCAGCCCGCAAACTGTCGGATGACGGCGAAGGTTTTGCACTCTTAGTATTGTCAGGATTTGTGGTAGTCGTATTTGATGTTGTTGTTGCGGATAAGCCTGCCGTGTACGCAGGCGGGAAAGTCTCCGCCCTTTGCGCCTCAGGCCGGCTCTCTGATTTTAAGGGGCCTGACGACGCCTCATCCGCTCTAAGACTAGCAAGATCTACTGTTTGCAGGAAAGTGATTGCAGCCTCGAGGTTTGTTAAGCAATATGCGGCTTCTCCCTCCAGTTTCTCTTCCCATCGGAATCTCTGGATGAAGTTTAAATCACTAATTACACCGAGTTTCTCAGGCGGCATAGTTATCAGCGTATATATGAGCATCGGCATAATCTCGTCGGCTGACGAAGAAGGGTGAAAGTGAGATAATGTATCGACGATGCTCTTATGAGCGGCTTTAAGATGATTGAGCTTGCCCAAAGGGTATCTCTTCTCATGCATCAACATCAAGTCCTTCCGGGCTTGGTCTAAGTATTCTCGAATCTGCTCCTGCTTCTTCGCGCGGGCTTCGGGAGTGTCCTCGGAAACTTCTCCGAGATCAACACCTAAGTCTGCAGGCCCAATACCAACAAGAGCCAATGCAGCCGTCTTAGATCTAAGCTTGTCGTCCTGGGCCTCATCTTGGGTAGTCCGATGCCGATATATGCGGTCATATATCCCTTCGCAAAGCCGTCTTTCAACTGCCTCCTCGAGTAGGATCCTCTTCTGCTCCAGCGCTTTCTTAGCTCGCTTTCTATCAGCAAATTCCTCGGCCGTGAGCATTTGTTGCTCTCCCTTGATTGGCGTTTCTTTGGCCTTCTCCTTATTGGTAAAGGAAGCCGCCTTGGCTCTTAATAAGCTAGCTGGTGAGCTTTTAGAATAACTCGACGGAGTCGACGAAGTTTCTCGCATCTGTCGTGTAGCAAGGCTATCTATATGGGTCCGGATATGTGAAGCAGCAACGTGATAGAAATCTTGAAACAGCCTAGACAGATGGTCGATATTCGGTGGCGAGGGGTGAACCTTAGCGGAAAGCGAGTCGATGAAGCTGAGGTAAACGTATTAGTCGTGTTCAGACCAGACCAGACCAAGATTCGTCTGAACTCAACTTGTCCGCCTTGCTGATCAGCTCAATCGGTATATCATCCATGTCCACGGAAGCGCGGGGTGCTTCAACTACATCATCAGTAGTCTCCGACTCGAACGTATCGACCTTCTCTTTCTGCCTCTCTGGTGGGGTTTCCTGTGTAATTGTAACGGGCGGGATAGCAACGTTCTCTGTAGTATTTGCGCGTTGAGGAGTGGGTCGAGGTTCTTGCGTTTGCGAAGGAGAGTGACGAGGGAAAGTGCTCGAAGTTGCAAGCGACCCGGGTTTCGGCTCGGAGCCTTTGGAGGGGGTAGTGGGCGCCATGAAGAAGTGTGAGAAGCTGGATGTAATATTATTAGTTTAAAAAGTCAACAGAGCAATGTGGAAGAGCATGAAATATTTAACAAAGGTATGAAACATGCTACAGGGACACCATACCTCTCCACTATGCAGACACGGAAGACGCGAGTTGGTTCGGGGTATATCAAGACGATAATATATGCAGTATTATCTCTATCTCTCTATCAGATTATGATAGATAAAAGGAGAGCCATCAAGGCTAAGCAGGGCAAAACATAGATATAGTGTGCATCAAGGCCAAACGCAGTGAGTAATAGCAAAGATTAGGAGAGACGGAAGCGAATGTGTTATGTTTAGCAGTTGTGCAGGTGTGTAAGAGGCAGAGAGGGAGTTGGCTATTCCGGGAAGCTCTCTGCTTGCATGTATTGTACAAGTTACTACCTTGGCTAGTTAAGTGTAAGTGCAGAAGGTGATGATAGAAACTACATCCTCTACCTAAGCCCCACATCGATACATGATAAATGATAATAGTCTAATAGTGGAAGTACCCAAGTTAGCGTAAGTACATAGCTTAGCCTGGCGTCAGGGGTATAACTCAAACTCAGATACTCCTATCAAATACATATATTCTATATATGTACCTACCTAATTTAGACATTGTTTGTTTATATCTTAAATGCCATTCTGAATTACATCAGACTAGTATGTTTCTTATTGATTTCGGGCACTTCACTTGGGACGTAACTAGACTTTCTTACCGTTCTCAATTAGCATATGATAGGGAGCTGCCAACTTATGCTTATCCTTGTAAGCCTCGCATGTAGGTACCTGCTTAGGCATGTACATACATAGGACCAACGTTCATGCAAGCATTGAGATACGGTTACAATAGATTGTGTAGGATAGATGTATGTGTGCAGCCTGCGAGGTAGATCAGCGAAATACCTAGACGATAATATTAGATGACACCTATGTAGAATCTCCCTTTGTATTTAGACCTTTGCGACGGGATATTCTTATGTTATTTATATGTTATATATAGAAAAATCATAGAAATGTTGACATATCTGAGCATGTTGCTAGAATGTCTTATTCTTGTACCTAAGCCATCATTAATACATGTACGCATGCGGTGGTCGAACTTTGCTTATGTGCTTGTGATAGATAGAGATTGAGTTTCAAGGTTACCGTACCTCGTACTCTTAATCGAGGACTAGGTACCGAGTACATGTCCAACCTTAGGTAATGGTAAGGTTAAGGTAAGGCTCGGTGGTCGGAACTTTCATAGCCAGCAGCCTAGGTTATGCAACTAGTGTATATACGCTAGTTAGGCTGCCAGGCTGGACCAATGTTGTCATAGGGAGATAACCCGATAGGCAGCGCCACTGGCCACGCGATAACGGCCCCAGCTTTGTGTGGGGATTCCAGGTGCCGTGACCACTGGACATACACCCTGACACCTACAACCCACTAGGATGTTCAATGTTATTTAGTGGGTCTCAGGCATCAAGGCATCAACATCTCTTGATATGGCTAGTATGTAACCTCTCATACAAATTACTACTGTAAGATACATAACTTGAGAATAGCCTCATCTTCAATATAATCTAATTTTTCAATTGTCTCCCCCAGAGTTACGGCATTTCAAAGCCCTATTATACATTAAAGTCTTTAAGGACAGCCTCCCAAACAGCCTCAATAGCCTGTTTTAATTCCCGTGACGTCAACGACTTTAAATCGTAATTACTATCTAGCCAGTCTTTCACCTAAGCCCACACGTTTTCAATAGGATTTAAATCAGGGCTGTCCGGGGGCTATTCAACCGTAAAAATCTCGAGATCGTCAGGCATTTCAGGGTCCTTTTGGCTGTGTGGGAGGGGGCGTTGTCGTGTTGAAAAACTGTACGTACGGGGAGGCTATTCAGGAATTGCTTGACGAGAGATAATAGTGTATATTGAAAAAGGGCTGTCGACAGAGTCGTTGTTTTTGTACCTCCTCATAGTAATTTCTATGTGGGAATACATACTAGCCGTATTCGAAAGATGTTGATGCCTGGCGGCTTGGCGCCCCACAAATAACATTGAACATCCTAGTGGGTTGTACCTACCTTACATTCATCCCATCATTCAACGTTTCGGTCCTCGCCTCCTATCAAGACTTCTTTTCTTCTTCCATCTCCTTGTTATCTAATCTATCCATCAATAAACTTCTTACAAAACTTACACATTCCTTTATCCCGTCGCCCTAGCTCAGGTATAATAGAGGGTATAATAGCAGCCATGGGTTCGAGGCGGAAACGCCAGACTTCAACTTGTCACTCCGCTGGCAGAGTGACAGCTCAACTGCTCTTGTCGTTCCTCGCAATATCCGCCTCTCCAACGGCTGCTAGCCTCCAGAACCAAGAGGCGACATTTCCAGACACGCCGTTACTTACACCTTTAATACCAGAACCGCCTCAACCGGCCGAACATACCTTCACACTACGTCACATATTCCATCACGGGACATACCGCCACCCTGGGCTTCATCGAAGGAAAGACATCCTTGAGCCAGAGGCTGAGGTATGGTTGGCCGGTGAAGATGGGCATGCTGCGGAGCGGATAATGCCTTTGAAGGCAAAGAGTCAACCTAGGAAGATTGAACGTTTAGTTGATCGACGGCCGAGCATTGTAGATCCCTTGGTCGCTGAGGCCCGCCAACGCGGTTATGTCATCGCGAGCAGCCCATCCGCGTGGGCTGTCGACGACGTCTTAGGCCCCGACGTCACCGATAAAGAGACCGTTTTGACCATGGCCTTGGTCGCGTCCGATGCGTATGTGGAGAAACCCGGCATGCCGGACTGGGAGGAAGTTGGATTGCCGTTCAATAGGAGTGCGGATTTTGGCTGGGAAAGCGATGGACTCAGGGGGCATATATGGGGCGACGAAAATAATTCCACCATCATTATTGGTCTCAAGGGGACGTCCCCAGCTGTTTTTGATGGAGAGGGCACGACCACCAATGACAAGATCAACGATAACCTCTTCTTCAGCTGCTGCTGTGCTCAGCAAGGCCAATGGTCGTGGCACCAAGTCTGCGACTGTGCAACTAGCACTTACAGCTGCAACAACACGTGCGTAAAGACCGCTTTACGTGACGAAAATCGATACTACCAGGCAGTAAGGGAGTTGTACGCGAACGTTACGGAAATTTATCCGGAATCAGATGTCTGGGTTGCTGGACATTCGCTGGGTGGAGCAGTTAGTTCTCTACTCGGTTTGACATACGGGCTTCCTGTTGTAACCTTCGAGGCCGTCCCCGAGGCATTGGCAGCCGGAAGATTGGGTCTTCCTGTTCCACCACACGCAGACCCTAACTTCCCTCAGACGCGGCAGTACACTGGAACGTACCACTTTGGACATACGGCCGATCCTATTTACATAGGAACGTGCAATGGCGCAACCGCCTCGTGTTCGTTTGCGGGATATGCGATGGAGTCGGCATGCCATACCGGCTACGAGTGCACTTACGACACGGTTGCCGACCATGGCTGGCGAGTAGGTATCGGAACTCACAAGATACGATCTGTGATCAACGATGTCATCCGAAAGTACGACGACGTTCCGGAGTGCAAGCTTACCCCAGACTGCAGAGACTGCGCGAACTGGAAAATGTACGAGAGCAACAGTACGGATGGGACAACAACTTCGAGTAGCTCCACCACGACTAAGACGCGCACTCGGACGGCTACCTGCCAAACCCCCGGATGGTAAGCCCATCTAATCCCCCCTTTTCCAAGATTAGCATAACTAATAATTCATAGGTGGGGTTGTCTTGACGAAACTACAACGACAGGAACTCCTAGCGTTACTACTACAAGCAGCTCGACTTCGACCTGCAAGACCCCCGGATGGTTCGGTTGCAAAGACGAGGTTACTACTACTACTACTACTACTACCACCACGAGTACCATATCTACCCCTACCTCTGTCATCACAACCTCGTCTACCACCTGTTTAACGCCAGGCTGGTTCGGATGTAAAGACAAGACAACCTCAACCGTCAGTACCACCACCACAACCTCCCCGGCCCATGTAATCACCTCGCCCCCGCCAACTCCCACGTCCGCCGCCCCTCAGCCGGAACCCACGACATCCCACTGCGTCCAGAGGAATTGGCTCGGCATGTGCAAGGAATGGGAGAAGTGCGCAAAAGACGCCACCACCGGCGCCGTCGTGTGCGAGGAGTGGGTAAACGACGAGATATAGAGGTGTGTGTATGTGCATACCTACCTAATGTAAGTTTAGGCTTTCGCAGCCTACGTTGTGTTTTGAGTAGCAGCATAGATCGATCGAATTGCTTCATTGTTTATTCAGTTGGACTAGATCGGGATAACATCGCTCAGGAGCTTGTCGGCGCTTGCTGGTTTACTTGGATCGCATTGTTCGAGTATTTCTTTTTCCCTCTCTCTTTTTTTTTTTTTTTTTTTTTTTTTTTTTTTTTTTTTTTTTTTTTTTTTTTTTTTTTTTTTTTTTTTTTTTTTTTTTTTTTTCGGTTGAAGGTCGAACTACGACTACGGTTGAGGCGCAAATGAGGATTTATTTACTATCGTCGTCATTATTATTATTATTGTCGTCATGGTTTAATATGACCGACTGGCACGAGCATGAGCATGAGCATATATCATATCATATCATATCATCATATCATTTTATACATATACACAAATATACAAATATACACATACATATATATCATCTTATTGGCTTTGTTGTCACCGGTGTGGTATATAAGGTAGCTACCTAGCTATAGGGCTGGGTTATCTGTCTTTTATATAGGTGTGTATGAAGTCCAGTCAATCGGCGGGATACAACTGAATTAAAAACATACGCGAATTTTAGTATAAACCCCTGCCTCCCTGCCTCCCTACCGCCCTACCGACCATATTCTATCAGCTCAGCTTCCTGGAGCCAGACTTTACCCCCTTTTTTCATTTTTAGTTGCTCTAACTCCAAGAATCCAGATTCTTCAACACACAACCCGGCGCTCCCTCCGCCCTAGCCGTTAACTTGCCGATAGTATACACTGTCTCTCCGTTCTCCCGGAATTGCTGCGCCACAGCCTCCGCGTCGCCGGGACTAACCACAGCAACCATGCCCACGCCAGTATTAAACGTCCGCGCCATCTCCGTGGGCGCGACGTTGCCCGCAGCGCGCAGCCAGCGGAATACGGGAGGGAGCTGCCACGTGCTTACGTCGATCTCGGCGGCGAGACGGGAGGGTAGCATACGCGGCACGTTTTCCGTGAGGCCGCCGCCAGTAATGTGAGCGAGACCCTTGAGGTGTGGTAGCGAGGCCAGAACGGAGCGGACGTAGATGCGGGTTGGTGTTAGGAGGGCCTCGCCTACGTTCTTGGCAGAAGTGTCCCAGGGGGCGGGGCTGGCGTAGTCTAGCTTCTCGCGCGCGAGGATGCGGCGGACGAGGGAGAATCCGTTGGAATGAACACCGGATGAAGCAAGACCCAGAAGTACGTCGCCTTCGGCCATGGCATCGAGACGCGGGAGCCGGCTGCTTGCGCGCATGACGCCAATGGCAGCACCAGCAGCATCATAATCGTCCTCCTTGTACATACCCGGCATCTCAGCAGTCTCGCCACCTACTAGAGCACATCCGGCATCACGGCACCCAGCGGCGACGCTCTCGACGAATACGGCAGCGACCTCGGGATCGAGGCGGCTGCAGCCGAAGTAGTCGAGGAACATGACGGGTTCAGCGCCCTGGACGACAAGGTCGTTGACGTTCATAGCAACCAAATCGATACCCACGGTGCTGTGGTTCTTAGTAGCTTGCGCTATCATGAGTTTAGTACCGACACCGTCGATGGCGCCGACCATGATGGGCGCATCGCTCGAGAAACCAGCTTTGGACAAGTCAACTTCACCCCCGAAGCCACCGATTTCGGCGTCGGCGCCGGCACGCCTAGTTGATCGGACGGCAGTTCGTATCCGCTCGACGAGCTGGTTTCCGGCGTCAATACTGACGCCTGCCTCTGCGTATGTCAGGGCTTCTTTGGTATCGGCCGTCGGTTTGAAGGCACGGTGCGCAATGTCCCTCCGGTAGTATATCTTGTTAAACTGAATGAGCTTCACTCCTTCATAGGCCTTATCTACGGCGGCTCGGAGGCTCTCCGCAGCAGTGGCACTAGCGGCTATTACTCGGCCACCCGCTGTTTGTAATCTGCCGTTAGCTAGGTTTGTGCCGGCGTGGAAAATGTTGATGTCCTTAGGAGGGGTTTGGACGGTTATCTCGTCGCCCTTGGCGTAGGACTCGGGATAGCCACCAGCGGCAACAACGACAGTTGCGCTGAATTTGGGCTCGACGTTGATTAGGACGCTGTCTAGGTAGCGCTCTGAACATGCCACCATGATCTTAGCCAAGTCGGTGTCTTGCGATAATAAAGGCAGGACAGTCTGAGTCTCTGGGTCACCGAATCGGACATTGTACTCGAGAACTTTAGGGCCAGTTGAAGTAATCATGAGTCCGGTGAAAAGAACACCGACAAAAGGCATCTCATCTTTACGCATACCGTCGATGGTCGGCTGGATGATATCCCGGTCGATTTGCGCCACGAGATCCGGGGTGGCAATGTTAGTCGGCGCATAGCATCCCATACCACCCGTGTTCAAACCTGTGTCTCCCTCTCCTATTCTCTTGTGGTCTTGCGCAGGGGGTAGAGATTTTATCGTGTAACCATCGCTAAAAGTTAGGATGCTTAGCTCGTCGCCGGTCAAGAATTCTTCAATGACAACTTCATCTCCCGCAGACCCGAATTCCTTGTTCTGCATGATATCCTTGAGGGCTTGATGCGCCTCCTCCTTCGATGTGGGTATGATGACTCCCTTTCCAGCGGCTAGTCCGCTTGCCTTGATCACTACGTCGTGTTGCACGCGGTCGAGGTATTCCCGGGCCTTATCATAGTCGGAGAAGTTTTCGTAGGCGGCTGTTGGTATATTGTGCTTCTTCATGAAGTCCTTAGAAAAGGTCTTACTGCCCTCCATCTGCGCAGCCTTCTTTGAGGGGCCGAAACTCTTAATACCGGCATTTTCGAAGAAGTCAACAGCTCCTGCGACAAGAGGGGCCTCGGGACCAGGGATCACGTAGTTGAGGTTATTTTCTTTTGCGAGTTTGAGTAAAGCTGGGAAGTCTTCGGCCGAAACTAAAGTATTGTTGGTGACTTTGGGGCATGTCGCTGTGCCTCCATTTCCTGGAACAGCTATAATTGACTCTACTAGAGGCGATTGGCTGAGCTTCCAGGCAATTGCGTGTTCTCTCCCACCATTGCCAATGAGAAGAACACGAAGTGGGTATTCGATCCCCATGGCTGAAAGGTGTAAAGGTGTAAATTGTCAAGATGGGGTCAATTGTTGATTATAAAGACTATAACCTAACCCGGCCCTGGGTTTTGAGGGAAGTGACAATTATGTGTGTACATGTTGTAACTTCCAAAATTTTCTGCCTGTAAAAAATGCCCCTCATCTGAAAAGTTACATAGTACCCCTCCCCCGCAATCTATGTACATAGCGGGGCCGCTACCTGCATCACGGCCTGCTTAATGCACTTACATACCTCTCCTAGACATGTATAATAATAATACAGTGCCTATTGATCGATATGCACGTAATTTCCGGGAGAACAGTGCCATTGTTGATCACATTGCTCTATTGGAATCTGCAACGTATGAAACCTGCATGCGTTCTATAATAGACCACCTGATATCTTAGGTATACATGTGATCCCTCTCTCCAATGAGGTACTCTCCAAGTTTCCCAAACAAGCAACCGAATGATCAAACACTAGCGTAGATTAGATAAGGTAAGGTGAGACAAGGAGTATGCGGCTCATCGGCTCATCTATCTCGAGGGCAGGAGGGGTGACCCCTTGGTCCTTGTTCAACTACATATGTATAATATACATTGTATATCGAGACAACTTCTATCGATGCAGCCCCGATGTTTTACTTTTGATTGACCAAACACCTACATACAATACAATTCTCACTAGAACCGTTAACTAATAGTTAACCATCATCACTATGCTCTTCATTGGATTGACAGGTTCGATTGCCACTGGCAAATCAACCGTGTCTTCCATCCTTTCCTCGCCGCCTCACTCACTACCAATCATCGATGCAGATATACTAGCGCGCAAAGTTGTAGAGCCTGGAACCAGCGGCTATAAAGCCATCGTGAAGCATTTCGGTCCTACAACACCGGACTTGCTAGTTCCCGTCTCCGAGTCTATGCCCGCCGATGGCCCAGACGGTAAAGGCAGGCCACTGAATAGACCGGCGCTGGGTAGACGTGTCTTCGGCAATAGCGAAGAGCGCAAGAAAGACCGGGATGTTCTAAATCACATTGTGCACCCAGCTGTGAGAAAGGAGGTGTACAGGTCCATATTTCGAAGCTACGTGAAAGGCCACTGGGCCGTCGTCCTAGACGTCCCGCTACTTTTTGAAAGCGGCTGGGATAGGCTGTCCGGTGTGGTGATGGTAGTAGCCGTCAGGGACCCTGAGGTGCAAATGAAAAGGCTCAGACAACGTGATCCTCATCTAAGCCGAGAAGATGCGCAGAATCGCGTTCTAAGCCAGACGGATGTGAGACTCAAAGCGAAGAGATGCGAAGCCAGAGGAAAGGGGAAGGGAGTAGTTATATGGAACGATGGTTCGAAAGAGGAGCTAAAGGCTAATGTAGATGCCGCACTCGCAGAAATTAGAAAGACTAGCCCTCCGTGGTGGAATTGGGTATGTCTCCTCGTTCCTCCGGTTGGCGTTGCTGCAGGCGCCTGGGTGTACTGGCAAAATATTCGCGCCAACAAGAAGTGGAAAGAGATGGAGTTGGATGAGAAGTCGAAGCTATAATTATAAGCTATAATTATGAGTTTGATCACCTAACTTTACTGGAATATTACATATAACGCCATATCGGATACATCGGATACATGTATGTTCCATGTCGTTGTTGCCGTGGGTAATCGAACGGAAAGGGCGACGCGCAACGTGAGGAAACAACTCTTCATTCACCACCAAGGAAACAAGCACTTACCCAAATCATTCGCGATTCGCGATTTCCTTTTTTATCTTAGGCAGTATACGTACCCAAATATAGCTAATTTCAAAAATCCCACTTCGGTTTCTACCTAGGCAATTATATTTGTCCATTGATAAGTAAATCCAACCTCGTCACACAGTTTTGACCATATTCAGCAACAACAACCACCTGACTCAACTTTGGAAGTTTTCTGATTCTTCCGCCCAATCCTGTCAATCCTGATACTATCCTTCTTTTTCATATTTTATTACGAAATTGAATATTTAATTTATCGCATGATTATACCTGTTCGGTACTCGATACCACCTTTGAGTCGCCTCCTTTATTCCCATATTAAGGAGTTACTCGACACAATTCAGGATTTAATAGGTCTAGTCGGATAATTCAGGTCGACTTAGCAATATGCCACCCAATTCATTTTGTGAGTGGGTGGCCGGCCAAAACGCACCTCATAGGTCGACGTCTAAGAAACCTCGTCCAGTTTTTGCACTCCAACTCGAGACTGACGATGAATATGAATCCGACATTTTAAGACTTACATATCCTAGGACGGGACGAACCAGACGACCACACGGAAAGAAAGTTCGATTCACAGACAATGCCCATAAGGTTGAAGCCAATGAACCACCTACCCAGTGTTCACTTGACGTGGACACAGATGCTAGCAGTACGGCGGTTGAACTTAATAGCGGCGATGATGAAGCGACTACAGACGAAGATCTAGTCTTAGACTGTCCCTGTACGAACTGCGTTGCAGCGCGGAGGAGATTGAAGAATACGACTCAGACTAAAGGAAAGAGCAAGAAGCAGCAAAATGTCTCGACCGCGGATGCAAGCAACCATGCCGCTGCTGTACACGCTAGACACAAAGCGAAGAAAGCTAAGGAAGCAGAAGCACTGAAGTCCAAAGGAGGAAGTAGCAAACGAAGAGCTAAGCAAAAGTCCAAGCATGCCAATAAGAAGTCGGATAGCGAAGTGGATACGACTGACACTGACACTGACACCGAGGTTGGGACTGGCGAAGAGACTGGAAGTGAAAACGAATCCGAAAGCGAGTCTGAGTCCGAGAAAGACCCTCCCAAGAAAAGGGGGAATAATAGGAAGGGTAGGCAGAGGAAACAGAATAGTCAAAGTAAGAAAACGAATCAGGGCAAGCAGAACAAGAAAAAGAATAAGAATAAGCAAGACAGCCCAAAGACCAAGGAAGGAAAATCGGACAGCGAGGACAGGAATGAAAAACAAGACAAGCAAAAGGACAGTCGTAAGCAGGATACCAAGGAGAATGAAGGAGCATATAAGCAAGACGGTCTAGATGAGGATAAGATTCTTCAAGAGGCCGACGCAATCAAAAAGAAGCGAGCGGAAGCGAATCAATATCTGCCCCAGAGTCTTCCATATGCACCCCAGCAAGCAAACTTCCTTATGCCACCTCATCCTCGTATGCTGCAGGTTGAGCACGCCGTCGAACTACCTAATGATCCTCGGCCCAACGCTTTCTTTGACGGAGTACACGGAATCATGCGTGTATATCATGGGCCGCATTACGGCAACGCATATGGACAACTCTACCCCAATGCGCCGTATGTAAACCAGAATCCAACCGTTAACGTGTCATTACCAGTACATAATCCGTGGCAAGCTGCTGGGTTCCAGCCCTTCCCCGGAGGACAGCCTCCACCCCAACCGCCGCAGCCACCAGCTTATCCTCCTCCCCCGCAAGAGCCCCCTCAACATCCTCCTGCTGCAACTCGGAGAGCGCCTGCAGATAATTCCTGGTTCCAAGGATACGGTAGCGTGACGATTGGTAAGCCTCCTGAAGAGGCCCAGGAAGCCAAGGGCTCCAATTTTACAACGGACCCCAGCCGAAAGAACAACGAAGCTTGGTCCGAACAACACAGCACACCTACCAGGAAGCCCACAAAGCAGACTGAAGCAAATCCAAGGAGTGATCGTGGTGGAAAATCGAACGTCATCCCGAGTATCGAGGTTACTGATCCCGAGAAACCCCAAGGGAGCGAAGGAGCCAGGAACAAGTCATGGGGCACTCAGAGTGCTCATGGCTCGCAAAAGGCTTCGGAATCCAAAGAGGAGGGGAATCATGATAGTAAGGGTACTGACAAGGCTGAGCAGTCCGGAGGAGGCGGACCCCTTGATGATGTGATTGCAAGGGCAGAAGAATTATACAAGACTAACTCGGAACGCTTCAGTCCTGCACCCCAAAATGACAGTAACCAAACCGGTAACGGAGTCTTCGGTGATAGCAATGGTGGGGGTTGGGGAGGTGACACCAGCTGGGGTGACGGCAATAATGATGCTACCGCCGGTGATAATTCATGGGGTGAAAAGGATACGCAAGAAGCCACTACAGGGGGCACAGATCCACCCAAACCGGCCGAAGACAATAGCAATGTTAACTCTTCCGAAGCGGCTGGAGGGAATGCCAGTATTGATAATGTGGCGGCGCATGGTGATCCGAGCGACAAAAAGGATGGCGACAACAGCAGTAATAATGGTAGGAACAATGGCGGCAAGAGATCCAAAGCTAGCCCTAAGCGCAGCACTCCACCTAAGGGACCGCCCGGGTGCTGGGTCAGTAATCCACCATCAGAGAACGAGGACTCGAAACCTCCCGCCAGTCTGGATAACGTCGGACCTCCTGCTGGTGGGAACGGTAATGGCAAGAAAGGGAAGGGGAAAGGGAAGCAGAAGGAAAATGGTAAACCTGAGAACAACCAGGCTTCCGAGAGTGGTGGTAATGGTAACGGTAACGGCGGCTGGAACACCAACACGGTCTGGGCAGATCCGGATGTGGCTCAGAGTTCCGGCGGCGCCTTTGACGACGACGACAAGAACAAGGATGGAAAGGACCAACAGGGCGTCGAATGGTAGAGCTTATACGATTACGCCCGCTCTTCTTTCAAATTGTGGAAATAGTCGTTCCATGGTCGTCCTTCATCCCTTTTTGCACTGAATCGGCTTCCTAAGCGAAATTCCGGGGAAGCTCATGGTCTGATGCTATTCTCGGCTGGGGATAGAGCTGTTATAAATTCGTCTGTGTTACATATTTCTCCTTGCTGTTACTGCGTACTCGGACAGGCGTTTTGGTCGGTTAGGGGAGGGAGGTATTGAGGCTGTTATATGGAATCAGGGGTTAGGGGTTAGGGGGTTTAGGAACTAGGAATTAAGAAAGGCTAGCTGGTCACGTAGCAGCTGGTTGTGGGCATAAGTAGAGCAATACAATATAATTAGGCCCTTTACACATGAGTATACACTACGTAGTCATACCTCAGGTACCTACCCAAGGTAAACATAAGGCTAAAGTATGGAAATACGAGTCGCCTTTCCAGCACATCTTTCTTAATCTGCCTACCGTAGTATATCTACCTCCTAGAGTATTGTACCAACTGGCTACGGGATGCCTGAATCATCTAGCTAATGGAGATTTAGCTAAAGATCGGTATATACATTCTGTAAAAATAGCGCTTTTACAGATTATAATTAAGCTAACTGAAAATTTGTAGTATAGGGGGGATCTCTATGGTAGTTAGCACTTGAAGAGACGATAGGCCAGTTAGTATACACTATAAGCCAATTCGAAATAGATGGATGCGCTAGGATTAAAGATGCCGACATACCGCGTCCGGTATAAAAATATCCGTTGACATATCAGAACCTAACTAGTAGATATTTCGTACCAATGAAGGCTCCCTCTAACGTTACATCCACCAAGCCCTAATCGAATTCACATATCACAAGTTGCCTACGATAAATATAGCAAAAATCATTTTCAGAGTGGAATAGTTGTTATTGATTTCGTTCAGCAGACTAAAAAACAACTTATCTCTGCGTGTAGTTCAGCAGAATAAAAAGACATGCTATCTGTTATCTGTTTTGCTGGTTGAAACCGCCGTAGTTTCCTCTACGTAAAGAAACAGAGAGATAATGGGTTCACCAGTACAGAACTTTTTGGGGGCCAATAATGGCAAAAGGGGGTTAAGACAAGAACCCCAGAGGCACACATCGCGGAAAAGAATTAAGCACGGAAATCAAATCGACAATCTACCAATGATATCCACCGCACAACGGCTAACACGTGCAATCTAAGTCCACTGCTTACTCCTCATCCGAGTCTTCCTCCGCCTCATCCAGCCACTTGATGAAGGGCTCGGCAGCGCGGCGGATCTTCTTAGAAGTAGGAAGATCCACGTATTTCTTGCTCGCCTTGGATCCCCACTTCTTGATCATGTCCTCACTGACGATGAGGTCCTTGTCGTAGAGCTGATGAAGGATCTTGACGATCTTATCACTGGTCAGAAGCTCGGGGTGCTCCTTGCTCTGAGCGGCAAGGAAACGTTCGAGGCCGCCCAGTAGGGCCTTCTCATGGCGCTCCGACGTTATAATCTAAGAAAAGTTAGTATATCATTCACATGACTAGTATATCATTCACATGACTAGTATAGCGTTCTCGCAAGACATACCTGTTTGAGCATTGCAGCACGCTTGGGAATCTGAGTGAGGATGTTCTCATCAAACAGAGTCTGGACCAAAACCAAGACAGTCTTGTGCTTGGTCTCGATTCCAAGTTCCTTGGCTTTCACATAAATTTGAATATCATCAACCTTGTTAATATTACCAGCCTTGGCGGCTTCCTCCTGGATCCAGTCACCTAGGGTGTCGTAGACGGTGTGACCACCGCTCTCTGCCTCATCGTCATCATCCTCGGCACCGCCGAGGACAAGTTTCTGACGAAATTCGCTGGGGAGCTGGCTCTGACGGGCCTTGACGGCCTTCTCGGACATATCGACGGCCCAGTCGTCATCTCTGACGATGGTGGGGGCGTCAATAACTTGAGCGTCAGCATTGATCTTGCGAGTGAACTCATCATCACTACCAGCATCGTCCTCGTCTTCGATCTTGGAACCACTCCCGTTAGAACCGTTCTCGGAATTCTCCCCGCCGCTTCCCAGGCCGTTCTCTTTGTTGCCGTTCTGCAGAGCTTGCTGCTTAGCCTTGCGTGCGGCCTTGCGTTCAGCTTTGTCTTTCTTGCCGCCTTTCCTAGGCTGGTTCTTCAGAATGAAGCCACTAAGTTTTAGACGAAGATCAACGTCGCTGCGTTGGCCACAGGCCTTGCAGTCAAGTACGATGTGGCCATCCTTGATGACAACGTCTGTCTCAGGATTTTTGCACTTCTTGCAGAGGACAAACTTGTTGATAAAGCCGTCAAGATGGTCCTGAAGCTTAGAAGCCTCGTGAGCACCGTTGATGATCCAGCGGTCATCCGGAGGGTCAATATTGGTCTGAGCGCCAAGCTCAAATCCGAAGTACTTGATGACATATGACCCAGGACGGGCAAGAGACTGAGCAACGCTGCTCAGATTGACGACGACAGTCTTGATACCATTGCCTTTGCCTTCAATCTTTGTCTGAATTTTTTCCATCTTGTAGCGATAGAAGGCATCGGTGACATCACGACGAACGTTGACGAGCGCCATTTTTGCGGTATTGTGTTAGATAGGCTGTCGAGGTAGAGACACGGTAGTAATTTTTATCGGTCGGGAGGATCGAATTCCTTGGATATAAGGGGGAGGGGACTAGATAGTCATTCGTAGTTGACGATGACGGGTGAAGCAAGAGGGGATTGGGCGAGCCAGGATCTCAGTAGAGAGGACTATTCCTTGTGGACATAGGGAAGACTGGATTATAGTTGCCAGCGTTGGAAGGCATTAACTCGGGCGATTCGTTGTCGATTCGGTTTCAACCAACGGAGCTGATATTAGGGCTACAAGGTTTTCGCGGTATGCGAAATGACTGTAGCGTAAGAGGGGGAAGGTGTCTAAACACAGCGGGCTTGTCGTGCTGATACATAAACAACAGTGTATCCTGTTACCCTTTTATGTGTAGGGTGTATTTGGTTGAGGTACCGGGATAACAAGCAGAAGCAGACCTTGAATCCCGAAAGGTTGTTCACAAGGTCTCTTGTATCGGTGCGCCTGGAGCGTAGACGTGCAAAGCGTAGGTGGTTAATAGGAATAGAGTAGGTGGCTTATTTGAAAGCTGGCGTAAGATGCCCAAATGTACCTAAGAACAGGAGATGAGATGGCAGCGATTGCCTCAGATTTAAATTCTGTTGCAAAAGTACCTAATGAGCAGAGCTGAAAACACAGCCGTGGTCTGGCGCGAGTTGTGCTACTTTGGTTGCTGTGATGGGTGGTTGTGGTTGTAGTTGGAAGGATTAAAAGAAAAAAGAGAGGGAAGTTTGTTGGGAAATGTGGAAGAAATGGAAGTGGGAGACTAGAAAAAAAAGAGGAGGGCAGTTATTAAAGAAATGGCCCTGAAGGAAATCGCGGCGGTGGTGGATGAATAATGAAAACTGTGCAGAGCACCGCCCGCAGTCCGCCCGCACTTAAAACGTATCCCACCTAAAGTGCAAAACTCTAGCACGAAAAAAACCCTTCCACAGGTGGGGCTTAGGGCGCATCTTGTCCATTAGCGTTGCCTAGGTACGTATGTCAGTACTTAGCCTTTGGGTCCGTGCTTTAACATTTAGCGGGCACAACTAAAACTCTGCCTAAACAGGCACGGATTGCATGCAGTGGCAATTGGAAGAAGAAGGAAAAACCGAGAGACGCTCGGAGCTAAGCTAAACTAAACCGCTCAACTATGTATGTCCACTATTGCAATGCTAATGTTAATGTAGCATAGCGGCTTTATTGGCTGGTATTTAACTTTTAAGGCTTCAGCCGGGAGAAAATATCCAGGGCTGCTGAATACATGCATAGGTACATACTTTAAATCCGAGGAAATTTATGTAGGTATAAGAAGGAATAATTATTGCGTACATGTATGTATTACTTGACTAGCTAATCATTTCCTAACGTCCGTTTCTAGTAATACATGTAACCATCGTCATCACAAGCATTACTATTTACATATGTAAATGATATATATTAAGTAACATACTTGGGAGGGACCAAAGAACCACTTCGTACTAATAAGATAGGTATATCGACCTTTAGGACGTCACTATGACTTTTAAATAGGATCATTCAGCTGCAAATATTGACATCTCATGTCTCAAGTTGGGAGCAGTACGGTACGGCGCCGGATGCATACAACTAATTCCTTTTCCGGACTTTGTCTAATAGCCGGAAGATGACGTTATATCTTATAACCGTGTACATGTACCTAGCAAACGTACCTTGCCGAGGCACCTATCTATCTGTAAAGCCTTACTCATATCGGGCATGTATTCCCCAAGTAATACATAGCGTATGGCAATCTGCGCCTTACATACGGTCTGCAGCGTCTGTAACTATCTTGCATTATATTTGTACATCTGGCACCAATCACTCACACCGTGGTCTGCTAAGTGCGTTTGATTAGTTTGTCCTGCCTGGGTCTCCCTTGGTCGACCGGGATGCACGATCCCAGATTTTCTACCCGCACGACCCTTGACAACCTGGGGGGTAGGGGGGGATGCATCTACATAGTACAGTATTTGAGATAGCTTAGTAGTATTAATCTCGAGCTGAGCAACAATAAAACTTCCGGAATATACAGGCATTAAAAGTAGGCATCCGTTGTGGCCCTCTTATTCATAGGCTAGAGGCCGTCTTTCCTGAGATCCCACCCCCTCGCCCTGCTCGCCCCAGCTCCTGTGTTCCCTAGTCCTGTATTATCGTCAAGGTCTTAAAGACCGATTTCTTCCGCCTTGCAAGAACCCGTGGCAGCTCGCATATGCACAATGCAACATGTAGATGCATGGTACGCTTTGCCAAGACGTCAGTGTTCGATTCCTGTACAAATAAATATAATTCACAATTGACCCAAGGCTTGTATTCTTGGGGGAAACCCTCTAGTTTGGTATTCGTACCAAGGGGCGAAGTAAACAAGTTTTCCACCAACGCCTATGCCTCAAGACTCATTCCGACCAGTTGCCAACCAAAATCCCCGAGCCCGACACCCAGCACTACTTGACACTGCAAATGAGGCGACTTAAACATGAACAGTGCTGACTTGTGTGTTGGCTATAGTCAATCCTACGCGGAGCACCGATATCCTCGCACACGATTGCTTATATAGCAATCGGAGAAGCAATGGTGCCGCGATAGAATAAAAGCCGTCGGGGGTATAGAAGGGATAACGCCAAGTAATAAAGACTTTCGAGTCTGCCCACAGTCAAACTAACATCATGAAGAAGCTTCATCCTTAGACTGGGGAGGCTGAAGTCCTGCGTTCTGTGCCAATTGTTTCCATATGGCTAGCTCTCGGTAAGCTCTCTCACACTCCTGCTTGAGCTTATCGTTCGAGGCACTAAGCTCTTGGATGGCCTGCTCGGTTAATAGCTTCTCTAAAGTCCACTTTTCTAAGTTCTGTGCTTCATTCTCTTTGAGCTGAGTGATGAACATGACCGCGCGCTGCAAGATTGAACCCTTGTTTTTCTCACATCCGGGAACAATCTTAGCAAGCTCGTTGATACCTTCATTGATGGTTTCGCGGCGTCGGCGCTCAACTAAAGCCGAAATTAGCGTGATATTTCTAGTACCGCGCGAGAAATACAACTTACCTTCTTTATGGTTATCCTTTCGCAACTTGTGCCACTCTTCTGAACCTACAGCCGGTTTAGAGGCAGACGAGGAGGTAGTGTAGGACGGCTGTGTAGATCTGATGCCGTTCTGCGACTGTGCGAGGCCGTTAGTAGACGTATTGGGAAGGCCTTCAGTATGGAGCATGTCGTTATGGCCGAACGACGAATCTTGGTGATGTTCTGCCTCTGCCGCAGCCTGCGCGGCAAAGGTCTCTTCTGTAGATTGAGGGACATGGATGGTAGGATATAAGGTTCCTAAAGCAGCAGCGGCGGTGCTGGATGCGTTGGCGTGATCTGAAGTATCGTGGTGATCGGCTGTAGCCTGTTGTAGAGCCGTGAAATCTGCATTAGTTGCCGCTTGTGCGGCTGCCTGCGCAGCTTCGACAGCACTCTCAACATATGCTGCGTCCGGAGTGCTTGAAATGTTCGGAGGCACACGCTTAGCGCGTCGCAATTCGGGAGAGGAGTCTGGCGCGCCACGCTTTCTCTTCTGACTAGGACTGGACGGAGACGACGCGTTAAAGTCGTTCTGGTCTGCAACAGCCGCGTCCGCCATGGCAACTAGATGCTCTCGATTGATATGAGTTAGAGGCTCGAGGAGTGCCTCTGTATGAGCGTAACCGTTTGACTCCATAGTCGCTTAGCTGAAGAAAGTGTTGTAGTCGATTGACGACACCTACTGTAGGCCCTAGCACCTATGCGATCTGTATACGTAAAGGTGCGTGACAGACTTTGGGGTTGTCACGAGAGGTCTGCCGATGTTAGTATATGCGTGGTATTAAAAGTATGAAATATGAATAATAACTAAATTGCATTGATGCCATCACTTGTGCATTTTGTATATAATAATTTAATGAGCCTTGTCACGTTTTCATGAAATTGCCCGATAGGAGCAGCGACGGGAAGCGTAAGGTGTGCCTCGATACACCAGTGACTAAATAGAAAAATACCGCCGTGGAAGGTCTACGAGGTCGGTTTGACATAGGTGGATGATAAGATATGATCAGATGATCGGATGAAGATAACAACTTCTGAAACTTGGAGACTTCTCCTTAGGACAGACAACTGGCTCAATTGTAGAGATGAGAGATGAACGAGGTGGCCTCGAAAGCTGCGATAGAGATAAACCTCGGGTCATTCATTCATAGACGGGATCTGCAATCTGCAAGCGATACCATTCTTCGTATTCAGGTATATGATCAGGTATATGATAGAACGGATCGCGAAGAGATGGCAGACGCGAAAATTTTCGCATTAATGAGGGTCAGGCTATTGGTGTGCGCGCAGGGAAATTGTCCGTCGCGTTCGGGTATGATGACGAGGATGACGATGGCGGCGATGCGAAAGTAACGGGAAATGAATGACATACCGTAAATCATGTGCCAGGTCTCGTGCAGTGCTATGCTATGCTGAGAGCTGGCGCAAGTGCTTGGATCTTCCAGCGTCAAGTGACTTAACTTCACGTGCTTTCAAGAGAAATAGCTCGAATAATGTGGGATCAATGAACTTGGACCAGGAAGAGCTGCCGAATCAACACCTATTAACCTCAACGAGGCCAAAAGGGATTTCGAGTATTGGGAAGTTTGACGTGGTGCAGCCGGATTTCTTCGATAGAAGGAAGTTAAAACTTGCGCTTCACAGAGAAATTAATAACAAGAAAGAGCAAAAGATAGAGAGTCGAAAGGGAAGGCATGGCCTGGTAGGTCTGATGACTGAATCCCCCCCGGGAAGCACAGACCACCAAATTGCGACCCCCCATCGTTCCTTAGGTACCACTTCCCACTTCCTCACTAACAAATCCTAATTGTCGACCAATCACTGTCCCACGCCCGACCGCGCCAGGTGCTTAAACAGTACCCGCGCCGGTTTGTTGGTTGGTGCTTTTTCTATATGCGAGTTCGTTAGTTTTGGTACCTACATACATATGCTGCTATGATGCTTTCCATCAGGTAATTATGCATTAGAGGGCAACTATGTAATTGAAATTAACTATTTACACAGCTTGAGTCTATATATTTGAAACTTAACAAAGTCAGATATAATGCAGGAATTACTATTGCCAAGTTATTAATACCCTCAGTGTATCAGAGCGAAATGTGTTTCATAGCAACATATTCTGCAAACTGGGCATACTGGGCATACTGCAGGTTTGATGAGATGATTTATGGATTCTTGCTTCGTTATGATCTCCAATACCTGCAGATGCATAGTCTGATTTCGGGGGCTCGGCAAATGATTTTGTTTTGCGTATCTCCTATCTGCTCTCCTAAGTAGTACCTGACAGGTCTAGACTATATACATAGCGAAAAGACGGGTATAAAAGTCTCAGACCAACAAGTCAAGTGACCTCCCTAAGCTCGACCTACCTTCTCCTTCTGTTAGATGCGCTTCTGCCAACCCCCTATGATGATGATTTTGGTGTTAGCTTCCGAGTCCCGTGAGCCCCCGGCCGACTGCTACTTGTTCCTGTGACCAACGGCGGATGTGTGTGACTGCATATAAGTCGCACTAGGCAATTTGCGAGCATCAAGGAGACCACTCGGGAGTACCCGCCTCCACAGAAGCACGGAGGGAGATAGGCGCCACAGCGATGTGGTATTAATATAGAGTACTCTTAATATATTAGCATAAATAGGAACAGGGGATAATTTACATACATACGCGCTTGGATTGATGCATGGCATCCATATCACCAGGACGTATTTATAGAATTGATTAGGTATGTACCTATGTATGAAGTAAGCGGGCGAATGGCGAGAGAATCATTGCTACACGATGAGCCGATCACTTATGATGATGGTTTACTATAGTACCTAGATGCAATGTCAATAACATAAACAAGTATATTCTAGTTAATTATAAAACGAAGTGTATATACCTGGGTCTTTGTGATATGACTTGTAAGAATTTGATGCCAACTGGTAAAATTAAATATCACTTTTATTACCAGGGTATTGTACCAAAGCAGCGTTAATAAAGCCTTACTTACTTAATATTGGGAATCGACAGATCGATCGAAGCTAGATAGAAAAGGCAGGTAAGCTGCAAGCATCGTATACCTAAACAACCTTACCCACAACAACGCCGCAGCGGCATAATAGTTTACTAGTAATAGTTTAAGTTATTGTTCAATCAAGATAAATGGATAATCTCGTAGTCCAAAGCTTGTCAGGCTTGGGTCACGTAACACCGAACACCAGAAGGGAAAGACCTACATACTAGCGGGAGGGACCCCCTACTGAACTCTGGGGAAGCCGTTGTGGAGTCGGGCTGCCACCCCACCCTGCCCAAACTGCCGACCTTGCGCCGAATTTCAATCCTCAAAAACCATGTATTCCGCAACCCACGTCCTATACCAACCCCTTACATCGAATACATCGAAATCGAGATTTTATCTGGAAAGATGGGCGACATTGCAGCAACCAAGTTAGATCACGAGAATCACCTTCTCCTCGTGAGTAAAATTCCCCCCTCTTCTTTTTTTATTTCGTAATGTTAGGGAAAAGATGATGATGCTACGTACGCCGGGCGTTCATTGGGTTACATCATAGCTCGTGCTGTCCTTACGCCCCGAGTCAACCCAACCCAGCCAAACAAACCAAACAACCAACCATCCAACCAACCACGCAAGAAAGCAAGCAAGCACGCGAGCTAACACATAAATTTTCCACTTCATAGGATCAACCTCTCCTCCGCCTTCCTATCGAGCTTCTACGGAAGAACTTCCGGTCCGCCCACTTCGAAGTCGAAAAAGATGGCACGTACATCAAAAACACACTAAAGGAAACAGCAACAGCATGCGTGAACGGGGGCGCCTCGCAGGCCGATGTGCTCAAAAACCTCGACACGATGATCGCCCGGATGCGCGGCGTGAAGCGGAAACTAACCGCCTTCGCCGATGAGGAGCAGCGGCTACACCGCCACGAAGAGGCCCGCGTCCGCCACCTCAACGAGTTGTACTCTATGTACGGCGTCGACGACGTTAAATACGAAGCCTGGAGCCGCACCCGGCTCGACCGTCTTTTAGTCGATTACCTCTTGCGCCACGGCTATAACCAGAGCGCGAGGGCACTCGCTCAGGAGAAGGGCATCGAGCCGCTTGTAGACCTCGACACTTTCGAGCAGATGAGCCGGATCCGGAAATGCATTCTGAACCGGAGCGTCACGGAGGCGTTGGCGTGGTGTACGGCGGGGGACACGAAGAAGGAGCTTCGAAAGATGGACGTGAGTGACCTATACTATCCTAACCATCACCACTCATTCCTTAGATGCTATGATCGATCTATCCAGCTGCTAACCCTCACCGCTAGAGTAACCTAGAATTCATGCTGCGCTTCCAGCAATACATCGAGCTAGTCCGGGACCACTCGACCAAACCCACCGAAATCCTCTCCTACGCGCGCAAATTCCTGCTCCCTTACCAGCACACCTACAAGAAAGAAGTTATGCAAGCCTGCGGCATGCTAGCCGTGCGTCCCAGCGCCGAAACCAACGTCTACGCAGAGCTATACTCCCCGGACCGGTGGGAAATGCTCGCCAACCTATTCACATCGACGCACAACGCACTACTCTCCCTACCATCCGTCCCGCTCCTCCACGTCGCGCTAAGCTCCGGACTCTCCGCCCTAAAGACACCAGCCTGCCACTCCTCGCACCCGTCCTCCGCCGCCGGTCCCCCCTCCCACTCAACGTCTCTCTCCCTAGCCTCCAGCGTCTGCCCCATCTGCAGCACCGAGCTGAACGAGCTCGCCCGCGGCGTGCCCTACGCCTTCCACAGCAAGAGCCACGTCGAGCCCGACCTGTTCCTGCTGCCCAACGGCCGCGCCTACGGCAAAGCCCGCCTCGACGAGTACGCCCGCAAGGCCGGGTTGCTCGAGGACCAGGTGAAAGACCTGCGCACCGGGGAGGTGTTTGGGTACGAGCGCTTGAGGAAGGTGTATATTACATGATTGGAGGAGGGTTTATTAGTTGGTAAGTTGGTTGGCTGGCTGGCTAGTTGCGCAAAGGAGTGCTTGCTTTACGTACGACGTTTACGATACGATAGTATGGTTATAATGGTTAATGACGCGGTGGACCGTGTATTCTTACCCACCTACTTTTACCTAACCTAGGCGCTTGTTCTAGCGGTAGTGGTTCTCCTTCTACGTATCTATATATAGGTACGTAGGTAGGCAGCTTTTATAGTCTTCGAGACAGTGCCTGGCGACAGGTACCCGTTGTTGTTGTTTGTTGTTGTTGTTATCATCGGCATCGTCGTTTAGGGGGGAAAACGGCGTAATGCATACATGCGTGCGTGGAGCTTGGGAATTTTATTTTATTTTATTTTACGGTCAACTTCTTATTTTTGGATAACTACCTATGAGTACTGATGAAATTGTTGATATATACATGTAGTTAAGTGATATGATGGGTATTATTTATTGTGAGAAGGTTAGCCTAGATTTTGCCTGACCTTGATGGTTTCTTATGTATGTATGTAAGATGGAAATATCAAGTATGAACTAGTATATACGGTTTTTGAAAATGTGACTTACCTCAAGTAAATTTAAAGGGGTCTATTAGCGTAGCGTGTACGAAGGTTGGGGCCAAAAGTTAAGACCATGCAGTCTCTTTTTACTCTCAGATGTGCAAGACTTTTGGCCCCAACCTTCGTATCTTAAGTAAATTCAAAGGGGTCCATTAGCACATATGGATGGACTTAAATCCTAACCCTTTGTTAACAAGGAGCCCCTCGTAGGTACTAGCCCCTACTTAATATTCTACGGCTCTAGCGATAGAGCAGTTTTTAGATGGCAACTTGAATCACATGCAGCAAAATACAGCAAGATTTCGAAATATAGGGCAACCTCAGCGGAATCAACTAACGTGTGATCCTCACCGAGTATATGTATTGGCAAGCAACCACAATTCCGTATCCGACCAGCCAAGCTAACCCCTAAAGATTCGCCTCCCCCCCGACCACTAGTAGTACATGCGTTAGGTACGCAGAGATCAGACGCCTCGCGAGTAAAGGAAAAGAAAACCAACCATTCGTATGCTCCTTATTTCAGATAGTGCTGACTAGGCACACTTGGTCATTAGAAGTTACAAAGAATCGTCCGTGATTTCATGATCGCAAGACGTGAAAACTAGAGCACAAACGCAAATGAGAAAGAGAACTGCATGGCGCCATGATCGTCGTGAAAAATTTCATGCCACCATTCCACTGTAGATTGGATATGAAAATTTTGTCGCCATTTCCTCCCAGTAATGCTGCTTGTCATCACACTGGGAACAACCAATTGTCGAAAAGGACTAACTGGATCATAGACGGTTTTTTTGGAGATGTGAAATTCGTGCACGTGCCCTCGCCACTCAAATAGTAAGAGACCCAGTAGCTTTCCTTAACACTTCCAGATCTCTTGATGTTGGAGAGGGATCGGGAGAAGGATCACGTTGTGCCGGTGGCGTCTTGGGAGCTTCTTGACTCATAGGTGCTTGAGAAGTTGTAATCGTTTGGGTCTTAGGGGATCCTTCAGAGGCATCCGGCGTCGGTGGTCTATTTGATGGCTGCTGGGGAATCGGACGAGTCGACCGTGAACTTGAACGTCCTCTGGCAGATCCAGCTCGGGATTGGTTAGTCGTCCTAGCAACATGACGTCGAGGCCGAGATCGAGAGGACGGTCGTGAATGACCAACACCTCCACGTCCACGGACATTACCTTGGGTTGACGAAGGTTGCGGTATAGCAGGCTGTGGTAGCATAGCAAAAGGTATCGGGAATGGATAATTCGGTGGATGCATCATCGGTCCAAACGGCATAACCGGCCCAATAGGAAGATGCGGTCCCATTGCCGGTCGTGTTTGAGTCGCCGACTGAGTCGCCGACTGCTGTTGAATCGCCGACTGTGATCCGGGGGGCAAAACCGGCCCGGGTACCGGAAAGCTCCAAGGGGGAGGAATTAATTGTGGTAAGAATGGCGGAATAGGGACAGAGGGGTTAGGGCGAGGTAAAAGACCAAGGGGAGCGGGCAAGGCGTAATCTAATTCTATCGGCATACCAAAGCAATTTCCGAAATTCGGATTCTATCTAGGATTCCCCGGAAAGTTGAAGGCTCCAAAGACACCTCCTCCGCCACCTGGTGTCATAGGTCCCATTCCTATTCCATTCGCATTGTGCGCCTGCGCAGCCGGGGTGCTAGCGAGTCCAGCGCTTACCGTGCTAGGTGTGGTGGGACCACCGTTAACGTTCCCATTCCCGTTACCGTTACCGTTACCGTTACCGTTACCATTGCCGTTGCCGTTACCAGGCGAAGCATTGCCTACATTGTTAGTCTGGTTCTGTGTCATCGTAGGCATCTCCATTCCTGAGAATCCAAGACCCCAGACTTTGCCGATGTGGTCGTCTGAAATCTCACCGTTGTAGATTCTCTCGCGTAGCTGGAAGAATACTCTTCCCGTTAGGAGGCTGTCCGAGCCAGCTTGATGAGCGGCGCCGACTCTCTTAATCTTCAGGGCATCGGCAATGCTCTCCAAGCCTGACTTCTGCTCAAACTTCTGCATGATCTCGGCAGTAGCGGGATCTGAGGGGGTGAGGTGACCAGTACTATGGAGCTTCACAGCGTACTTCATGAGGTGCTTAACATCATAGGTTGTCGGGAACCACTTTTTCATGATCTTGTCGAACTCGCTCTCGTCATTGGCTAGCTTTTCGTTAGAGAGAAGCTTGGTAAGGTAACCGAAGTCATAACCGCCGTGGAACGAAATCCACTTCACGTTGTCGAAGCAAACGAAGCCCGAAGGTATGAAGAGGGCTGCAAACTTCTGCGGGTCGATTCCGTCACGTTCCAGTTGGTTGAAGTCGATGCCAGCTTGCTGCAGGGACTCGATGGAGGTTTGGTTGTACATGTCCTCCTTGAGAGAGAAGTTGAAGTTGAACTGCCACGCGAGAGGCATTTGCGCCTGGTTTCCTCGGCCTCGGGCATTCGGGCCAACCTCGTTCGACGCATTAGCGCGGTCGGCCGGTGTCTCACCCTTCTCGTTGAATAAGCTCAGTCCTATCTGGATCACCTTAAGCAGGTCGACATTGACCCGTAGGCATTGGTAGTGATAGTCGCTCTTTCCTCGAAAGTTACCCATGGGGCGGCCCACGATACCGGGGAATTCGGTGTCCTATTTCTAAGAGGTTAGTAGGCGCAATGCTTTTACCGCAAACACTCTTAACACTCTTAGTAAGAACGAACCATAGCCACGTAAGGGTAGTCATCGACCAGATCCATTAGGATGGTCATCTCCTCGTTGAAGTTGTGTTTCCAGACCTCGCGTACACGGGGCCTACCTGCGCCTCCAGATCGCGCCTGGCGATCACCTCCCATAGCGTGGGCTTGGTGTGAGTGTTGCTGTTGTTGCTGCTGCTGCTGTAGTTGCGCAGCGTGCTGGAAGCCCGATCGGGCAGCGTGACTGGCAAAGCCTGTTTGATCTCCGACGCCAAAGCCGGCGGCAGCGTTGATACCGCCACCGAGTCCTAATCCACTAGCCGCAAAAGGGCCGATCTGTGCGTTGCCTAGGTAGGCAGAGTTGCCCAGCGCGGGGGGTTGGTGACCGGTCGCATGGCCTTGGGACGGGTGAGAGGGGAACTGGTGTTGATAGGGTGGCATGTTCGGAGGGCCACCCCCGAATCTTGAGGGGGGAGCCATTGAGTTAGGTGAATGTCCGTGTGTCGCGGAGGTATTCAGTTACGTTTTCTGGTTGTTGGTATGAAGGGAGGAGTAGAATCGGTCGGCATTAGGGAGCTTTGACGAGACACTGGATGGCCTTGGCCAAAGGGTAGCTGTTTGACGCGTACAGAAGCTTGGTATCCTGTTCGTGCCAGTTTATCAACTAAATTAATTGCCTAACCTAACGTAGGACCTCGTTGCTGGATATCCGGTGTAAGTTCAAGGTTCATTAGCGGCGGAAAGGAAGAGAAACCGAGTGAGGACGGGACGATGTTGTGTGGATTTGGTCAAACCTTCCAAAAACCCTAAAGTGAATCGTCACTGAAAAGCGGCAGGTGCAAACATTAGGTAGATTGACGCGGAGTAGGTAGGCAGGTACTCGGGACGGGACGTTATTGAATTACAAGGAATTAAAGTGGCCTGAGCGCAATGATATGCATATTTACTTCATCTAATCTTTAAAATATGAAGTTAACCCCTCTTGGGGAACCCTGCTCTTTCCTTAAGAATTCAATTAACTAACAGGTACCTATTTACATGTAACTACCTAAAGTACCTCCCAAAGTACCTTAGGTAATGCAAAGGAACCACCTGAACGACGACCGGTAATTGAGCTTTCGTCGTCTTCGCTTCGAGAGCTCTTGCAAGCCTTCCTCCAACACCAGCATTAACACATTTACTCACAATGTATCCCTCAAGGTTAGCCCTCTACCCCCGGTATTTGTATTTCAAAAGTGAATAAGACAAGGAATTAATTGCTAACCAAGCCTGCCGCAAACAGGATACTCCGAGCGCAGCACGGCGAGAAGCCGAACATTACCGGCTTCGACATCAGGAAGTTTGCGCACTCAGCCGGACAGCCAAAATACGATCCCTGGGAGCGAGCGTCAGTCTCCCCTTTTCCCACTCTCCCTCCGGTCCAACTACCACAGTCTAGGGCAAGCTAGGATATATGCCCAGAATAATCTGCTGACATAGGTCTTCGCACGCACAGGGAAGCATGGCGATACACGGGCATATTCACGCGCTGGAACCGCTTCAAGAACGCCTTACCCGGTCTAGGAATCGCCACCGTGGCCTTCGTCGCATACCTCGGCTTCGAGAAGCTGTTCCTCAAGGACGAGCACCATGGAGACGAACACGGGGAGGGCCATCATTGAGCGGACGCAAAAGCAGCGAGATGGAATTAAATGCTATAGGCTATAGAGGTTCCGAATACGGCATTGTACATATATGCGCATCCGACCCATCCGGAGCGAAGACCGGATGGGAATAGCTCTCAATGAATGAATGTACTTGGTCACGGCCAAGGGACTTTCTGATAAATATACATATCATACGATGTCTAGCTGTTGGATAATAATTTTATTAACGTCTAGTGGGTGTGCCGAGACTATTTACCTAAAGATATATATCTTTTACGCTTAAGCACGTCCGGTGTAGAGGACGACCAGAGTATCATAGCTGAGCCGGTGTATATATCGCCTGACAAGAGAACTTGGCTGCAGGATATATATAGGTACATATAACTATGCGATGCTGATAATGAACACGGAGAATAACTATCTCATTTAACTTTCAAGTATTTACATCGAAGATAGAAAAAAATGCCAAGTTTCCCTCCAAACCATAGTAGCCCAGACGCGTTATACCTGCATGTAATATCTGCAAATGATAACTGATCTATCTTTCCACCATGCTATAATTCGATGATGCTGATAGTTAATGACGAGTACGAACATGATATATGCTTAGGCATGTATATACCTAATGTACCTAAATGCATGCAAGTATGCAAACTCCCAACCGACATAACCATGCCAGATAATGCCACCAAGCCGTATCCCCAACCTAGCCTACCTACCTAGGTATCTTCCATAATACAAACGTACGTACACACACCTACAAACCGAGATAGACATCCATCCATCCATTTCATCAGTATCCCCTCAACGTCTCAAAGCCGTAAAAGCAGAACAGAACACAACACAACACAACACATAACCCCCCCCTACTACACCCCAATCCCATTAACAACATCCAACGCGCCCTCAACCACAACCTCGAGCTGCGCAACACGATGCTTCAAACTCTTATTCTCGTCGCGCAGCAGACTAACCGTATCCCACGCCACACTCGCGTCCTGCCCCCTACAATTCCCACACCCGTCCACCACGTCCCCCGTTCCCCCTCCTCCTCCTCCTCCCCCCGAAATCCCCTTAACCAGCTTCTGGAACGTAGTCAACTGCCGTCCCGGCTTAGGAGACAGACCGGGCGTGTTGTTATTGTTATTGTTGTTGTTGTGAGGGGACCGGATAGCGAGCAGCTCGTGCTGCTGCGGCGTGGGCGGAACCTCGGTTTCCGTCATGGTGGTTGTTACCGTGGCGGTTGGGCTCCGGCTCCGACTAAATATGCTTTCGGCCTCGACGCTTTCGCCGTCCGTCACGCTGGTCCCCCCCGCCGAGGTGTCGATGCTGAGATCCGAGCGCACCGTGCCGTCGCTGTTGCGCCAGCAGCGTTTCCGCTTTTCTTCTTCATCATCCGCCGCATCGTCGTCCACGTCCACGTCCGCGCAGAGATCCTCCGTGATCAGCGGCGACTCGACTAGCCCTGCCCTTGCCTTTGCCCCTGCCCTCCCGCGACTACTAGCCCTGTCCTCCGCCTCGCGCCGCGCGCCCCTTTCCGCCTGCAGCTCCGCGACGAGCTGCTGCATGGCTTTTTCCTGCTCGGCCGCCTTGGCCGCCATGCTCTCGAGCTGGCTCTTGAAGCTGCGGATGCGCAGCTCCGTCTCCGCCATCTCCTCGGCGTGGGCCTCGTGCTCGGCGCGCATCTCGCGGATCGTGGCTGCGCGCTGCCGGTACGCGTCCTGCATCTTGCGCAGCAGCCCCGCCGCGTTGGTCTGCAGGTTCTTGTAGGCTGCGGGCGAGAAGGTGTCGCGGTCTGTCGCGGACGGGTACAGCGCTGCTTCGATGTCCATGTTGATTATTTCGTCGTCGATTTCTTGGGGCGTCTGCGCTGCTGCCGGGCTGGATAGCCGTGTGGTGAGCGACGCGAAGAAGCCGAAGCGGGACTGCGTCGCGCTCTTTGGTGTGGTGTCGGACGATACGGATGCGATGCTGCGTCTGGATTTAGGTGTGGTGTTTGGAGAGACGGCCTCGTCTGCGGATGAGGACGACGGTGTGGCGCTCAGCCAGGTGCCGTATCTTGCTGGGGAATTATCCGGGCGCCGGCCGGCTCGCCCGTCACCGGTAAGCGGCATGCCTTGAGATTGACGCCTGACGTGGCCTGGCTTAGGAGATGGAGATGGAGACAGCGAATCCGCGTTCGAATAATAAACGTTCGGAACCGACTGCTGCCGTTGGTGCCGTATATTCGACAGCAAGGTATTGGTATTGCTTCTATCGACGAGCGGTGTAATAAGACCAGGTGGTTTTAATGAGGTGGAAGAGTACTCCAGAGGTTCGAAGGTCATGGTTGGTTCGTGATACTCTATTGTTCTCCCCAGTTCGTCGGTTGCCGCGTACGCCGCCTCAGTATCCATGTTTGTTTCTTAAACGGGTAGACTAAGTCTTGGAGCGGCGGTACTCCTTAGCATGATGGGATATTGTTTCGGGGTGTGGGACGACACAGGGAACCGTCGGGGGGGACAGGAAAGGAAAGGACCCTTTTCTGGCTCAGGGAGCGGAACCCTGGGTTTTGTGCTGGGGTCTCAGTAGTGTAGTGTAAGTGTAGCGTACTATGTAGTAGTGTATGTATTGTATGTATGTAAATTCGACCCTGTGGAGGTTTGGGTCTCTTGGGTATTTTCGAGTTGGTTCGAATTTACTCTAGTTATTAAAAAATAAAGATGGGATCTAAGAAAGAAAACCTATTCTCGTCTTTATCCGTTAAGCAAGTAAGAAAGGAAAAAGATGACATATGTCGTTCATCTACCAGCCACGAGCCTGATGATCAGCAAAACAACAATACTGGAGACAACCACTGGAGACAGCACTTCTGCAACAATACTATGTATGGTGGGTCGACCGGTACGCCGGGATTCCAGATTTAGGTGTAAGACGGGTGGTTGGCAGGTTGGCAAGGGTGATTAAACAGGATCAGAGCCAATCATTTCAACATCTTTGCTTAATACGGTATGTAGTACTGTATGTAGTACTGTACGGATTAGAGAGGCACAGTGTTTAAAGCATGGACATTAAAGCATGGACACTCCCTCGCCCACTTCCAAGTCTTTTTTTCAGGAGATCGTTTACATGGGCTTGGAAGGAAAAAAAAGAAAAAAAAAAAGAACGGCAGAATAATACTTATGGTCTCGTTTCGAGTTTATTAGCTTCTCAGCCTTATTGTAGGACGGGCAAGTCTTGGATAACTTGTTAATTCAAGACTTTGGAAGCAAAACGTTGTAGTTAGAGACAGCTTTGTAAAAGATGGTTTAGAACGAGCATACATACATTGCTCCATTACCAGCCATCGACCAGCATGTGAGCGTGGGTCTTTGTATCCTCGAATCTCTGCCTTGTGATAGGTAAAATATGTCCACCAGACTCACATTAATAACTAGAACTCTTCAACAAGACTTACGCACATGTGTAATGCAGTACATGGCTGTACCGAGCCTGTCTTGAACCAATTCGATTCAATTCAATTCAATTTCCCATCGATCCCAAGTTTCCGGCTCTCCGTCAGATATTTATGGATTTCTATATTTTCTTACGATCCCAATACGATTCCATCGCATCGAGTCGACGCACGTGGCACATCTACCTATGTATGTAGATAGGTACATGTCTAGCCGGATGGATATTATATACCCGATGTATGATTTAAAATACGAGAAGACTCATTCGTACAGAGATCAACGCTTTACTAAGGCAGAGTGGACTTGACTTATAAGAATCTAACACGGCACCATTACACTAGTTAGAGGAGCCCATATGTAGAATAGCCATTAACTTCAGTAACTAGTATTGTACATCCGTAAACTTCAACAAATACGGACGACTGTAGGACATATTACTGTTATATTACTGTTATTGTTTTAGTATGTAGCCTCCCTATTCTAGCCAGAGGCCCCTTGCAAACATCGTAGCACGTCAAGACCAGTTTTCGCTGATAGGTAACGTATCTAGCCGATGCTGAAAAGAATCAATGTTTTAGTTAATAGGTCACCTCGACGTATACACACAGACAGACAGTCTCAATATTTCAAAACTCGCTTCCCACATTTCACATGATGCAAAGTTCCACCGACGTCAACGCCCAGCTATGTATGTATGTATATCTTGGAATACTCCTCAGTTACAGGTAGGTAGGTCGGAATGCTTCATTGAATAACTAATTGCCCATGACCTTATCCCGGCATAACAACCATAAAGCTGATAAGTCAGTCAGCTGTCCGTTATACTAGTTGGGCGGCTGGGCTGGTATATTCATCCGCAATAAGACGGCAAGCTCTTTCCACCTGAGGGAACTCGCATTCATCAAGGTAGGTAGGCTCGGGATTTCACGAAACCCCAATACCCAATTTCGAAGCCAAGTCCTGACCAACCACGCAAAATTGCTTCTTCAGTAGAAACTCTCCACCATGGTGTCCTTCAGTTTGCCACCGACATTGCCCGGCGCAGCACCCTCGCCGAGTCTGAAGACGCTCTCGATGACGCTAAGCTCCGTCGCCGTCGTATCTAGCCCCGTCACCGCCAGCCAGTCGTTGACCACCATACCAGCGCCAACCACGTTGCTGCCTCGGTTCACGCTGCCCGCGACGAGCGGTACTTGCAGAAGACTGCTCAGCTCGTCCTGGTCTTGGATGCTGGTCTTGGGATGTACTAATCCGCCCTGATTACTCAAGCTCATATAGCTTCCGACAAGCACGTTGTCCGCAACCGTCTGCCGGAAAACCTCGACGCCCAGAACATCCGAAATAATCTCCTCCGTCTCGCGCTCCAGATCCGGATGGACCAGAGCTATGTGATCGTTTGAGACGATAACATTGCCTAAGGCGGATAGACGTTCCTCTATCCTTTGGATCTTGATCTCGTCAGGTAAGGAATTGCGCAGATGTTGCAGTTCTTGATCGGTAGTAGAAGTGGGCACGAGAAGACCCTTACGGTTCCTAAGGACAAGAAACTAATTAGTCCTCACCACCAGCATATATATAAACACGCGCGATAGCTCCAGGCCATCGCGTTAGGAAACGCAGTTATTTCTTACCCTGCTGTTAACCGGCCGATGATGCGCGTGCCGGCGATTGTAGTTCGGCAGATGGGAATGACATCTTGCAGTTCGGCCTCGAAGACGCTGTAAAAGTTTTCGCTCGCGCCGACGGCGGTCAGAGCATAAGAATTGGTGAGTGTCGCGAAGACGCCGACCCTAGATTATAGAATTGCATCGTTAGCACTTCGTCGTCTACTACCTCTACACAAATTTGCTTTCGCGGGGTCCCTCTAAAACTAGAATGGCGGGGCTTACTCGTTGGAATTCTCAAATTGTGCGCGCACAGCCATAATTTGTCCACTAAAAAGGTTGTATTGCTAGACACTGTATCGGCCGTAATTGTAACGGAGAGGGTATTCAAGTTTTTTTTTAAAGAAGTAAAGTAAAGTAAAGTAGATGTTAGTTAAAAGAAGAAGAAATCGGTTGTTCTGCTATGCAAGACTATGTAACTAGAGGCACTAAGGCATGGGATAACGCTGCGTATTAATCTAAAATATTCATGTGGGGCTATATAAGAGATACTTCTTATTCCGTACTACCAAGAGGCTCTGGAACTAAGAGCTTGTAGTCAAGTTTCCCGGATGTGACTCAATCTGGATGACTCTCTACCAGGGGTATTTGTATTGGGTACTTATCCTACGCGCCTAACTACGCCTAGTTTAAAGTGCCAAATACATCTATAGCGCATGCTTAGCCACGATGATTCATACTGAACTCAATCCAGTCCAATTCGATCCCGTCTAATGCGCATTCCATTCTAAGCACGCCGTATAGGAGTATGATTTCAACTCTCGACCTCTGTTTTATTCTAAATTTTATTTCGTATTGGGTAACAAGTCTCGAGTACCTAAGCTTATCAGAGCGCAATGAGGCGCCTGCATAAACCTATAGGAATTTCAGAATCTTAGGCCTATAAAAGCACCATCGTATCGGGTATGAAGTCAATTCCATGCACGCGCATTTCAGCGAGAGCCAATGACTCCACTTCATAACTAAATCTGTTTCTATAATGGCCTATTCCTCCTCCGGGAATGCCGCTATTAACGCCCCTGAACTCGTCACCTTAACTCCACTGATGGGAAATATCTCGGCCCTGCAAACCCTTTGGCGATGACCGCCTGTATGTCGATATTTTCGCTCGGATCCCGATGCGGGCTCCACATCTTCAACAATATGAACCGTCCAGAAACCGGGGGATCAAACTTAATAGTACATTTGCTTTTGTTCCTCTCAATAAAGAATCGGGCGTAAGGAACCATCATCTCCCCACCCACAGCATGAACAGCCTCCTGCGTAGCCACCTGTGCAGCTTCTATCGCCTCTTCCAATGCGGTACTCGGTCGGTTACGATGCCGCCGGATTCTTTGATATGCTTCGCTAAACGAATAATCGTTCGTATTGCCTTCGTCATCGCTTGTTTCACTCTCAAATGGCAGGGACCCAATCCTATTGGGCGGCCGCCAATCTCCCCTCGGAGTCGGGTCATCCGTCTCGTCGTCGCTACATTCCGTAGTGACCCTAAAAGGGGGTGGTGGCACATTAAATTCAGAGGGAATCTGAGCAACTCGGACGTTGTTGTCTTCATCGTCCATGCCGATATTATATAGCCGTCTCGCTCTAATCTGTGCGTGCGTCATGGTGCTTCCATCGTCGTTGTGCCTAACGGACAGAATAGGTGTGAGGGGTTGGCTATCTCGCTCCCCGCGCCTGGGTGAATTTCTAGAGGCCGAGTACTGAATTTGATATTGGGCCGTCCGTGTCAGGAGATGGTCAGACGTCATTGATACGAAGACCATACCTTCCTGCACACTATGAAAACAATTAATAAAAGTGTGTAGACAGGGGAGAATATTACTCACGGGGAGGTAAAATTAGATCTAGGAGCTTTTATAACCAACTCCTTTAGAGTAAAGACGGTGGCCCCTTGATGTCTCAGTATGATATTGCATCTCGGTCCTTCGGTGCAGTAGACGGTTTGGTCATTTTTGAGAATATTCTCAGCTGCATATCTCTGGCCATCGTCAGAAAAGATGCCCCCATCGCAGCTCACCAACTCCATGGTCAGCTGGCCCGGTTCCACTTGTCCATATTTCCCATATCGAAAACCTTGAAAACTGCCAGACAGACGGTCAGAGTCTAGTTTACGCCTCTTGACTCGTCGATTATCCTCTACTGGATCCTGCGGCGGCGGTGGTAGCGGTGGTAACGTTGAGAATGTAAGGTCAGAATAAGGGTGGCCGGGAGGGTGAGTAAAATCCAGAAGCGCCCGTAGTTCAGAATTGGTGTCTTCCCGTAACCGTTCCTCGTCTAAGGGAGATTGCGAATCGGCTATCTGGCCGGTGGCGGAGCGTCGGGTACCACGCGAACCTCTATCAAAGGGTTCTAGTCGCTCCCAGAATTCGCCCGCTTCGTCATTGGTCTCGCTCCGATTCCTCTGCGCATTCCGCATCCTTGCCGCGTACATGCGGTCCATGCGGTCCGCCATACGTGCTTCCGCCGTACGTGCTCGCGAACCCGATAGACCGGATGAAGGCATTGCGGAAGGTCGTCGGGTACTTGTCAGAGATCGCAGCGGCGGCAGGTAAGGGGCAGAGGAGAGTAAGTTATAGCGGGGTGATGCGTCAGAACTTTGCGGCTCTCTCGAGAATCTTCGTTGCGTTTCCGAGCTGAGCTCGAACGGCATGCTGTTCCGCGACGAGGAGCGCTGACCCAAGCGGGTTAAATGATTCCGGACAAGATCTGGTCGTGGGCGATTAGGCGGTCGGGAATAAGGGTAATACCTCTCTATAGCCCGATATAACTCTCCAGAAGGGCTGATATCAGAAGGCGAAGCATCACCATCGAGTATGGAACGTACTATCTCGTCAGCAGTGCGAAAAGGTCCTGGATTTGGCGGAGGCTGTTCGGAAGGATTGTCCGACTGTCGGGTAAGGGTATAGTTAGTATAATGGTACTAGAGCACCCGGAAGCATATCTGGGCGGGGACGCAGGTTGATATTTCGATGCAGACCAAAGGTGGAAGCCGACCCCGGAAGAAACGTGGTAATACATGGCACATGGCAGTATATGCTGGGTAAAGTCGAGACTTACCATTAAGAGACTAGGGACCTTTAAGTATTCGTCAAGGTGTGCGTGCGTCAGCGGATCAGACTGCAGCTATCAGACCGCAGCTGATGTGTACCCGATTAAGCCAAGAACAGTCAAGTAGCGATATAGTGATGAATTGGTATTATCAGGGGTTTTCGTCTGGTATATGTTAAGATGATCGAGTTGATGGGGTTGACAGGTTTGGGTTGGCGGGCAGGGAGGGAGATGAGATGAATGGAGTAATCAATGGAGTGTAGGTAGTTGGAAGTTGAAATGGGAAATCCCTTGGGAATAAGGAATGGACATGCAGACGGTGGGATGTTGTGTGAAAGGGCATTGGTGAAATGGAGCAGGTAGGCCAGTTGGTTGGGTTTTAGGCGGGGTTTTTACTTATAAAGTTGTACGCCTGTAACTACCTAGCGATTTAATGGGTAAAATTGATAAAATGTACAAAGACGCTGCAGAGTGATTACCCGACCATTCGGGTACCTCTTAAACATGCACTAGGTAGGTCATACTCACGCAACCACCCCCCCATCCCCCCTTCCGCCCAAATTAAGTCTTATCCTATCTTATCCTAGAAGGTAGGTACATACCTTAGCTTTATTCGGACCTTGTCGCACTCTTTGTGTAGCCATTCAATTTCTAACGCCATCTTCTTGTTACCTTCTCCTTTCTTGTAAGCCTCCTTGTAAGCCACGAGTTAGAGATTATTGAGCTTGGTGCGCCTATATATTAGATATTTATGATATGTTGTATTACCTACCTAGTACATAAAGAACCATATCAATTGGCTGCTTTTGTACATCCATGTATTATGCTTATATCAGGTTGTTACATATGATCTTCAATTCAGTCTTGGCCCTCCAAATAACGCGATTTATTCTCTTATCATGGCGTATCTGCGTATCCACACTGATTTACCTTTACCTAATGCAAGTTACACCTGTAGTGTTACCTAAACGGGTGACCTAAAAGAAGGCGAGGGTAGCTCATCGCATCTTGCCTTTAATACCTATATTAAAAGTACATACGTGATTTACATACATGATTATATTCATCAAATCACTAGCAAACGAACGAATCGAACAACATTCAATATCGAAACTGAGAGCTGGACCACCATATCGCCAAGCCCCCGTAACTCCTTCTTCTTACACATTCCTAATATTTACGGAATAGGAAAGATAGACTTGTTAGTCAGCGTCCAAGTACAAGCAAGTCGCGCGCCGCGCATCTGCTGTCTTCACGCATCTCATCTTGAGCCGTTCATCTCAGCCACCAGACTTGAAGATAACCCTTCCTCTTCCATCCCGTAATTAATTTCCATATTTCATACTTCTCATACACCTTTACGACCCGGCATTTACAGCTCATCAAAAAATGGAGACTCAAGATCAAACTGCTCCCGCGAATCAGCAAACGATCACAGGTGAAGCTCCTATTCCCGAGCCGAACCAGCCAGTTCAGGATGGCAGGATATCCGGACAAGATCCACTATCATTACCAACCTCTGGTATATCTCTACCACCTGAGAACTCGGTTCCAGAAAATGGCGTCCCGGTATATCCTCATCCAGATGATACCTTTGCCACCCTCCAGCAAACAGACTTCAACAACGGCAACTTCGCTAATCCGGGCATGATAATACCTCCTCCGACTCAATCACATATTATACCTGATTTCAACAACCCCGTCATACCTCAGCCAACCAACGGAAATGTCTTAAGTGCAGGTAAGATAGCACTTCACTTTATTACTTAGGTTCTCATCTAATACAGCTATCAGATGACATCGCCCTATACGACCGCCAGCTGCGGTTATGGGGCATGGAGGCGCAACAAAAGATACAGAACACCAACGTTGTTCTGATCACTATGAAGGCGCTCGCGAATGAGATCGCTAAGAACTTGGTGTTAGCTGGCATTGGTTCCTTGACCGTTGTCGATGACCAAATAGTCACGGAAGCCGATCTGGGGGCACAATTCTTTCTCACCGAGGAGAATATTGGCCAAAGCCGTGCCGAAGCGGCTGTTGGCAGGATTCAAAAGCTGAATCCTAGAGTCAAGGTCATTGCCGACTCCGGGAGCATAATGACCAAAGGCGCCTCGTTTTTTGGCAACTTCGATATCGTCATCGCCACGGATCTTAGCCCTACTGTTTTCGCCTTCATCAACACCGCTACTCGTCTTCACAACCGCCAGTTCTACGCGGCCGGTACCTACGGCTTTTATGGTTACATATTCTGTGACCTGATCGAGCACGATTACGTTTTGCAGCGAGACAAGCCTAATGTGCCAACAGCCGTGGGCCCAGAGACCCGGACTCGCAGCATTATTAAGGTGGAAAGCGAGAAGGAAGGCGGCAAGACCATTGAGAAAGTACAAAAGCGCGAACTGTACTCTACCTGGGACCTCGCTTCCGAAACAAGTCTCTTACCCCCTGAGTACCTCAAGTCCAAGCGCCGTCTCAAAGCCGTCTCCCCTGCTCTCTCCTGTCTGCGCGCTCTCTGGGCCTTCCAACAAACGCATAACGACCGGTTCCCCGAGCACAACAAGCAGGATCTGGAAGCGTTTACCCGCTCCGCCACGCATAACCACCAATTACTATCTCTCCCCGCCGAGACGCTGCGCTCCGAGTTCCTACGCAGCTTCCTACAAAACGTAGGCAGCGAGATCGCGCCCGTGACAGCGATCCTCGGCGGCCAGCTTGCCCAGGACGTCATCAATGTTCGCGGCCAGCGCCAGCAGCCCATCCAGAATATGGTTGTCTTCGACGGCGATAAGATGGAGGCCGAGATGTATCCGCTGCACCCGGAGGGGAAGCTTGGCAGGGCGCAGTTAGAGCTGTCGACGGCGCCGGGCATGATGCCGCTTGGCGGGGTTGATGCCTCGCAGATGTTGCCTATGGACCAGGCTGCTATGATGATGGCGCCTGTTTCTGGTGTGTGATGGGAGAGGTGGTACGCGCCGGTAGTTTATGCAGGACAGGCAAGGTTTCCTTGCGTTTGGACGCGGTGGAGGCCGAGTCCAGGGCGTTTTTTTCAGAGTTGGCATAGCAGATTTCAGATTCCAGTGATATTCCAGTTCGGTTATTTCCATCTTTCCAGGGATTAGCAGGCGGATTTCAGATAAGAGATTTCTTTTCCCTTCGCGAGAGTTCTAAAAAAAATTTTAAGATGGATGGATATATTCGATCATCGCTCAGAGATCCTGTCTTCGGTTTAGTGGTAAAAGGAAACTACCTGGTTAGGTAGGTTAGGAGATAGTAAGAGCGTAGGAAAGGGGGAAAAGAGAGAGAGAGGGAGAGAGAGAGATGAAAAAAAGGAACATGGAATGCAGGTGGTGCTGCGCTGTATGATAATAGGTAGTCGTATGCTTTGCTAATTTACAAGTCGGTGTCTTCTGGATATCTAAGTCAAAATACTGTGAATGTTAGTACTCGGGTATATACACCTACCCATCTCGTCCACAGCAACTTACAAATACTCAAGCCTACGGGTTTCCTACAACTTAATGTGAAAACGTGCTAGGTATGCGATCGATGATATGACTTATATATAATAAGACTACTCTCGGGGAAAATAGACTCGTACATATATATACGCGACAAAAGGCTAGCAAAGTGACGCTTCGCCGAGCATGGAAAATCATAGGTGACCAATACCGTTTATTCCGGCTGGGATTCATACCGCATGATTACAGTTAATCTAATTGTTAGAAAAGGGCATAGGTAGGTGTTTTCACTCGAATCTCCGCTGGTAGGTATACAATTACTTAATCTACGTTAAAAAAAAACAGACTTCCTTATTAAAGTCCACGGGCAAGTATCACAGTTATTCATCTACTAGAATCACCAGACAAGTCACGCTACCGACGAAGGCAGAAATAGGTCTTAGGTGTATGTGCAAAACAACATTCATTGATCCCTCTATACAAGGTCGCTACGCTTAGGTAGACACGACCGGCCACAACCCGTGGCTCTATTTTCGGCGCTTCCACCTCCCTCCCTCCCGCGCGCCCTCCTCCCTTCCGTCCCTCTCTATATTCCTTCCGCTGTCCTCCCTTCTCCTCCTCCAAGGGGAATCATACCAACGACCAACGACCAACGACCAACTGATTATAATGCAAACCCTCTCCTCTCCTCCCCTTCCCTCTCTTCTCTTCTCATCTACCGCGGCCTGTGTGCCAGATACACAAAATGCTCGCTCAAAGAGAGCATGAGAAGAAGAAAAATCAAAAATCAAAAAGAACAAGACGTTGAAAAATGTCCCTTATCCCTAAACTCCGAGTTTTTATGCAATGATGATGATGATGAATTTTTTGGGGGCGCGCCTTAGTAACGTAGGGAAGACCCCCGATATGCGAATCCCCTCCCCTGTCCAATGCAGCCAGCCTGCCCGGCGCCATGCTGTGGGGTACCAAGTGTCATGTCATGTCGTGACATGATGACGAGAAAATACAAATTTGTAAGTAATGGCCAAGAAAGAAGAAAAAACCAAGGCTCAACGCCGAATGTGTGCCAGAAAGTAAGAGTGTTGGTTGGTATCCACGGGGCGGTAGTAGTCGTAAAGATGATGTCGTGTAGTAATCAATAAGGTATTCAATTATTTTCTCGCATCCGATGTTCTATCATGCGGATTTTCATTTCCTAGCTGTGTAGGAATCGATTCGTGAATCAGTTTGGTCGGTATATATGGTATGGACCGAGAATTCGGGGCTTTAGTTTCGCTCGGAAGAGTTCCATTTGCCGATGTATGGTTGTATCATGCTGTGAAACAACAATGGTCAACACGATAGTCTTAGGGTAGGTAGTTGTCTTCCGTTGAGACCTACTTTGGAGATTCCTTCTCCTCGGAATCCTCCTTCTTCACATTCTTGTTTCGACTCTTGGAAACGTTGTTTACGTTCCATCCTCTAATAGTTGTAGGCCCGGTTCGTGGGGGCGGCTCGTTGGCCCGGTAGTCTTTGATCGCCTCTTTGTGATCATAATGTGCAAGTCTCAATTCTGGGCCGCCGTTGGAAGGCCAAGGGCGGTTGTGAGGAATAGGTGCTGCAGCAATCTTGCGGTATTTTCCAGCGTTGTTGCCATTCGATGATGTAGATCCCCTACCGCGGGGTGTATGAGCGGGTGATGAAGGAGATGTCAAAGGTGGGCCAATGGGTGATGTTGAAGGCGCAGGAACTTCCATCTGCGTCGATAGAGGGGCTAGGTGCGGTTGGCTCTGTAGAGGGGGAGACATTTCAAGAGGATAAGCCGACATATGAGGTATGTGAGGCTGGTTTAGCAACATGCCAGAGCCGGACATAGGTGGGCCTTGCTGAAGAGACATGGGCATTAGAGTCGAGTCATGATGAAAAGTAAGACCCTGGTGAAAGGGTCGCGACGGTGCAGGTGCAAAGAAAGTCCCCGAATTCGAGTGAACTAATCCACGGGGAGAATCGAACTCCTGCTGCCTGAGAGTAGACTGTGTTAAAGGAGGTTGCGTTATGTTCAAACTCTTTCCCAGACCATCCGCTCTGTTAGGCCGTAGGGGAGGTAGAATTGGAGTCTCTCTCACGCTGCTCTGGCTCGAGAATGGCATCCTAGGGGGCGCAGGTTGCTGCGGTAGTTCCATCATTGCGGTAGGAGCTGGTGCGATATGTGCGAAAGCCGAGGCAGGGTTTAGCGCGGTCTGCAAAAATGCATTGGGGAGAGCCGGAGGCTGAGCAGGTGGTCCGAGAAGACGAGGGTCGATCATAGAAGAATCGCTCATGTGTGTAATGTCCGCTTGTTGGCGTTGGTGTAGCTGCTGCTGCTGCTGTTGTTGGTGTTGATGCTGCTGCTGTTGTTGTTGCTGCTGGGACAGCTCCAAGGCAGCGTCAGCAAATATAGAAAGTGCATTGACGTCCCCTTCCGAATAGCGTTCTGGGCGGCTGGGAGCCGGCTCTGTGCTCGTAAAAACGTCTCTCACTGCATCATAAGGGCGAGATGGCCGTATAGTAGGAGACGGTTGAGTAGGCTTGCCAGCATCTAAGATCTCGGCAGCCTGGAGAAGAAGAGACATATTGTCTCTGTAGATAGAGCTATCAGTTTCTACTGACTGGGGGTGCGTTGCTCCTCCCGAAGCAAAGGTGTCATCGGAAGACATAGTCAGTCTCTCACGAACTCTGCGCTCGCGATCTCGCATTTCATCGGTGACGATTTCTTCGGGGTCGACCTCTTCCTTTTGGCAAAAGCTTTGAAGCATTCCTGCCATAGCACCCTTGATTCTGTCCTCCTTTAACATCATGTCCATTTTCATAGGTCGAGTCGATCGGGATGCATGAATGGTAGTATTCTTGTCAGGTACGACAACAACGGGTCGGGTTCCATCGACACGCTCATGGCTATATTCCGACTCGTTGGTAGAGTTGGGGAGGAACATGCCATACTTCGGATGTAATCCGTGCTTCTTTACAACCTCTGGGTCTAGGGTGTCGTCCTTATAGTCTCGGGCGTCGTAGTCCTTGACTGTGTGGTCCCAATGCCAGGTATTGGAGTTGGGCGTGTCGAGGAACATGCCTCTAACCGCGCGGGTGGCCTTCCGGCTTGAGTCGTTGGTGGAATCTCGGAATCCTATTTCCTTGTCGTCGAATTGGAACAAGGGCGGGACAATAAACCTATTGCGTGGACTCTTCGCCCGTTTATTGACGCTGCGAACGCCATACTCGTCAGGATCGCCTGCGCCGGCGGGAAGGTCCGGGAAGTTTTTGCCGGAAACGACAAATTCCTGCTCACTAGGTGGCGTCGGTGTCGCGACATTAGATTCTGGTACACCATCGGGCTGTTGTTCTGAGGCAAGCAGGCCGGCAGTATGCCGAGGCTTTTTGGAATCGGCCTGCCCATCAGGTTGGTCGTCCGCTTTCCGCTTACCAACGGCCTTCCCTTTACGGCCTTTGCCTGAGGTGACAATATCATCCGATTGACCGGTAAATGAGACGTAAGGTATATGGTCAACGTAATGATAAGTCAGGTCAAGCGTCTGGGTGGGCTTGTTAATTCAGTTAGGATTAGAACAGAGATGTGGGCGAAGAGGGAATGATAAATTTACTTACATCAGTTGCTTGGCCTTCACGGTGGAGCTCTGCTAGAATGCTGGCGCGGTTCTCGGCGCCGTCGTAAAGTTCTTCGGTTTGATACTCGAATGAGTTCTAATATGACTGTAAGTAAGAGAATATTGATAAGGGAGCGAGATTGGGGTTGAGAAGTGCATATTGAAGAGGATTAGTACATACTATATATTTCCTCTGGGTATATGTGCGATCAAGCTCGTAGGTGCGTTGCGAAATCATGTCTCTTGTGCGTCGTTCTCGCTCAGCAGTCTCAATAACATGCTGGAGCTGTTGATCTAGCTGTTCTTGAACGGCGTAGTACTCTGCCACGCCCTTATGGCCATCCATGGATTCCGTCAGCTTCTTGAGGGTCTGATCGGCAATCTCCTCGAGAGCCGGCTTGACAGCTAAGGCAACTTGCGAGTAAAGATCTCTTAGTTCCCTCTGGCGTTCATAAGCAGCTTGGACGCGTGGATCGCTGTAAACTTTCTTCTGGCCTCGTCCCTTACCACGACCAGCGCCTTTCTTGGCGGCGGCCTTGCGTCCGGATCGCTTGGTAACACCATTTGTGGGAGGTTTCTTGGTGGTAGTGGTGGTGGTGGTGGTGGTGGCGGCAACAGCAGCTTTACCCTTTGCAGGGCTCGCCGCTACGGACGGGGTGGTTTTGGGAGTGCTACCCATTGTGATAGAAAGTGTAGAAAATGCAGAAAGCGTATGATGACGGTTGGATTAGACGGATTGTGGATTAGAAGGGTGTGAGACGTGTAAGAGTTGAAGGATGCGTGAAATTCGTTAGGGGTTTGAATTACACAGAAATTTAGAAGTAAAAGTAGGCCTGCTTCGCAGATAGAAAAGAAGGATAAAAAAGGAGTGTAGAGGCAAGAGAAAAAAATAAACCTGTTTCCCGTGTTCTGATGTAAAGTTGTAGAGGCTGCAGGTGAATGATTTTTTTTGCCTTGGGAAAGTAGAAAGTAATGGTGTAATATGTTTGCGTGTCAGTGAAATGTGTCGTGTTGATGGTAGGAAAAAAAGAAGGCAGAAAGGTTTAGTTTTGTAGCAGCGTTGACCAAAACAATTAACAGGTACCTAGTTGCGGGTAGTGGAAAAAAAAAAGAAGTAGAGTTAAAGAATCAAGAATAGGATTTGTTGAACCAGCCCATCCGGTATCGAGTTTATTCTCCAAGGTGATGAGGTCGTGGCAATAGGAACAAATCCGAAAAGCTCACTTTCATATCACCATGAGATTTTCTCCCAGCACAATTAAACAGCAAGACACCCTTAGACTTCCCGATGCAGTCAAGTCCCTGCGCTGTCTATTGCGCTTGGCCCTCTGCGGCGAGCTAAATTGATTTTTATTGGTGCGGAGAAACCCCTGACCCGCTTCCGTTTCCGGCTCAGATGAAGTTAGGTACCTACAAATCTACAAAACCAGCCACTTCTATCAGTCTTTTACTTGTTGAGCATATTAATTCTTCATAGCGTTTACCGATAATTATGTTTAAACAGACTTATTTTGAAGCATAGCGGCTTTAAGTTAATATAAGTACGATGCGGCGAATGTGCAGCTAGTAACCTAGTTATCCGTAGGTACTTAGGTACTCCTCCTAAAATGCCGGCTCGTTTTATCTGCCACTTATATTCACCAACCGTGCCCTGTCTTCCTCACCGCCAGCCAGCACAGAAATCTACGTGTATATGATTGATCTATGGGAATATGGCTATAGTGACTAAGCTAGGCAATTCTTTGAGCTACGTTAGGACCTATCTACCGCTCTCTAGAGATTAGATGAGGGTTTATACGCGTACGTACGAATAGTCATTAAGTTAGCATAGCCCTCTCTGAATGAGTAACATGCTAGAAAGTTTGACAAGCCTGACAAGCCTTAGTTAATTAGTTTGCTTCGTTGTGTTTCTACATGTCAGGGCGGCATCCGTGTAAAGGTAAAAAGTAAGATACCAGGTTCCTACGCCAACAACTTAGATCTGAGGACTCTCAGACACGTTCGCTATGGTACCTCTTTGACTCTCTTGGAACTAAAGACAGGCGTGCCGAATCCTGATCTTCCATATACGTATATGGTATATAATGTATAGTTAACCTAAATACTCTAAGGATCGGTTACTGCTAAACTATCAATATCAGATTCAGGGCATCACAACATACTCACCTTAGCAACATCAACAGCGTACACAACACATTGATATACATTGTAAATTAGTAATATGTAACTCAGCATATCGCCTGTGTAGTCTAACCAGTTGATTTTCCATTATAGTCATAATATTGTATCTGATGTAAGGCACTATCATCATTCTTGTTAACCAAACATATACGTCCTCGTATAAGATAAGTAATACCTTAGGTACCTAGGCGCCTTACGCGGACTAAAACGGGAATGGCTCGAATCTGCAGATACCTGAATTAGGCGAATTAGGTACATATGTACGTGTAGCCGTACTGACGTACCTCGCGTACCCAGATATGCCAATAATATGACGTCTCATTGGCCAAAAATAACCCTCATCCACCTTAAATCCCCGGAATTACTATATTAAGACTAGCGGGTCCCATGCTTCGTCCCGCGAGGAACTAGCCGCAGAAGGTGGGATGTGGGATGGATGGCATGCGGTTTATGAGCCACTAATTTTTCTTCCCTTCCTCGGAGCTGGAGCTACACCACTACCGACATCACCGACATCACCGACATCACATCACCTCACCTCACCTCAACCTCAACCTCACCTTAATTTACCTTGCTTTACCTACCTCTTTCCACCCGGCATCCCCCATTCCATTACACGACGAAGCCCGTTTAATCCCCGGTCTCGGCACGTTGCATATGTGCAGCCATTGCGGCAGGCCCGCCTCTGTTGTCCGTAATACACGCGACACTATGCGCTACTAGCAGCTTGCAGCTTGCAGCAGGAGAACATGGGGAAGCGGCGGAAAGCCACGCATAACGCTCGACCGGCGCAGAAGCCCAATGCCGGAAGTCAAAAGCCGCAGGGAGTAGTAGCAAAACCGAAACCTCAAAAGCAGAAGCAGAAGCAACCACAGCCGCAACATGACGAGCCCACGATACCCTTCGCACCCGAAGACAAAATCCTACTCGTCGGCGATGGCGACCTCAGCTTCGCCGCCTCTTTGGTCGAGCACCACTACTGTGCCGACGTTACCGCCACGGTCCTTGAGAAGAACCTCGAGGAGCTGGTAGAAAAGTACCCCCACGTACCAGAGAACATCGCCAAGATCGAGGCCGAAGATAGCAAGGTGCTCTACGGCGTAGACGCCACCAAGATGGCGCTATTCGTAGACAAGAAAGGAAAAGACGGCACGGGAGTCATGGACCGGATTATCTTCAACTTCCCGCACGTCGGCGGGAAGAGCACCGACGTCAATCGGCAAGTCCGGTATAACCAGGAGCTGCTGGTGGAATTCTTCAAGCACGCGATGCCGTCCCTAGCGCCCGGGGGCTCGATCATCGTCACGTTATTCGAGGGCGAGCCGTACACGCTGTGGAACATCCGAGACCTCGCTAGGCACACTGGTCTCCAAGTCGAGCGCAGCTTCAAGTTCCAAGCCAGCGCGTATCCGGGCTATCACCACGCCAGGACGCTCGGCGTGGTGAAGAGCAAAAGCGGAGAGGCCGGCGGCGGGTGGAAGGGCGAAGATCGGCCGGCGAGAAGCTATATCTTCGTTCGGAAAGACGACGAAGCTCGGCCGCGTCCGGGAAGTAGTAAGAAGCGCTCGAGGGCGAGGGATGATGAGTCTTCGGACGATGATTGATGTGCAAATTGCATATATAATACCCCGGTGAATTTCCCTCGATACTTATAGACGAAGATATGACTTTTAGATATAAGGTCCCCACACATTTAATCCTTATTAGCCATATTATCTCCAATTCTACGTCACTTGCGAACTGGCGTATTCTTAGATTACTACAGCTGTGTTTTAGGACAATACAGGTATGTCGAGAATTCGACTTTGAACAAGATTACAATTAACTATAATATTTAAGAGTATCCCGGTATACTGTAGCATCGGTTGCCGTATGTGTTTCAAGACACTGTTTGTCTAGATGTTACTGCAATCTCTCGTATTTAAGCGTTCTTTTGCGGTCCAGCATAGTAGCCGATTTAGAAACTTAACCAGCTCGAATATTCTTAGAAACATCAATGAAGAGTTTATGAGTACCTAATCTATAGATAGATAGTATTCTGCATTTTAGGTACCTTCATTTATTGTAATTATTACACTATATGTGACTGTTGGTGTCTTTAGATAGTCCCTTGGTAGGTTTACGTTACGACTCATGGTAATTCTAACATTAGCTTATTGGTACCTTGATATCAATATCAGCAACATACTTATTTAGCTACATAGGTAGGTAGTCTATTTGTCTGTCTAGGGACTTACGATCTACTTTATATGTACCGTCGAGGTGTCTATTCTAATTAGCACAACTTGGAGTATACCTATCTTGAGTGTATCTTGTAACAGTCTTAGCCCATGGTCACGGCAAGCATCATAGCGTGCCATAACACCAACTGAACATCTCGTATCCCCTCGGATTTATAATATCAAGCCGTAACAGCAAGTGCTTCTTAATAATCCCATCCCACAGCAATAATCATTGTAAAGCCCCTGTCCTGTCAAATAACCAGCGGCGCCAAAAAAAATAAAATAAAAATAAATTACTCTACACCCCAGAGCCAAGCTCCGCCAGACGTATATTAATCCCCGTAGCTCTTATCTAATAACAAGCGGCTGCTAATTCTGACCTATCACGGCGTCCGGGTTATGTCTTGCAGGTTGACGTTTGATATTACCCTATTGGCTGGCTTCCCATTCCGAACCTACTACATGCTATATAGGACTTGTGAAACCCAACCCTCATCGCTCGTGTAGCATTATCCGTGCTGCAATATGTCAAGGCCAAGGCTGTCTAGAAAAGTGTTAGTGTAATGTCTTAATAATGGAAGACTTCAAAGTTGCATTGCACGATGCTGGATCGTGTAGGATATACGAACGTCGAGGTTATACGGTGCTTTATACGAATGCGCTTTTGGAATGGTCCGCGGGGAAATGGTACAATTACCTGGTATTAGCAGGAATGCATGAACTGAATAGACTTAAAAGAGTTTACTGTCTCATGAAAGTCCTGACAATATCTAGGTGTATAGCTACAACTTGCACATTCTCGGATAACTAGTCGTATCTTCAATATTCATTTTGATAGTGTAGTTTTCGTTGCTTTTTGTATTTTCCCGTAAACGTACACTTAGCCATACGTACATATATGCCGTACGCATCATCACTACCCTCCACCATAACCCCCTACGTAACCAAGAACGCCCCGGAAAATCGTACACAGACAAAAACGGCGTTTGCTAACCACCAGAAGCAGAATTCTTAATTCTATACCCCCGGTAACGGAACTGCGCCAGTAAATGCTATAAAAAAAAGGCCAACCAAATCGTAGTTATCCATGTGGCCAGGCGTCGTCAGAATGGAGTATCGAGCCGGGTTAGTATTGGCAAAACCCGTTCTCTCGCTAGAAGTGGAGAAGGAGAGAAAATACAATGTAGATAGCCGCCGTCCAGCAGTAGAACAGAAACAAGAAGCCGTATGGGTATATCATGAAGCAGTATCCGATCCTTCCCGAAGACGTGAAGTGCCTAGAACATACAGGGAAGTTTGTTGATCCCTCGAAGCTTTGAAAAAAGAGCAAAAATGCCTCCCAACCAGAAACCTCCCTCTATAAATCGAAACCACCCGAAAGGGATTGTGACACCGTATGACCATACTGGTCGTCTAATATACTACACTCGTCTTTAACTCCGATTCGAAACCGTGGTTACCGGGGGATGGGCGTCTTTCAGTGGTTCTTGGATATTTCTCGACCTGTCTCTATCCGGGAATATGGGATCAATGCCTCGGTGTGATTCATACGTGTGTGTAGTTCGTGGAGATGGCGGGAAAAGAGGCGGATGTAGGGGCTGAGTTCGAGGTTGTAGGGGAGGTAATCCTTGTGACGAGTCCTGTTGTTGCATATGTGGAGGGAGTGGTGGTGATCGCGAATCCAACGCAAGCGGCCCTCGATCCCGAGGCGACAGGTTAGCTCTCTCCACTTGATCGATCGATTCCGGGAGAGCACGGGGTGTGTCTGTGGTCGAAGCTGGAGAAGTTAATGGGAAGGAGAGATTCGCTTGCTGAGGGCTGTCGACCGCACCGAAGCCTCGCTTCCTCGTCTTTTGATCGTTCAGATTGCTTGAGATCTCATATCCAGGAGAAGAGGCGTATTCGCGTGGAGGCTGAACTGCGATTGGAGCCAAGGGAGCGGGCGTGATTGGCGCGTATTCTGTCAGCCGCGAATAGACTGCACGAGCCTGTGCTTCCTTGTCGGCCTTAGAGGGACGGCCGCGCTTTTTGCCCGTCGAGGTTACAGGTGGACTGATGCTGACGGGTACGGTGGATGGGTAGCCATTTGGAGGGGGCCGCGGCTGAATGATGCGCGCTGAAGCTAAAGGAGGCTCGATAGGGGCCATCATCGCTTGCCTCTTCGCGGGGTGTTCGACCAGATCGCTTAGGGACTTGCGCTTAAAGCTTGTTAAGTTCGGCGGCGGATATTTGGTTTGGAACATATTCTCGACTGCACCAAAGCACTGGTTCATGTTACGGCCTGTTGCTATTAGGGAGGGGTCTCATGGAGGCGGACCCGGAATACATACCACCGGGGAGTTGCATCGACATCCAGTTCGGCTCGACATGGTGAACCTTGATGAAGTCGACAAGGGTGGAGATATCTATGGTGCTGACTTTAATTATTTCACCTAAGACGAACCGCTACAACATGCGGAAATTAGTCAAGTAGCATCAGGGTGGCCAGACGATATTACCTTCTCGTCGTCCGAAAACGTAGTATCCATGGCGAGCGACCAAGTCTGACACCGGCAAAGACGATTTATGGGGGGGAGGGGGAAAGAAGACAAGGAATATGCCAGCAGAGCTGCGAGTAAGTCATTTGAAAGCAAAAATGGTCAAAGATATCACACTTATTAGGAGGCAACTGGTCGTAAGGCAGATGCTGAGGCAGCGTAGTGTATGAATTGCGATAGACGCCTACTGTGCCCGAAGTTCTAGGCCATCAGGTGGCAGTGATGGGCTGGGTAAACTTCAGATAGCAGGGAGGGTGGTGTACGGCGCCGGGATCCCAGGAGGGTAAGGGAGGGCGCGGGAGTATCGCAAGAGGGTAGAGAGACGCGCGCAAAAAAAAGGGAAAAAAAGAGTACGACGCAAGCGCGCGTCTTAGACGAAGAATAGAACCGAGCAGTAAAGCGAGCGTGTCTCGGTTGAGTAAGTTGACTAACCGTTAAGTTGTACAAACGAGGGAGTATGAGCCGTGGTCGTTAAGAATGCGCGGCGATCTCCTAGGTTGCGTTGCGTCTACAAGGGTAGCGCAGTGGAACAGGGTGGTCTTCTGTTAACCAGGGCCTCCTTGGTACTCCGTATTGTACATCTGAGGGCAAAAAGGCAATGATAAATTGTTAAGATGGACTTGGATTTCCCCTAGTCTGCCTTTGTCAAAAAAAGAGTCCCGAGCTTTTTCACGCCATCAAGCGAGCGCCCTCTTCTTGCAGAACCCAACAAGTAATAAAACCAGACCGGGAAAAATCCTTAGCGATGAGGCGCTGGTGCCGAATTTCTTTTCCCTTTCTAATGTCTCTCTCTATTTCTCTGCGTCTGCCACCGGTATATAATTCCAGCCAAGTCTACCCGCTTCGCATGAGTTGCGAACTGCGGCGTTAGATCGACAGTATAGACAAGTGATCGGTATAATTGCTGGCTCTAGAGCTGGCCGTCCCATTACCCCCAGATCTGGGCTCGGAGGCTTTCCTGGCTCACCTTAGCCCATGCAAAAGCAAGAGCACGAGCAGAGAGATGTGAGCTTGCGAGACGCGCAGATTTGGTGTAGTGTTGCCGCTACTAGCCAGCAGGTCATATGCTGAAAATATATGCCATTAGGGAAGTATCGTGCATAACCACTGCAACCATCACGATTTTGGCTCGATAGTTGACTGGACTGTCGATATGCAGCTCTCTCCTTCTTGCAGATGGGCAAATGCATCCATGTCGTTGGCTGTAAGCCAATCCCGCTGACCACTTAGACAAATCGGGTCGCCTGACTAGGCTCTTCTTGCATTGGGCTGGTAAGAATCGAGAAACATTTGAATCTCGTCCTCCCTCATAGAGGTTAATTCCCACACCACCATTATTTGGAGGTCTTCTGCTAGCAATGCAGTGTTCTACACCGCCAAAATGCAAATAGCAAAGAGACCAACGGATTAATGGCGAGAGATGTAATGTGATCGAAAGGACAACGAAATAGCATAAGCCATAAGCACGGAACTGAGAATCCCATTAGCTCCCGTGCAACTAAGGGCGTTTCCTAGGTGGATTTGAATCTCATTGGCCGTTCTTCCCTGCCTCCGCTCGATCGTTTTTGTAGTAGCTCTCGAAGTCATCTCCGCTCTCGGTAGCGAGCTTCGTTGGGGGTTCGCTTGACTGGCCGAGAGTCACTGAAATCTCTCCAATCGCAGCGTTGGGGAAGTACTCCTAGAGCACTCCCACGTTTAGCGACAAGCACAGATCAAGAGTTCGTTAGGTACATATGACGAGCCGCCAGCCGCCAGTCGCGAAGCCGCATAGGGTTTGGGGTTGATCCATCCTGGACTATAAAAGATGCTAAGATGCCAGATGCTAGATGTCAGATGCTAGATGCAATATGCCCTTGAGCATAGATATTTCTCGATCTGAATAATTGAAATGCATCATTTTGCGGAGCTCCACGTTTTACGACCTGGGATTGCGTAGCTCCGGACGCCAGCCCTTTATATATATGTATGCTGCTCCGACACCCATACCGCCTTTTTCCTACCTCAACTTCAGGCTCTGTTCTATGCATAATGAGTTGGCAATTCCTCATAGGGGACCCACCCACTCAGGTATAACCCGTCATTGTTCGCATAGCAAAGATCCTAGACGTTGATCTTGACACGATGCGAGACAGATCGATAAGAGCGATGATATTTTCCTAGCGTCCTGCCTGGATCCATCATATAAGTGTTGAAGGTTATTACGTATGTCAAGGTCGAGGGACACGACAGTTGTCGCTTCGATCCCCTTGTTGCAACCATCACCGCGGCTTCGCGGGCCTTGGTAGTGCTTGTACCACGTTCGTGTCGATTGGTCCGGTTCTAAAGATTTGAATCTAAATAGACCGGACTTGCTGGGCTGGATGCAAGAATGGTGTGGTTCCATGATTCACATCTTGCGCCCTCTTGATCCCCGTAAGTATCCAGACATTTGTTACTCACAGTTCTTAGACGTGGGGGTTGGTGGTGGTGACAACTGGTGGTCGTCTTGGTAGCAATTAGAATAGGGTGCCGAGTATATACAAATAAGTAACGAGAGCAGCACAACATATTCTGCTTCTTTTTTGATATGCAGAATGCAGAATGTTGCTGAAATCTTGGTTGTCTTGGAATACCCTTTCTCTTACTACCACATATGCCTTCAAAGAGCATTTTGCAATACTGCATGTGGTAAGCGTCTACGTAACTGTCATTGGAAACTTTATCTCATATCCTATTCCTAAGGTTATACCTAAGGTAATGACAAGAGCCGTGCTTGAAGTTAAAGTATTGTCCATGCACCGAGATATGGGCTTTTCTCTCCCAGTAACTTGAGTCATTATTAAGGTTTATAGGTACATAATTGCGGAATTGCCTAAGAGGTACACATATACCTAACCTAAAGTTTATTCTACATCATACTGCGACGTTAAATGCATAGCACTAGGGACTAGCACTAGGGACCAACAATTACCTACTTAAGGAGGTAGTGTGAATCGTGATTAGTGCGAAACGGTGGGAAACAGTGGGACGAGGCCGCAAACCGTAGGCGTCGGATAATTGAATTCTGCCCCCGAATTTACAAAGGCTGGCGCGCCACGCTTTCACGTCCACTATTGTACAATACAGTGCAGCGCTTTGCAGGCTGGAGTGGGTGTATTGAGTACTTCCAAGTTCCAACACCCAGCACCTCTCATTTGGCATTTGGGGGAAAGACGCAACCTGCAAGCAACTCTTTTTTTTCGGCGATGACAGCGCCGTCACGATATTTTCATCCTCACAACAACTTCTAGCAACTAACTACCTTGGACACTAAACTACTAAACTTTGTTGCTTCTACTTGTTCGTCGCATTCGCATTGATGTTTATAGCTTTCTTGACAAGAACTTAAATTGGCGAATTATCCGCTTGCAATGTCACAGACGCCGTGCACGAGATAGCACCAACCTTCCGCCCTCTCACCTAAGTTCCGCTCTCATCTTTCGCCCTAATATACTTCTCTCCCTCCTACCTTCTCGCCTTTCTCTACATGTTCGCAAACGAGACATTGGAGTCGCGTAACCTTGGTAGCCTCGACAGCCTATCAGATCCGATCTATCTCTTCCAACCGCGTCTCCAGCCAGCCAATTGCACCATCTCTCAACACAATTCTATTCATCCGCTACCTGGTGCGCTGTGACAATAGAACAGGATAGCCTCCCCTGGCTTTTTCGCCCTTTTTCGCCATCATGGAAGATGAGGAACGTATCAAGGATGGCTTAGAAAGCCTCGTCGTCAACACTGCGCCCGCCTCGCAGCAGCAGCAGATTATCGTGAAGAAGGAGAGCGACAGTACTGCTTCATCGCCAAATGTTAGCAAAGATTCCCAATCAGGCAGCTTATCCCCCGACGATTTGAAAGACCGCAGTGACAGTGCATCTACTCCTGACGGCCATCCGCCCAAGCTTGCTCGCAAACCATCTCGCAAAATGCCGGCTCCATCTGCTCTACTTTTCAATGACCTACCCGACGTTACGTCGGAGTCCTGTAGCCATTTCCAGTTGATCCCAGACTGTTTATACGGCTCTAAATCTCTTGGGTCGACAGATCACGACGCGCTGGATTGTGACTGCAGCGAAGAGTGGCGTACGTATTCGTATTTACATATATCTTAACTCATTGGTAATGTCTACATAGTACAGAGCACTGACAGGGATTATTCAGGGGATGGCATGAACCATGCCTGCGGCGACGATTCAGACTGCATCAATCGAGCCACCAAAATGGAATGTGTTGATGGTGACTGCAACTGTGGCGAAGGGTGCCAGAACCAACGATTCCAGCGCAAACAGTATGCTGACGTCTCAGTAATTCGAACCGACAAGAAAGGCTTTGGTCTCCGAGCAAACGCATCTCTTGAAGCTAACGATTTTATTTTCGAGTACATCGGAGAAGTCATCAACGAGCCGACCTTCCGAAGGCGAATGATCCAATACGACAAGGAAGGCATTCGCCATTTTTACTTTATGTCACTAACCAAAAATGAATTCGTAGATGCGACAAAAAAGGGAAATCTAGGCCGCTTCTGCAACCATTCGTGCAATCCAAACTGCTACGTAGATAAATGGGTTGTTGGTAGCAAACTTCGCATGGGCATATTTGCCTCTAGGAGGATCCAGCCCGGCGAAGAACTCGTTTTCAACTACAATGTGGACAGGTACGGAGCCGACCCTCAACCCTGCTACTGCGGGGAACCCAATTGTATTGGTTTCATCGGTGGCAAGACACAAACTGAGCGGGCAACGAAATTGTCCGACGCGACCATCGAAGCTCTCGGAATTGATGATGCCGATGGCTGGGATACTACGGTCGCGAAGAAGCCCCGCAAGAAGAAGATCACGGAGGACGATGAGGAGTACGTTAATAGCGTACAAGCTCGCGGGCTGGATGAAAAGGATGTCACCAAGGTCATGGCAACGCTCATGCAGTGCAAAGAGAAGTGGATTGCAGTCAAGTTGCTCGAGCGTATCCAACGTTCTGACGATGACCGGGTTCGCAATCGAGTTGTGCAGATGCACGGCTATCAGATTCTCAAGACGGCGCTAAACACATTTATGGACGACAACAACGTGGTCCTTCAGATCCTTGATATCCTCTACAAGTTCCCTCGCCTGACTAAAAATAAGATATCCGACTCCAAGATCGAGTCGACTATTCAACCGCTAACAAACTCGGAGCACGAAGATGTCTCTGCAGAAGCTACGCGACTACTAGACGAATGGAGCAAATTGGAGGTCGCGTACCGGATTCCTCGAAAAAAGCTAGACCCCAATGCCCAATCAGCAGCTAACGCACAGTCTGTCAACTCTTTCGAGGAACGTCGCGCAAATCGACCGGAAGAACCGCTCATCAAGACTGTTTTCACCCTTCCTGAGAATATTCCCAAGGGTCCACGGAGTAATGTTCCCCAACGAAATCCCAACTTTTTTAATAACCAGCGTTTTCGACGTCCTCAGGCCCAGAACCTCCCCCCCGGTTGGTTTACCGCCACCGATAAGCGTGGCAACTTGTACTATTACACCCGGACTGGTGTCACAACATGGCAAAAGCCAACTGCGCCACCCGAGTCAGGCCCCTCGCAGCCCAAGGGACCATCTAAGGCAGCACAAGAGCAGAAGACATTGCAAGACATCATCGATTCTGTCACTAAACCGGAAAATGTGCCCAGGCGATCAGCGTCGCAAACTCCACAGACCAGCACTCCAACCCAAGAGCCCAAGAAGGAGAAGTGGCGTTCTCTACCGATTGAGAAGCAGATGAAGATCTATGAAAATACGGTAAGCACTATGTCGCACAGCAGTGTTGCGTTTTGCATTATTAGATTACTAACTATATCCAGCTTTTTCCTCACGTGAAATCCGTCGTAGACAGATTCCATAAGAAGCTTCCCAAGGATGACCTAAAGAAGTTTAGCAAAGAGATCAATAAGAAGCTCGTTGCATCAGATTATAAAAATAACCGCGTGGATGATCCTACCTCAATTTCTGAAAAACAACAGAGGAAGGTCAAAGAATACGTCAAAGATTTTTTCAACCGCGCAGTTGAGAAGTATAGAGCTCGGGAGCAAAAGAAGACTAAACGAGCTGATGAACACCACGGCTCGCAAGCAAGTCAAGATGCCGATTCTGCCGCGACGCCGATAGCCAAAGATGAAGATATCGTAATGACGGACGACGAGGGAGTGAGCTCGACCCCCGGCAGTCTCGATCGTAAACGAAAACGCGAAGATGACGCGTGCGGCTCACCTAGCTTAACCCCTTCTGAGACCCCTTCGATGAAGCGCGTTAAAGAGGACGAGAGTGACGTCCCAAGCCCACCCCCTCCGCCTCCCCCGCCACTCGACGGTGAAGCTGTGTTGGACGTGGCGAGCGAGTCAGATAAGATGTTTGGAGAACAGGACACTGGCTTGCTAGGGGAGAAGGAGGAAGCACAACGTGTAGCCGCTGAAGTGGAACGACTGAAGCTTCGAGAAGAAGAAGCGGCACTTGAGCGAGAGAACGAGTTTAACATGCTCGCTTTCGAAAGGGAGCAACACGATAAGTTGGTAAATGGCAATAGCCATATCACTCCGGAAGGGCTTCCCCAAGCTCACGAGAACGCAAACGGTGGATTAGACTCAGCTGGTGAAGACGGAGCTGCGATACAGCACAGTGCCAGAAAGCATGAGGTGATGAGTCACTAATGCGCCTACAATTGCATATAGATGCTCGACTTACATTGATGGCCCAGCATGTCTGGGTCGTCCATTCTCAACTTCTAGTCAGCCCTATCGACCAGGGTGTTTGGCGGAGTGGCTATCTGCAGGAAATCCCTCACCCCTTGATATCCCTACCTATATAAGCCTCAACAATCGTGCTAAGCACGACATGTATCACCGACTATTCATGTTTATTACCTCGCAAACTGGTATTCAAATCCAATTCGATTCAAAGGAAGGGCGTCATATATTTGCTTCAAGTTTTTATTTATCATGCTATACAGAGGTGTTTATGATTGCATTTTCCCGGTCAAAAGTACGCGGTTTAGGGGTTCAGGTTTCATCGGTGGCGTTCGGTAAAGGACCAGCTGTATTTGATCGCATTCAACCATCCAACATCGGCAGGTCGCAGAGAAACGCACAAATAAAGGAGTGTTTTAAACTTCGGAGAGGCAGCATACCACGCAGTCGACTAATAGGGGCACAGCCCCGGAGAGCAAAGGAAGGATGAAGCTCAGTCCTCGAGGAGACATCATGTCGTGGATACTTAGGATAACAAGTTGGGGGGGACACGGTACTAATATGCGGACTTCTCAGAGTCTTGGTTCAGCATGGCCACGTTGGGAGCAACAAGTAACGGCGACGGGCGATAGTCGGGCCAGGTCTTTGTGCCATAATAGAGAAGGGAGGCGAAGGCCGGATTTCGTGGTCCAGTATATACCTCCGGTGATCCATACCATCATCCATCCTGTCAATAAAAGGGACACAAAGGGGTTTTCTTCGCGAGAAAGCCTCAGTTCGCAATTTCTTGTGCAAGCAAGCCTTCGACGTATGGACGAGACGAGACTAGTGATTTTTTGTTTTGTTTTTTTTTGTTATGCGTTTATCTAATGTGGCAGGTCTCTACTTTGCTAAATACCTAGGTTACTTACCTATGAATACACGTTGTGCTTTATATCTAGCAGAGTTTCGATAATAAAGCAAGCATATTGCCGATCACATGAGGGGGCCAAGTTTCTTAACTGCGTGCCTCTCGAATTCGATTAACTCCCAGCGAAGCCAGGACATAGGTTAGGTAGGTTGTAATCTTCAAGTTTATACTATTTTAAAGAACACAGTATTCTAGTATCTGATTTAATAGTTCATAGCGCTTTCATATTTCATATTTCATCCTCGACGCAAACTTGAGAAATCAATCCTCTCGCGTGTAACAACATTCGTCTCGAATATCCGTTAATTTAATGGTGAAGCAAGCTGGCAAGCACCTACGTAACGTGTAGGTACACCAAACCAAATCAGATATAAGCGAAATAGGTAAGGTAAGGTAATGTACGCAGGCATAGTAGTACCCGGATCAATATAACCACCTTTTCCCGGGAGACGGGATGACCTCCATCCATTCATCCATCCATCCATTCATTTAACTGTTCCATTCCCCTCTCCTGCATTTCCTTCGTAAATTCATACGCATACGAATCACACAGATATTCCATATTCCATTGTCCCAGCCAGCCAGCCAGCCATATGTATTATTCCCCCTTCTGATTTATCATGTAGTTCAAAGACCGCCTAAGGAAACCCATCGCATCGCATCGCATCGGATCGGTTTCGTTCAACGCATAAACAAACAACCCACGACCCAATCAGCTCGAGACAACCTTCTCCAGCGCCTCGACCAGGATATCAGCATGCTGCCGCTCAAAGATCAACATGGGCCTCAAGCGGACCGCAGTAGCGCCACTGCCGCCGATATTCACGCCGAATTTCTTGGCCTTCGTGAGGAACTCGTCGCGGTTCGGGTTGTCGAAGGCGATGAAGGTGCCCTGGCCCTTGCCGCGCAGGTTGTCAAACTGGCCCGGGTACTTCTTAGCCAAGCCCTCCAGCTTGCCGAAGAGGTAGTCGCCGACGCGTGCCGTATTGCCGACTAGGTCGTGCTGCTGGATCTCCTCGATGATGGCGCGGAAGAGTAGCGCACGCGCCGGGTCACCCATCCACGTGTTAAATTGCCGGTAAGGCTTGTTGGGGCGCAGCGTCGGGTCCCCGTAGTAAAAGCCGGCTGTCTGGGCTTTCTTGCTAAAGGTCACCATGTCCGGCGGGTCGGGGAGGTCCCAGTGCTCGTGAGCCCAGAACTTGCCGGTAGCGCCGACACCTGTCTGGACTTCGTCTACGATTAGCAGGACTCCGTGCTTCTTTGTTAGCGCGCGTAGACCTCGGAAGAAAGCCGGCGAGGCGTGGTTGTCACCACCCTCGGATTGGATAGGCTCTACGATTACGGCGGCGGGTGGTACGTGGTAGTTCTTGATGAGATGTTCGACCTCGGCGAGAGAGTCAGCTTCGGCCTTGGCGTTTTCTTCGGCGTGCTCCTCAAGGGGGTACTTGAGCTGAGGGAAGGTAGCGTGGGGCCAGTCGAAGGCGGGGATATCGAGTTTGTGGATAGGCTTCGATCTGGTTGTCGAGAGGGTGCCAAACAGACGTCCGTGGAAAGCAGTCTTGAAGGAAAGGATGGAAAGTTCAGATGCGCCAGGAGATTTGTTCAGCATAGACGATTCCATCTCCTCTTCGGTGAACTCGACGTCATAGCCACCCCGCTCGCGTTGGCGACGCCACATGAAAGCTGCTTTGTACGCAGTTTCGTTCGCATCGGATCCAGCCATACCCGTGAAGACCTGGTTAAGTCCCTTAGGTGCTACCTTCAGAATACCAGTCTCCAAGACGTCCGCCCAGTCATGCGAGGGGAAGTTACCCAGAGCCGGTCGGTTAATTAGTGCAGTGACCATCTCTGGGCTCTCGGCGGCTTTCCTCAAAACCGGGTTGTTGTACCCGACAGGTATCGAGGCAATTTGAGCGTAACTTGATAACGAATGGTTAGCTTCTACAGAGTAAGAAAAAGGATAATTGGTTCCTTTATAAAGGCTTACACATCGAGTAGAGCGTTTCCATCCGGATCGACAATATAGTTACCAACGCTCTTAGTGTAGTCGGCGAGCATATTCAAACTCCGGGTGTCGAAGACCTGAGTCAATTTGGCAATGTACTCTTTGGATGCCGGACCGGGAATCTCTGTCTTCACAACGGGGCGCTCTGGCTCACCGGGAAGATAACTCGAAGCCATCCTAGCGCTAGATAGGGAGAATTGACGGCTTAGCGTCCGAGAGAAAGATTGTCTCGATATCGATGCGGCCGACACAGATCTCGAAACAGTAGTGAGGGGTCGCAAGGCGACTCCATGGCGAAGAACAGCCATCTTTTTTTCTTTCTTACTTATATCTAGTTATATCCGGACTGGGCTCTCACTAAGCCCAGATCATAAGAGAAGTAAGAAAAAGGGGGGGTATAATTGGTCTTCTATTCCACTTCCACGGGAATTTCTCTAACCCTCAACAACAACAAAAAAAAGAGAAGCTCGAGGGACCAACGGGTTCAAAGGAAGGGAACCCCGATGGCATAATAAAGCTTCCAGCTATCAAGCTTTCTTATCGTTCGCAATGCAATGGCCGAATCCCAGCAACCCAAGCTTTGCGGGGTCCTTTATAAACTGCTATGATTGGACAATGAGTCGTTTGTGAATTACGTCAGCGATATCCGGTCTATACTTATTTACGTAATGATGCCTTTCTCGTCCTATCGTTGGTTCCTGCCCCGCAACGCGAACAAAACAGATCCGGGTCCGTGCCGAAGCGCCAGCGTCCAGGCGTTCCCGGCTCCTGGAGAAGCTCGAATTAGCAATTGCGGAATCCGGAAGGTCCATGCGATATCAATTCGATATCGATACCTACCCTTAAGCGCGTATCCACTAATCAGCTTCCCGACATCGCTGCTGGAAAGCCCATGTTTTATTAATTCCACGATGAGAATAGGTATGGAAATGCTATCTTTACGAATTGATTGAGGTAGATATTTGTAAGTATTTCTATTCCTGGAGAGGGGTTGGGTTGGGGAGAAGTGATAGCAAGATAAAGGTGCATATAACTCGTGCCAACGCGCATTATTTATGACACTGGCAGCAGGCACGATATATAAGTAAGTAAGCTGCATTTCCCGGTTGTCGGTGTCGTTGTGCTTATGCGGCTGTTATATGCATGCGACGTATTAAACGAATTGATTACATTCATTGTACAGTTTAGATTGCATGGGCTATGCTATGGAGGAGAGGTTGATGTTACTATAGCTTGGTTCTATTATATCCGATTCAACAACATACCTTTGAAATGTGTTTAATAAATTTATTGAAGACTATTATAGCGAGTGTTTATTAGTACTTTTCCCTTTTGTTATACTTAGAGTGATGATCCAAATAGAAATAGCCATTTTATATTAATACTATCGTTCATCTTACCCTAGGATTGCAACTATAGCTTTACCTTAAAACCTTACTCAATCACTACAGTAGTTACCTAAGTGTTGACTATCGGAACCACGTAACTTCCTGTTAATATATTTAATACCTACTAACATATAAATACAGTTCACCCCCTGAAATAATGTGTTACCTTTTCGGACGTGCACGATACAAAACAGGGCTTCGAATTCTGAATAGAACAACGCCCTTTAAAGCGTCTCAACTATTTTACCAGGGTTTTATAGCATAGAATATTCCGAAACAACGTTTTCAGAAAACTATAACGACCTCCCAGGGCGGCAATAGATATACGCTTCAGGATCTCAGCGAAGTAGCTCTAGGGGTCCGCTGAATAACATTATTACAGGGGGCGTACTGTACAGCCAGCATCGGCAGAGACGACGGCTAAAAGAATTTAATTATTTCAAAACAGCGAACCAATTAATTATAACGTCCAAAGCAGACCTTAAACATCCCAATCCGTCTTTCGTATTTCAGATCTCTCGGCAAGCTTTTGAGCTTTGTCATATGAGCTAAAGCTTACGGAAAGGACAGTTTTGCGTATTAATAGCTTGCTGTTATGGCCGTGCCATGGAAACCTCGAAACATCGCCCAGCGCACTCATATGTCGTAGGCGTGATTTGACGGCTTGAAAGTGCATTGAGAAGCGGTTCCATGGTATTTCACAGATTACATAGCAGCCTCAGGCGTTACCTACGCTGTCCATGGATTTATGTAGTTATTAAATATAAGCTTAGCCACAAGGAACTCTTAAAGACGCAAACAAGTGTAACTGATGGATAGACGTTCGGATCAAATGGATAAGGACGGTTAAGTGACGCAATAATAGTTTACACCAAGCCTTACTACCCCTCGGCCAGCCATAGGATAGGGATATAGGTATATAAGGCGATGGAGTGTCTCCTGGTTTATATAAAAGCAAACATTATGATATTCTTCAATATGCCATAAGGTTAGACTTTATACCGGCTAACTACTTATCACTATGTGGGTGGCATAACATACCTAAAAGGGGTCTTTAATAATAGATTATTCACTTATAGTATAATGGAAAGGGGAAAGGGGGGGAAGATAACTAAGTCGACTTAAATATTAAATCCTAGTCTTTAAAAAAAAATGTCACTGCAAACGTCCTAATAACTATCAATGCAAAAGTTAAGGTGATAAGGCAGTAGCTGACGTGACATAGGTAGTCGATACGGTCGAGCGGCGGGTGGCTATTTAGGTACTTGAGGTGGAGCTGTGAATACGTAGCAGCTGTAAGCACATTGGATACTTATTCAACATATGTTTAGTCTTTATATGCTCACGTTATCCGAGGATTAAGTAGTGTCGGATTGGCAAGGGTTAGACAATACGATACATCGTAATAGGAAACACACAACGAGATGACTGGTGATGCTGATTGTATTAAATTATTATGTAAGAGAGATTAGGTAATGTAAGAGCAAGCTATTTAATTGGTTATAAGTTGGGGTACGGCTTCAACCCCCAACGCACGTGTCACACAAGCACGTGATCACTATTTTAACATTAACAGTATTTTCTTCTCGTGTAACACGTAATCCACTCTTCTTTATCATTTAAATTATCTTAAGCTTTATCTTCTCGAATTATTTTTTAAACTTTATTTTTATTCCTTTTATTTTTTCCTTGTAATTTTTTCTTTTTTTTTTTATTATTTAAAATTAATTTATTATTTAAAACAATTAATTTATCACTTAAAATAATTAATTAAATTAACTTTTAAATTAACTTTTAAATTAATTTTTAAATAATAAATTTTTAATTAAATTTTTTTTTTATAATAACTTTTTTATATTTTTAATTTATAAAAAATCTCGGTTATTTTTTTAAACTTATAAATGTTATTAATTTTTCCGCGTTATTACGGCCGAAATTTTTATAATATACCTCGTAATAATATAAATAATTAATAATTATAATATAAAAATATAATAACATTTTAAAAAAAAATATTATTATTATTTAATCGTAAAAACATTTTTTTAAATAATATTAAAAATTTTTATTTATTAATTTTAAATTATAATAATATAATATACGTTTAATTACGTACGTATTAAATTTTTTTTTATTAATTACCTTAAGTTTTATAAAGTTAAATTTACTTTTTTTTAAAGCTTTATATTCGTTAACGATATAATTTTTAAAGATGTTTTTTTAAGTTTTTTTTACGTTTATAAATATCGAACTTAATACCGTTAATTGTAAAATCGGTTATATTTCCCGTAAAATCGGCTTTAATACTTATAATAATATTAAAAGTAAAAAAAACATATACGGTTAATTTAAAAGTTTATATAATTAATTTATTTAAAGTTAATATAAAAATTAATATAAAAAAGATTAATATTAAAAATAATATAAAAAAAATTAATATATTTAATATAAATATTAATTTATATTAATATATATATTAATTATTTAAATAATAAATAATAAAAATAAATATTAATTATTTAAATATAATAAATAATAAATTAATATATAATAAACGTAAATATTAAAATAATAATTACGTATTTATATAATATATATATTAAAGTTAAAATTAATAAAGTTGTATTTTATTTATAATTAAATAAAAAAGATTTTTTTTATAATTTATAAATTTTATTTTATTTAATTAATTATATAATTAAAATTTAATTAATTAATTATTACGTTATTATATTTTATTATTATTTAAATATATATTTATATAAAAACTTTAATATTATTAATTTAATAATAAATATTATAAATTTATAAATTAAACTTTAAATACTTTTTAAAATAATAAAAATTATTAAATAATTAAAAAAAATTTTACGTAATAATTTAATTATTAAAATAATATATTTAAAATTAATATAATAATTTAAATTAAAGTAATATACTTTTAATAATTTAATTAAATAAAAAGTTTTACGTAATAATTAAATCGTTAATATAATACATTATATTAATTTTTTAAATTTACTTTTTTACGTAATAAATATTAATTATTTTATAATAAACGGTTAAAATTAATATCGTAATAATAAACGTGTTTAATAAAAAAATTTATTTATTAATATAAATATTATAATAATAAATATATTTAATAAAAAGATTTATTTATTAATATAAATATTAATTATTTAAAATAATAAATAATAAAAATTAATGTTATAATAATAAATATATTTAATAAAAAGGTTTATTTATTAACGTATATAATTAATTATAATTAATTAATTTAAAAAAATTATCCGTGTAATTATAATAAGTTTTTTTATATATAATAAATAAATATTATAAGTTTATAAATTAAACTTTAAATACTTTTAACGTTATTATAATACGTAATAAAACGTAAATATTATAAACTTATAAATTAAACTTTAAATATTTTAAATTAATAAAAACCGTAAAATTATTAAAAACTTTTTCGTAATAATTTAATTATTAAAATAATATATTTTTATTATTATTTAATCGAGTAAAAAGTTTTTCGTAATAATTAATATTAAAACGATATATTTAAACTTTACGTAATAATTTAAATGTTAAAATAATACGTTTTAATAATCTTTTAAAATTTTTTTTTTTATTAAATTTTATTAATTTATATTTAACTTTATAATTAAACATTAATTAATATTAAATTAATAAAAGTTAAATAATATAATATATTATAATAAAAAACATATAATAAAATAATTAATAATGTTAATTATATTAAGTTATTATATAAAAAAAATTAAATAATGTAAAAGTAAATTATTTAATTAATTATAAGTTAAAATACGACTTTAACTTTTAACGCACATGTTATATAAACACGTGATCATTATTTTAACAAATAATTAAAATTAAATTATAAATTTAAATATATATTTAATATAAAAAAATAAAAGTTATAAATTATAAACATTTATATTTTAACCGGTGATTAAATAACTTAAATAATAACTTTTAAAATTACTTTTAAAGTTTTTTACTTTTTATTAAATTATTAATTATTAAATCGAAGTTATTTTAAGTAACTTTAAATTAAAGTTCGATATTTAATTTAAAAGGATATATTTTTTATAATT